CATCATGGCATGGAAGAGATGTCCAGGGGTCATCTTTACCAACTGCACTGGCTCCCGGTGAAGTACAGGGTCAGGTTTAAGGTGCTGGTTTTGACCTTTGAAGCCCTATGCGGCCTAGGACCCACGTACCTACGGGACCCCCTCTCCTGGTATGCCCCGCGGAGGACCTTAAGGTCCACAAATGACAACACTTTGGAGGTCCCAAGTCGCAAAGTGGTTAGATTGGTCTCAACTAGGGCCAGGGCCTTTTCACTACTGGCCCCGACTTGGTGGAACGCTCTGTCACAAGAGACTAGGGTTCTGCGGGACTTGACATCTTTCCGCAGGGCCTGCAAGACAGAGCTGTTCCGCCTGGCCTTTGGTTTGGACTCAGTCTGACCCTTATGTTTCCCTCCCCTTATGGTTTTGATCTATGGGTACTTTTAAAATGAGGCTGCATTTTAAATTATATTTTAACCTGTATTTTAAATTGGTTTTTTTTCTCCCTCTCTTTTCCCCTATTATGTTTTTACTGTGATTTTATTTTCTTGGTGTTAGCTGCCCTGAGCCCTGCTCTGGCCAGGGAGGGCGGGGTATAAATAAAACTTATTATTATTATTATTATTATTATTATTATGGCCAGCGCCTTTTAATGCAGGAGTCACAGCTAAATGATAATATCATTTAAGGGACTCCGAGGGTCATCCAGCCCAACCCCAAATGCGGGAATCATAGAATCATGGAGTTTATTTATTTATTACATTTCTGTGCCATCTTTTCCCCTGCAAGGAGCTCAAAGTGCTTTACATGGGTCTCCTCCTCCCCATTTCATCCTCACGACAAGGTTAGGAAGGGTCCCCAAGGGCCCAACCCCCTGCAATGCGGGAATCTCTTGCCCAATGTAGATCACAGCTAATGTAGATCAACAGACTCCTTGAACTCTGTCCTGCAATGCAGTACAGTGGTGCCTCGCAAGACGAAATTAATCCGTTCCGCGAGAGTCTTCGTCTAGCGGTTTTTTCGTCTTGCGAAGCAAGCCCATTGACGGATTAGCGCTATTAGCGCTATTAGCGGTTTAGCGGCTATTAAAGGCTTAAAGGCTTAGGGGATTAGCTGCTAAAAGGCTATTAAAGGCTATTAAAGGCTTAGCAGATTAGATAAAGGGGGGGAAAAGCGAAAAAAAAATTTCAAGACTCGCAAGACATTTTCGTCTTGCGAAGCAAGCCCATAGGGAAATTCGTCCTGCGAAGCAACTCCAAAACGGAAAACCCTTTCGTCTAGCGGTTTTTCCGTCTTGCGAGGCATTCGTCTTGCGGGGCACCACTGTACTGAATAATGTCTGATCAACCGGGAATATTAGTGTGAAGGCACCATATTTGAACCCCTAAGGGGAAATTTTTGCAGGGGAGGAACCAAACCCCCAGGAGAGAGGACTACTGAATCTTACAAATATGCTCTCTCGGCAGCCAGACTTTTAGATGACAACAACAACAGTGGTTTGGGATTCATTTTCAGGAAGTGATTGTTAGCGCTTGAGAGCCAGAAAACTGAGGGGCACAAATCTATGGTGTAACTCAATTTGGAGTACTGTGTGCAGTTCTGGATATTTTCAAATTCTACAATATCCAAAAAGGATATTGTAGAATTTGAAAAGGTTCGGAAAAGGGCATCCAAACTGACTGAGCGAGAGGAGCGACTCCCCTGAGAGTTGCAGCATTTTGAGTCTAGAGGAAAGGCGAGTTCGAGGCGACATACTAGAAGTTTATAAAATTATGCTTCTCTCAAAACACCAGAACTTGTGGACATGCAATGAAGCTGAATGTTGGAAGATTCAGGTCAGATAAAAGACGGGATTTATTCACGCAGCACAGAGTTTAACTGCGGAACTCCCTGCCACAGAAGCAGCCATGGCCACCAACCTGGATGGCTTTAAAAGAGGGTTAGACAAATTCATGGAGGAGGAGGAGGAGGAGGAGGAGGAGGAGGAGGAAAGGGCTCTGGGGGGCTCTGGGTGCAAATCCTGCTTGTCAGTTTCCTTTTGGGGCGTCTAGTTGGGCCCTGGGCAAAGAGGATGCTGGATTAGACGGGTCATTGGCCTGATCCAGCAGGGTCTCCTTAGGTTCTTTTGAGTAGATGATGAACATGGGACTGTTGTTCTGCCCCCCCTTACACTGATGCTCCCCACAACCTCTCTTCGTAGGGGTCCGCCCCCTCTACTAACCGTTTCCTTATTCTCCATATCATTTTTGTTAAATCTTCCAAAACATTTACTACCATATACATTGTTTTAAACACTAACCGTTTCTGAGCAGATTTGAACAAGCTGGACACCCCCACCCCCCCCACAGCTCAGGTCGCAGGTGGCAGTTGGGATTCTGAAGGGAGGGAGGAGGGCCCCCCAGGTGTGCGCAGAGGCTCCGCCCACTGGTCGCATGCTTCTCCCAGGAGGGAGGGGCTTGCCCCGAGGCGGGCAGTTTTCTTGAGCAAGTCCACAGCCACCCCTGTGAGGAGGACAGCAGCTCTCTTTCTTCCGCTTATGGTGGAAACATCACTTCCTATCATATCCATCCTATATTAACTCTCAAAGATGGACAGGCTGCCCAGAGGAGCAGAAAGAGACCCCTCCCCACGGGCTCAGATTAATGGCTTGAACTCAAACAGGTAACCAGACCTCTGAGCCCAGACTTCCTATGCAGACAAGGTCTCACTGTGGCCAGCAATTGTGTTGCAGCATCCCGCACTCGCTACAGCTTCTGGATCAAACACGAGGGAAGCTCCACATAGAGCGCATGGCAGTAACTCAGTCCTGAAGTACTCAGTGCATGAACCACCGTGGCAAGGCTTCCCTGGTCCAGGAATGGCTGTTGAACCAATCATAGCTGGTCAAAGGCCACCTGAACGCAAAAGGTTTAAGACTCGGTAGAGGAGATGAGTTGCAGACCCCATGTGTCCCCGTTCAGCTGAACTCTCTCAGACGCCCACCTGGGATCTTCCCACTTGGCATCCTTTCCCAGGACACTCCATTCCATTCCGCCTCCCATCCACTTTTCCATTTCTTCCCCAGCAGTGACTCAGGCTTCCTGGGCCGCTGGGCTTTGGGCTGGTTAGTCTCCCCCAGGAAATATTTCTTCCTGAAAGGTGGTGGGATGCGTGCGTGTTGTGCTTCTTCAAACCTGGGGGTTCCTGCTACCCACCCAAATCTGCTAATATTTCTGCTGTTAGCTAGATAAGGATCGGCATTCAGAGAACAAGCTTGCTCTCTCTCTCTGTGTACAATCCCTTCTGCTTTCTGTCTTATTCAATAATATACTGTAATTTCGAAACATACCACAGATTGATTGCTCAAATGGACCACAGCTTCCTTCTTTTTTGGCTTTGCAAACCTGCAGCCACTTTTGATAAAATAGATATTGTTAAGTAAAATGATGTGCTGTTTCTGTGACAGAAATGCATTAAATTAATGGGCATGTTCCTTTCTTGTACTGCAGGCCGATATGGGAACAGGAAGTGTAATTTATTAAATTTATGACTTGCTTGCTTGGAAATCAGACCCTCCAAGGGTCCTTATTTTCCAGGGACATCCCTGGTTTAGAGAAGCCATCCCAGTTTCTGATTTGATCCCAGAATGTCCCACTTTTCCTTGAAGAGGTAAAGGTAAAGGACCCCTGACAGTTAAGTCCAGTTGCGGATGACTCTGGGGTTGTGGCGCTCATCTCGCTTTACTGGCCGAGGGAGCTGTCGTTTGTCCGCAGACAGTTTTTCTGGGTCATGTGGCCAGCATGACTAAGCTGCTTCTGGCGAACCAGAGCAGCGCATGGAAACGCCGTTTACTTTCCCGCTGGAGCGGTACCTATTTATCTACTTGCACTTTGACGTGCTTTCAAACTGCCAGGTTGGCAGGAGCAGGGACCGAGCAAAGGGAGCTCACCCCGTTGCGGGGATTCGAACCACCAACCTTCTGATTGGCAAGCCCTGGGCTCAGTGGTTTAGACCACAGTGCCACCTGTGTCCCACTTTTCCTTAGGACGTCCCTATTTTCACTGGAGAAATGTTGGAGGGTATGGAGTTATTCGACCCCCGAGCCGTCTGAGGGCAATCCTGTATAGGGAAGTGTTTTTTTTAATGTTTAATGTTTTATTATGTTTTTATATTTGACGTAAGCTGCCCAGAGTGGCTGGGGCAACCCAGTAAGATGTGGGGTATAAACAGTAAAATTATCATTATGGAATGGGACGTCCCTATTTTCATTGGAGACATGTCAAGAGAAACTCATTTGGCGTGTGCCTGTTACCTGTTGACTTTCAAAGGGAGAGCAGCTTGATCTCTTTTGCCCTGCCAACAATTCCCTTCTGCAGCCGGAGATTGTTCTGCCCCCAAAATGGACCAACCTTCTGCAAAACACAGTCTCTGTTTCCATTTCACTAGAAGACTATTGCAAACTTTGCCATGGATCCAGATTCAGTAACTGCAATTCCTCCCACCACTGCCAGATGTCATTGCAGCACCAATCCTAGAGGTGATCAGCTGTCACCTGCTACAAACTGGTTTTCATTTGAATCCAGTCTCCCAGATTGCCATTGGGGTCCTGTCCTGAACGGGGGGCCAGGATCACACACACACACACACACACACACTCCCCTGCTGCGTGATGCTTGCCTTGTGAGGGGGAATACCAGAAGAGAGGCAGTGTGTGTGGGGAAACAGGCATACAGCAAATTCCTCCACTTACATTTCAGGGCATGCATATAGACAATGGGGAGATTGCATTTTTGCAGGTGTGATTGTCAATGGAGATCCCAGGGTGTTAGCTAAATCTAGCCGATGAATCTGGAGTACATCCACAGGAAACAGACTTGATAATGACAGGGGGAAATCTCACATATTACCAATTCTAGTTTAGCAGAATATTAGAAAACCACAAAATGTCTGCATTTATGAACCAGAATACATTTGCAATCGGATTTAGAATAATCTGAACAAATGGTTGAAACTGAGCCATTTGGCTAAGTCACAGCTGGGGAGCCATTTCCCAACCATCCTAGTCCGTGTGGTGCAGTGGTTAGAGTGTTGGACTAGGACTTGAGAGACCTCTGCATGAGGCAGCCGTTGCCAGTCAGAATCCTGGGAAAGATGACCCCCAGGACTTCTCTGGAGTAAGGCAGGTTCATAGGCAGACTCTTCCACAGAAGCTTGCCTGGTGCTACCATCAGTTTGGCCACCTGACAGTTCTGGATCGCAGCGAGGGGCCTGACCTGATCTGGGGCTGTCTCGACCCAACTTGACCCAAGCCCGGATCCCTCCCTCCTGTGCGGGTTAAGAGTTAAGATCTACCTGTCAGAGAGGACTTTGCACCTTTCTTTCTCTTCTTCTTTAGATCAGTTTGCTTTTCAATGAAATGTAATATGAAAAGTCTGAATAAAACCTTAATTATAAAAAACTGGGGAAAGGATTTGGGCTTCAGCTGAATGTGGTGCCCAGCTCTGCTACCCAGCATGTCCTCCTGGCCCTACTAAAATCTCGTGCTGCCTCAGGTGTGGTGGAGACACTCTCTCAGCAGTCAGGCTGGGTTAAGGTCCAACTGCTGATCCGACTTCTGTATGAGGAACGGATGCCATCTTGTAATTCGCCTCAGGTAGCAAAATGTCTTGCACAGGCCCTGCTCAGGAGACACTGATGAGACCCTTCTTAAAGAACAGAGTAGCTTTTATTTAGAGGCTGTTTCACGGCACAGCTGCAGGAAGCAGGCAAGGAGCAGCAAAACATGACTCCCCAAATATGGGTTAAATCAGTGGGCAGTTGTGGTTACAGCGTGCAGGGTTCAAAATGCAAAGTGACAAGACATCTCCGGCAGTCAAGTTTCTCAGCAGTCTCCCAGTGCAGGGAAAGAGGCAGGATCTGGTCTGACCTAGTTGTCAGCCCGCAGAGGTGATCTGGTCATGCCCTAGTCGCCTGCTGGTGAATATGGCTTCTAGGCATGGACCCTTCCGACTGGATTTCTGATTCAGCTCCAGGAATTCCTTGGCAGGGAGCCTCTTTGGCACTGCTGGTACAAAGAAAATATTCTCCCCCAAAATGCAGATATATCCAGGGTTAAGTGCTAAGGAGTGTTTTCAAAAAGAAATGATATCCTACTGGATCTTCAAAAATACATCTAGATGGCTAACAATGAGAAAATGAAAGAAAAAATATTACAAGTAATCACACACAAAGAGATTCCAATCAGTCGCCAGTTGAAAATATACTCTGGAAACCAAGCCTTATGAGGAACGGTTGAGGGAGCCGGGTATGTTTAGCCTGGAGAAGAGGAGACTAAGAGGAGACAGGAGAAACATCTTCATATCTCTACTCCAGAGGGTCCAGAGGCTCCAGAGGGTAGGAACCAGACTCATGGATTCAAGTTACCAGAAAGGAGATTTGACTAAAAATTAGGAAGAACGTTCTGATGGTAAGAGTAGTTTGACTGTGGAAGAGACTGTCTCTGAAGGTTGTGGACTCTTGAGAGCCACTAGGGGGCGCATCAGAAGATGGCTGACAATAACATCTCTCCGACCCACACGAGGTAATTTGGAGGCTATGATGGGAGTAATTAGCCTCCCTACCCTCCCCCAGGATGTGGGGGGGACTGCCCTTGCCTGCTGTGCCCTATACCACCCCCGAATTTGTGGGGATGGGGGCACTAGGCACAAAGCCCTCCTGTGGGATTTCGGCGCTCCTGGACGCCGTCCCTCATCTGCGCCACTAGCGGCAAGAACTTCAAAAGAAACAATTTGGATGAAGGAATGCACATATTTCAAGGAAGGAGGGGGAGTAAAGACTGCTAACAGAAGAGATCTCTGATAAAACAAGACAAGTCGGAGGAACAAGAATAAATCATGAGAAGATACGCCAAGACTCGGTATGGCAAATGACTGATGGGGGAGGGGGGAAAAAACTTTACTTTCTTTCCTTATGTGATTAAACAAGAATCCCCTCCCCTTACAAGTCAGAAATGTCGTATTAAGGACTTAAGCTGTGGATTTAAGGCTGTGTGGAGATAAACTTTCGAACCAAAGCATGTTTTAAGAAGAGCGTGGAATGTATAAGAGCTTTGGAATGACGCAGTTAAAAATGCTGTTGCCATATTGGGAAGTTCTGTCGGAGGTCTTGAGTCTGGGAGGAGAAATAGAGAAATAGAGCTGTTTTTATATTGTGGGTGAAACTCCTCAGAGGGACTTAAGAGCGACAGTTTTGCGAGATTAATGATGGAAAGAGCGATGTTATCTATGAAGGCGATGATATATGGAAACCATCTCGATTTGAGGATTGGAAGAACGGAAATATTCACACAGGATTATTATTGGTGTTTATCGGCTTAAGGAGACTATCAGAAGAGATCATAAAGAAAAAAGAGAAAATATATGAACAAGATGTGATGTGGAAAGAGCAAGAAAAGACTGGATAGAATTATGAACTCTGTTTGGATTGATTCGGACTGATTTGGACATTAACGCAGTAGCAAGAAGATGATCAGAATCCCCCTTCGGATATTGAAATATGGGTCCCCCCAAAAAAATTTAAAATTCGGCTTTGTAATTCGGAATTTATGTGATGTGATTTAATTTGATTAGATTGGCCGGTTAATAAAAAATATATTTTAAAAAAAGAAGGTTGTGGACTCTCGTTTACTGAAGGTTTTTAAGCAGAGGTTGGGTGGCCATCTGTCATGGATGCTTTAGTTGAGTTCCTGCATTGCAGGCGTTGGACTAGATGACCCTCAGGGTCTCTTCCAACTCTACAATTCTAAGATTCTATGGATAAGGAACAATACAGAATAAGCAATGCCTCAGAATGGGAGAGAGATCAATCAGGCAGGTCAAAAGCTTGCTAGGACAAAGGGGCCATAAGCAGCTCCTGTCAAGAGCATTCCTGCAACACCCCAAGTTTCCAATCACGTTCCAAAGACTGCTAGGGCAGGCAGATTTATGGGCATGTTTTATTCTGTGGTGGTTAGAAGCAGGCCCCATTCACTTTCCTTATTATTATTATTATTGGCAGTCATCGGAGGTAATACAAATCCCTGGAGAGAACAGCATTTCACCCAGCACCAATTAGACAATAAGCTGGTAGGAACAATGACTGGGAAGCATTTTGTCTGCAGCAACAAAGGGCTCATTCACACTTCTGTCTGTTCCGTGCCTGGGAAGCATGGTTTTGAGCAGTTTTCATCTCGTCTCACACTTTCCAGGCACAGCTCCAAGCAATTTTGCCTTTGCCCCACTGCTTTCCTCCAGCCTGCTCTTTAGCGCTAAATCAGAACAAATGGCATTCCACGGAAAACCCGATTGCTGTTAGTTCTGATTCAGCACTAAAGATCAGGTTTCCCCGAGCAAAAGTGGCCGGGCAAATGAAGATGTGGATAAGCTCACCTCACAACAGCTGCAAATGTTTTCACAGCCACCTTCACCCAAGTATGCACACAGAGCAAGAGACTCTGGTCTGAATTACACCCACAGAACCTGAGCTCTCTGCTGATAGCCAAAAGCAAACAAAGCGTGCCTGAAAAGCTATATATGATCCCCTTGTTTAAACCAGTTTGGAACAACTTCCCCCCATTTCCTAAGTTTGCCTCCTCGAGAGGCCTTTTTTACTTCAATTTGATCATACAGCTTCTGCTCTCCAGGTAGCAGAGGCTCCTTGTTGGCAATTTTCTGTATCAACTCAGCTACTTTCCTCACTTCCTTCAGGGACCAGATTCGCTGCTGATATCCAGGCTTCAGCGTCTGTTCTTCGGACAGGATGAGCAGATCAATGTACTCTGGGGTAGAGAGTGGGTTGGGCTTCAGTGCAATCGCCTGAAGGCGCTGGAGGCTTTGAGATGATTTCTGGATAAGCTCTTCTAAGATGTCCTTCACTTCTTCATAGTCCTCATTAAGATTTTTAAGCAATTTCTCTGTGGTCATCAGCTCACCAGAGGCACGTTCATACTTTTGCTTCAGTTCTTCATAGGTCCTGCTCTCTTTTCTTGTTGTATATTCAAATTTGTATTTCTGATTGAAGTGCACACTCCACTCACACTGGCCTGGACAGACTTTGCATCTTCCTGTCCTCTTATTGATAGCTGCACAATGATGCTTATCTTCATCTCTAGGAATTCTACAAGGATAGTGACAGGTGAAGTGACAATTCATGCAATTAGTTATGTATTTTCCCATGCCAGATATATCCTCCTTCTTTGGTACAGTTACCTCTACCTCATATGTAAAGTTTCTGTTTGCCGCCACGTCAACCTTATGCTTGTCCAGGGCTTCCTGCGTCTTCCTCAGTTCTTCTAGCTTGGCCAGTCCAGCTTTGATTTGGGGCTGCAACCCTTCAATAGCAGCTTCAAGCTCTTTTCGCTCCATGAGCACTTCCTTTGTCAATGTTAAGCTCTTGCTTTCTAGCGTGTGGGATGAATCAAAGAAGGTCTTCATGCTCATGGTGCCCATTTTCCAAAACATTTCATCAAAATTGAAGTTGCCTCCCGGCTCCACAGGATTGTTGGCAAACAGTGCTGAATTGTTGAATTTGAAGTGCACAGGGGTGCCCTTGGCATTCTTAGCACATGGTACATTGGCTTCCTTAATGGCCTCGAGAACAGGAGGGGTCTTTCCATCTGAAAATGTGATCAGGACTTGGATGTTGTCCTTTATATCTTTGCCAAAGATGGAGAGCACAGAATCAAAGACGTATCTCTGGGCATGAGTTAAACGAGCAAAAGAGGCCTGGACGACAATACAGATGGCGTCTATATGATCAGTGCCCCCTGGGGAGGAGAAAAACTCCCGGATCTGCTTTGTTATCAACTTGTCATGCTCTATTCCTCTTGTGTCTCCAAATCCTGGAGTGTCAATAACGGTGAGGGAATAGGGGACTTGGAAACCCTTGCAGTAGTGGACAACGTAGGCAGTCACTTCTGATGTTTGGCTTTGAGCTTGGCTTCTGTTGGTATTTTCATGAATAAGTTTGAATCGGAATTCATCTCCCCATTGCACATCCAGGACATAATTGATCATTCCATTGATGAGAGTGGTTTTCCCTGATCCTGTTGCCCCCATCACCATGATCACTTTGTTGGGGGCATGAATGTTCTCTTTCCCTAGCTGGTATGTTAGACAGGATCCAGAGGCATCCTGTATGGGCTCCAGGGGCAGAGCATACACTGCTGGTGGCCCATCCTCCACGCGGGTGCTGCCTTGGAGGTATTTACAAGCTACTCTCTTGTCTCCTTCCAATGTGGAAACCTCAATCTCTATGCTGGGCTCACTCTCAGCCCCATCGGCACACATGGCTGAGACTCTGAATCTGTAGGGTGTCTGGGGCTTCAGACCATCCATCTCACAGAACTCTGTTTTCTTCCCTGTTCTTTTTTCAGCCCATTCATCTTTGTCCTTGCTTTTTGCCTCTCCAGCCTCTTCACTGTAGTCCACTTTGTATTCCTTTATAACAGCTCCCTGGCCAATGACCTTTGGGCTCTCCCAGGCTATACTGATTTTGGAAGACTCTGCGATTATCACTCTCAGTTCCCCAGGAGGGCTGGTAGGAAGTGTCTGTACAGATTTACTCACATTGCTGGTCTCACTAAGTCCTGGTTTGCTCCTAGCGCTGTATCGAAACTGGTATTCTGTGTTTGCGCTCAACCCTCTCACTTGGAATGTCTCCTGACTGTCGTCAGTATTCACAATCTTCCAATTTTCTTCTCCTGCAATCTTGTACTCTACTTGATAGCTGGAGATTGCAGCCCTCCCATACTCCGCAGGTTGAAATGTCAGCTGCACATGGTCATGTCCAGTTCGGCCAACCAGGGGAGGGAGAGGTTTTGAGGGCAGCTCAAAGTTGCTGCTGACCATCTTCCCATCTTCATAGAGGTAAATGGAAGCTCCTGGGTTGTCCTGATCTGGGACAGAAGCCACAAGGAACCGGGTCTTCCCGTTTGATTTATTGACCTGGGAAAAATCTGTAATGGATTTGGCAGCGTTACGAGCATTCCAAATTCTCTCTTGATGCTCAAACCAGGCTTCTTTGTTCTTGGGTGTCGACTGGCCACTGGTGGAATTTGCTGTTTCCTGAACAAAATCTTTCTGAAGCCAGTCTTGTAAGGTGGCTAAAAATGGTTCCTCATCATGTAAAGAAGTGAAGGTAAATGAGACAACAAACTCATTTGCAGGGTTTAGCACGATTTCTACCAGTTTGTTCTGGGAAGAGATTACTTCCATTCCACTTAGAATACTAAGGTAAAAATTCAACAAATTAATCTCTTTTTCCTTGGCATCCAAAAACTCACTGAGTCTTTGGCTGTTGAAGGGAGACTGGTTAATGGACATTAAAATGTCCACCAGAACTCTTTCCTCTTTCCCGCCTCCCCGGATCAAAGGCAGGATTTCTGCCAGGTGTTTCTGGAAAGTCTGCCTGTGCTGCTTGCACAGATCCTTGAATCTCTTGATTTTCTTCTTTAATTCTGGGAAGTTTTCAGCAACAGGATTCATAGCCAGATCATTGCATCGCATGTTGATTTCATTCAGATTCTCCAAGACAGTTTGAGCATCAAAGATCAGTGCTAAGCTGATCTCACGCACCATCTTAGCTGCTCTGGAATCTAGCTTGGTCAATGGGTACAGCCAAACTCTGACAGGCACAGCCTTCTCTCCATCCTCCCCGAGCTTTTGGGGCAGATCGCTGTAGACTTTCATGGCATCTTGAAAAGTCACAGGATTACTTTCCAAAGAAAAATCCCCATAGAACTTGCAGCTGAAATTCTCCGTTTGGGCTTTCTCCTTCTCCTCCATCTTGACAGATGCTTCCCCTTTGACAGAGACTGCAATCAAGTTGACCGCAGCGTGGAGGCTTCCTTGTATGTCTTGCATGGACTCAGAAGAAGAGACATTTCGGTCGAACACAAAGAAAGCCTGGGCTCCATACAAGATGGCAGTGACAACATGGGTGGCTGTGCCATGCTCAAAAACAGCTGGATAAGCGACATTTTGGATTCCCAAATGGCTCATGGTCAGCTGTGAATACTTGGTGGTAGCTTTGTACTGCAGAGTGACTCTGGCCTGTTTTGTGGATTTCTTGGTGTCTTGAAGGAATTTGCCTGATCCATCCACTTCAACCAGTCCCCCCAAAAAACTGGCCTTGAGCGATGCAGAGACATTGAGGGCAGAGGCCTTATCATCGATGGAATCAGATGCAATGATTTCATATTCAGTCTTTGGTTTTGGTTTGATACACAAGTCCTTCTGAAGCGAGTCCTGGTCCCAAAGGGTGATTCCTGGGATAAAGCAGAGAAATATGCAAGGCTTGAGTATGTTCATACAAATGTAGAACACAATTTGTCTAATGCCTAAGGCTAAACAGAGAAACAAGGAGTTAAAATAGAGCTATCTGTTAAGTTGTGGGTGAACATATCAGACGACACAGCGATTCTTCAAACAGCTCTTGTTTATTCAGAGGCCAGAACAGAACTGAGCTGAAGGGCTCAGTCAGCCTGCTTATATAGAGCTCCAGTACGTTACTGTAGCAACTTTCTAAAACTATCCAATCACTGAATGTCACTTTCGATCCTTCATTTGCATAACTATCTACAGTATCCCCCTGCTGGTCCAGGGTGAGAACTTCAGTACATAACACTATCATTGCCCACAATGTCTGCACTCATGAATTTTGTCCCACTGTCATCCCCAACGGAAGAGGTCTGTGCAGTTTTGTAAAACTTTGCAAAAGGCAGGGAAAATATTTGACCAGTGTGATAGGAATTTTGACGTCTTAGATATATGTTAAATGTTCATAAGTGTACCAACCAAGCACATACATAGATCAGCACAGGAAGACCGATCTGGAACCATTTTGATTCCCAAACTGTCCCAAACTGACCAAATGTTTTCTCTTCAAGGTCAAAGGAAAATGGAAAAGCCTCCCCATTGTCTTTTCCTTCACAAATCCTATCTTAAGGATATGTCTGTGTTTTAATAGGGTGTGAGCCTGTGACATGGTCCAGGAACTAAGTATTTATCATTACAAAAGACTGGCCAGGCTCCCCAGGCAATCCAGTCAAGTAACCTGCCAGACAGGAGATAAACAAGGACAGGAGAAAAACAACATTCAAATTTCTGTTTTAGACCGCCTTTTTTGTGATGTAGGTGTGATGTATCTGGAGGGTGGTCTTAGATTACACCCCTTCTGTGATGTATGCATGATGTTTCTGGGGGTGGTCTTGATCTACAGGGTGGCAATCTCAAAAGTCTTTATAAGGCCTTGCGTGCCATTTTTCTGGGTTCCTCCTCCTTTCCTGCGTGTGAGGGGAGCGCCCTGTTGAAACAGATCAATAAAGATCAGGCTTACTAGCTGCTTTGCTTCTCAATATTCTCTGGCTGGCCTCTGTTATTTTCTTCGACCAACAGGGAACCTATGTAAGGACTCTATATGGGCTCTTGGATACCCCATAAGGGGAAAGGGCAATTTTTGTTTACAACACCAGATATGATAGTGGAACAAATGTGAACATTTCATGAGCTTCTGTTGTACAGGCCTCAGAAAGGGGGTGGGCACTGGCTCAGCAGCAGCGATAAGATTCAATCACCACCATTTAGGGCTGTGAACATCTCCTGATTGAAGCCATAGAGAGCTGGTGCTAGTTGTTGACTGGCATGGAAAAAATGGGTAAACATAAGGAGAATTCCCTGGAGGCCGGGGGCAAGATCCAAGTTGGAGCAAAACCCTTTGGTGAGAGAACATCAGCAAATTTAAAATCACAAAATATGCAGCAAAGCAAAGTGTGGACATTTAGGCTGTCAGACCTTTAAAAATATGTGCTTGTGAGAACTGTTAACAGAGAAATCCGAGGGCTCCCTTGGACAAAAAGCAAGGACACCAGCCAGGACAATTGGAGCAAAACAGCAGCCAGCAAAGGTGGCTACTGTGCAATCCTTTTCTCTGCACAATTTAAAGAGCTAAATATTAACCTGCTATTCACCCTCCCAGATGTGTGGGTCCATGTGAACCTGAAAGGGACTTGCATGTCACGTCTCTTAAGGATATTTGCAAGTGTAGCAGTGCACACAGCTAGCCATAGGCTATCATGTAAAAATAACACATGTTGCATTTTGTTACTAAATTACTTGTGGTATTCTAGCACCTTGGGAGAAACATTTTCTCAATAGTGGTCTATGCTTTTCACTTAGCAGGAAGGTCCAATAACAATTGGAAATGCAGTTTGCTTTGTCCTCCGCCTTTTTGTGTGTGTGTTCTCAGGTGTCAAGCTAGCTCTCCTCTGGTCTCACACCTCCATCGTGCCACAGCAGCAACAATTCCTGGTGAATCCCCTTAGGGCTTTCATATTGACCATGTCGCCTGGCAGTCACCATAGCTGCCACAGGTTTGGACATGTCATGAGAGAAGATGTCTTTGCCCTGGCCTTTCTATGGGATTTTATTATTATAGCCTCTGGTCTTGGGAAGTTCATGAGAAGTTGCTCACTTGCTCTTAAAGGACCAAAAAGCTAATTGCAGCCTGGATACACTTGCCCAATTCAAACTGAGTCCAATTAGAATTTATATAGGCCCATGCTTCTCAACTTTCAAACCAATCTGTTAAGAGAACCATTTTTTTTTTTTAAAGGGCACTTGTCCAAATATAGTCAATTTAACTCTATAAGGGATTATTCCTGCTAAATCAAAGCATATACACCTTCATGTATCTGCTGTGTCATGGGTCCTGAAGCTTTTTCTTGGTGAAGTGAATTTAGAACAATTTAAAATGGGTAGAGAAGGTTGGCACACTGCAGAGTGCCAGGTGGGGCAAGGAAATGTGGTCATCAGTTGACTTTCTTTTCTAAATATTGGACTATACAATAGCCTGATCTATTTGAAAGCATGAAGTGCGTATGAATCCTCCATTGGGGTGTAAGCAATAAGATGCTATACATTGAACATAAAAACAATTATACACAAAATTGGGTCTCCCCTTTGTGGAAATAACACACCATCAGACATATTTCAGCATTCCTACATAATAACACATAATACACACAACATACAATTATTAATTCCACACCAGTCTTTGAGGAAATCATGTGATTTTGAGACAATTCTTGCTTTTACACATATCCTTAACCATTGGGCAAAAGGGCTTGAGGTCAGAAAGAAAGAAAATGTCCTTAAAGTGCAACTTCCCCCTGTTTGTCACCCCCCTCCACAGTCTATGTCCTTGGAAAGAAATTTTTGTGGTCACTCTGAAAACTGATGACTTTTGTTGTTGTTGCAGGTAATAGTCTTGTGGTGGCGAAGAATTGGGTTGAGGGGTTGTTGTTTTTTCATCATTGGGTCTGTAGTAACACATCTGTAGATAGGATATCTTGCAAGGGGGCAGGGTTTTTCGGGGACTTAAAGACACAGTTAGAAAAGGAAGGGGCAAAAGGCAAAAAAAGAATGTCCTTGAGCTTCCTTGGGAAGCTGCAAATAAAAATCTTAGCGCATTAAGCATTTTATTCATTTCAATATTATTGTCACATTTCCATATAATTGCTGTTATTATCTGCTAAGTTTGTTTGGTTTCCTTCACTTAGTTTTTTTTTTTAATGAATATTATTAAATAAAAATTACTCCACATGTACAGAAAGCGAAGGGTAGAAATACAAGAAAGGTGAAAATATAAAAAGAAAGCAAAAAAATTAGATTACCAGTCAGATGAAAGCAGACTTGACACAAAGACATCAGATTTAGAAAATAATTATTATTAAATAATGCAAAGATATTATCAAAACCACATAGATTACTGGACTTAAAAATGGGAAAACAATGGAAAAAGGCTTAAAATTCATCACGTGCTATCTCATAAAAGAGAACTTCATGAAAATGACTTACATATGGTACCTGATCCCATCCAAATCAGTCAGAATAAATAAATATCAGCAATAAGTTTTGGAGATGCAACAAAATGAAGGAACTTTATTCCACATGTGATGGACATGTCCCCAAAGTAAGAAAAGGACATGACCTATGAGGAACCAAAAATAAATAAATGCTAAAACACACACTTTTAAAAGAAACTCTATGCCTATCTATTTTGGCATTCTAACAATGAGCATCCCAAATGAAAATACAATACTTGGTTGTGCTTAGATTAATTTCATAGACATAATGGAAAAACTGATTTAATAAATGAAAACAGATTATATGTAACTTAAAAAGTATCAGAAGCCACAAAGAGATAAAGGGAAGTCAACTAACATAGCAGAGATTCAGAATTTTTTCGCAGAACAGAAAGAATGTGACTGTGTGACTATAAGGGAAGAAAGACGAAAAGAAATACAAATGCAATTACTTTTCTGAGAATCTTGGATACAGAATATTTAAATTACTTGGATAAAGAATATTTAAATTACTGTTTGTATCCTTTCACTTTTTTCTTTTTCTTTTTGGTGCTGTGGGAGAAAAGAAGGAACAAACACTTTCTTAGTGGGGTTCATGTATCCTGTTGAAAGGGAAAACTATTTCATATGAAAAATCTGTCAGGAAATGCTGTTCCTAAAATGCATAGGCATATTGTCGCCGGAAGACCCCCCCCCCTTCATTACATTGTAATGCACAAGCACCACACACACCTCCCATCTCCCTGAACCGGGCGATGCCCCTTCTAGAGGGGCATCACCTCAACAGATGATAGCCTTCCGTAAATAAGGAAGCGCTGATTTCTTTTAAATAGCCTTTATTTCTATGTGTTTCTTCCACGTTTCGCTCTGCCCTATCTTTATTGTGAGTAGACCAGGCGCCTGAACTCCAGGTCAGCCGGCAGCCGTTTCAACCAATCAGTGTTACCGAACAGCGCCCCTTGTGGCGGCCACGCTGGTACTGCAGGCAGCAGGCCCTCGCTTCTCTGTCTTTGACAGCTTCCTAATACAAAGTTTCCGGGTTCAATTGACCGTGACTGATTTAATCAAAATGTAGCAATCACTTCCTGAGGAGTGAAAGTGCTTGAACTTCAGCGGCAGTATTCTTCATAAATTCACCATAAATCAACCGTACGTCGGATTTTCATCGGACCACTTTTATTCTACTCCATATTACAAGGACTGCCAAAGGGGGGTGGCTTGTTGTCAGTCAGCCATAATCCCTTGACCGAGCAGGCACGTATTCTGCAGCCCTTCCCCACTTGACTCAGCAACCTTGATAGTCGCCTTGATGGGCTCAGACGAAAGACTATCAAAGACACAATGAACTGCATATGCTAGTGTATTCAGCACGGACTATGACAAAAGAACTGTGACCGGAGTCCCCTCAGGGGGCAGGAAACTGCGCCCTTCCTTTTGTTCTCCGGAAAGACTTATGGCAAGGAGGGGAGGGGGACCCCGCCAGGTGTCAGGATACTCGGATTACCTGTGCGACCCCTCCTCTGGCTCCTCCTGTTTTTAATGTAGTCATGATGTAAATATGATGTATTTCTAGGGGTGTAACTTAGGGGATTAGGAACTAATAAAAGTTGGGGTCTTCTTTTGTTCGGGGCTTCCATCTTGCTTCACCTCGTGGGCGGTGGGAGTCCTGTCGCGACAGTCTTTTCTTCAATAAAGACCAAGCCTACTGGCTGCTGATTTGCTTCCAATTGCTCTGGTTGGTGTCTTTGTTTTTGTCCAAGGGAGCCCTCAGATTTTCCGTTAACAGTTGGCGACCACGAAGGGACACTTGGTTCTCCTGTAGAGGTGAGGAGGGAGAAAAGAGGGGATCGGGCGCCACTGGGCAGCCTTAGCCCAGGGATCTTTTCTCCTCTCCCTGCCTCCCTTTGCGGGCGGTAATCAACCGTCACCGAAAGCTCAACCAGGGGAAGCAAAGGCAAGGTCAAGCCGGCTAAGGGGAAAGATCCCGGGATCTTCGAGGGACATCTAGGAACGTGAGTATGGTTTGAAGGAAATACATTGGGAAGGGGGTGGAAAGCAACGTCCCCATGACAGCTGGACTTTTTCTTCCTTCTATCTCTGGCGTTACCTCTCGGAGTCGTCCAGGAACGTCCTAAACTTTCTCTGTCTCTCCCCTATTTCCCTTTCGGAGCTGGGCCGGGGAAATTGTGGAATCTTTGTTGTATTCCGACGTTACCTCTCGGAGTCGTCCAGGAACGTCCTAAGCTTTCTCTGTCTCTCCCCTATTTCCCTTTCGGAGCTGGGCCGGGGAAATTGCGGAACCTTTGCTGCTTTCCGACGTTACCTCTCGGAGTCGTCCCGGAACGTCCTAAAAAGATCTCTCCTTTTCTCCCCCGTTTTCCCTTTCGGAGCTGGGCCAAGGAAAACGCAGTGCTTTGCTATTTCTCTGACGCCCTCCCTCGGAGTCGCCCGGAGGCGTCCATCCAAAACCTCCCTCTCTCCTTTTCTCCCCGTTTTTCCCTTTCGGAGTGTGGCTGGGGAAAAGCGCGGTACTTTGGCATTTCTCTGACGTCCTCCCTCGGAGTCGTCCGGAGGCGTCCATCAAAATCTCTCCTGCTCTCTCTCTCTCTCTCTCCTCCTTACGCAAATGAAGCCGCCCCTCCTGCTCGGCGACCCTTGTTGGGGATGACCCGGGTACGTGAGAACGCAAGGTCATTTGCTTCCTTTCCAAACTTTGTTTTCTCGGACCTCGATCTGGCACTGCATTGCGCAGGCGTCCAGTAGGGAGCCCGACCCTAGTTTAAAGGCTAGGTAGGAGGCTGTCGTGGGGAACAGAACGGGAGGTACACAAATTGGGGCCCCACACTAGGGTTAGTCTTGTAAACAGTGCTGAGGCAAAGGAATACTGGATCCGTGGTTAGGAATTCGGGCGAGGAGACCCGTGGTTAGGAATTCGGGCGAGGAGACCCGTGGTTAGGAATTCGGGCGAGGAGACCCGTGGTTAGGAATTCGGGCGAGGAGACCCGTGGTTAGGAATTCAAGTTCATGTCTGAGATTTTTACAGATAGGTAGAAATTGAGTTACTCAAGGATACTTCAAGTACTGAAAGGATATTTTCTCTTTTTCCCCTGCCCCTCTTTTTTCCCCTTTTCATCGCCCCTTCCCCCCTTGTGTGTGTGCCCACTCTTTCTGTCCTTAGTGTACTGCAAAGAATGGGGGCCCATGCTTCCAAGCATTCAGGCTGGACTCCTCCAGGCGGTAAGGCTTCCGCCGAGCCTTTCCGCCCGAGAGAGGACTCTGATACCCCTCTTCAATTTGTTCTTTTAAACTGGAAAGAGTTGAGAGGGAGGAAAGGACTCTCAAAGTCTAAATTAAGGGACCTTTGCAACATCTCGTGGGTCGCTTTTACCCACCATCTAGAGCCGGCCTCGCAATGGCCACCCCACGGTTCCTTTAATCTTGTGAAGATGCAAGCACTTAAGTCGTATCTGGCAGATGAGAAACCCCGACAACTGTACTATCTCAATGCCTTCATTGAAGCCCGTGAATTGTTTCAACGACAACAGACTCAAATCGTTCGGCAAATGGCTGTTTTAAAAACGACCAGGCCTCCCCCATATGATGAAATTAGAACCCAGGAGGAACAATTGGATAGAACCCTCGTTTCTTTCTACTACCCCGAACCACACGCCCCCCGACCGCCTGAATCCAGGGCAGGAGACAGGACAGGAGCCGGTGGGGGAGGCGGTGCGGGACCCGGGGAAAACGTAATTAATCCACCCGCTGCTGCCCCCTCTCGAGGCGCACCAAGTACATCACCGCCCAACCCTTCCACAAGTGCGACCAATATAGGAAACCAAATAGATTCGGACTTAGAACCCCCACCTAACAGACAGCTTCTCAACGGAGAAAGAGAGGGACCCGTCTCCAGTAGAACTCGAAATAGGGATAATCTGCCGAACGGAGAAGTAGAGGGAGCTTTTCCCCTAAGAGCGTTGCCTATACCCCCAACCAGGGCAGGAGACCCACCCCGCATGGTTTTTACTCACCAACCCTTCCTCACTTCGGACTTAATGAACTGGTCCGACAAGATGCCCTCCCTACGGGATGACCCCGACAAATGTCACCACCAGGTGGCCACCAACTTTTCCACCCACAACCCAACGTGGGCGGATGTACATATGTTACTTGGGGCTCTTTTTAATGAGGCAGAAAAGAGGGAAATACTGACAAAGGCAGGAGAAGCTTTAGCTCGGGAAGGCTACCAACCGGACCGACCTGCCTCGATGGCCCCCCTGACCGCCCAGACCCTACTAAATGACCCCGACTGGAACTATAACACTGAAGATGGCATATGGGGTTTAAAAATTTTTAAGAAAGCCATCCTAGATGGTATCAAAGCTGCGGGACAGCGAACCGTAAACTGGACCAAAGTCCAAGCCGTCCTTCAAGGACCTGATGAACATCCATCTGACTACTACTCAAGGCTAGTCTCAGCTATTAAGACCTGGGGGGAATAGATCCGGAGAGCCCCCAGCACGAAGTAATAGTCAAAGGATTTTTCAAAGATCAAGCTACACCCGACATTAGAAAAGCATTGAATTCACACCTAGGGTATGATGGAAAAACCATAAATGAAATCCTTTCCATCGCTAAATCCGTCTTCAACACAAGGGATGAACGGAAAAGAAAAGACCAAAGGCCCGATCTCCCACGGGTGTTAGCCTATGCGGCTGGGGTTCCTACCCCCAAAGAAAAATTTAAGCCATGGGGACCTGAACTACTAGATGACCGCGTTTGTTACAACTGTGATGAAGTAGGACATATAAGAAGAAATTGCCCCCTTGTGACGGGATCCAAAAGGATTGAATATAGAAATTCAAGACCATACAAGTCTGACTACAGGGAAACCACCCACCCCAGGTACAGGGAGTCTACCACCCCATACCGACCTAATCAATCCCCAACCCGAACGCAACCCTACGCAGAACCCCCTCCTCCACAACCGTGACCACGAAGTCAACCCCACGAAGCTACCAACCCCTTTAAACAAGGCGGTCGCCCCACAAACCCAACTCATGAGATGGTAATGGAGGAATATCAGGCGCATTGACAATTAGAAGCAGATCCCGGCTCCTTTTCTTTCCTATGTCCAGTTTTACAACTATCCTCCTCCGACCCCATATGCACTATGCAAATTGATGGCCAGTCCTATGATTGTCTCCTAGACACTGGGGCCACCTACTCCACCCTTACGAATAGCCATTTAGCACCGGGGGACGAAACCAGAACCGTAGTGGGGCTTGATGGAATCCCCCGGAATTGCCCCCTTTCCAGGCCTGCGAGGGTCTCCGTCGGACCTCTATCGGTTAAACATACTTTCCTACTAACTTCCAGCCCAGTTAACCTCCTGGGGAGGGATCTGCTATGTAAGTTGAACGCTACTATACAATGCGGCCAAGAAGGGATTTACTTGCACATGCCAAACGACTCCATTTTCAACTTCCAAGGGGTTCTTCAAGAAGCTAACAACAAATTCACTGACCTTCCTCCCGAGCTTCTTAATAGCGTCCCCTCTTGGTTATGGGGAACTGAATCAACATCCGTTGGACTCCTAAAATCGGCAACCCCAGTAAAAGTTAACTACAGGAAGGACCTGCCATTCCCCTGTACAAAACAATACCCCTTGCCTCCTGAAGCAATCGAAGGACTTACCCCAATGATTGATGAATTTCTGAAGATGGGAATTCTAGTTCCCTGTGCCTCGCCATGTAATACCCCGCTTCTCCCCGTCAAGAAGCCTAATACTAACCCTGTCAAATGGCGCCTCGTCCAAGACCTTCGACTTGTCAATTCTTTTGTTATCCCCAGACACGCTGTTGTAGCCAACCCCCACCACCTTCTAAGCACGATCCCGGAGGGAACTGTCGTCTACTCCGTCATAGACCTATGTTCCGCCTTCTTTAGCATCCCCGTGGACCCAGAAAGCCAATTTCTCTTTGCCTTTACCTGGCAAACCGGTCAATTAACATGGACTCGGTTACCCCAGGGATATGTGGAATCTCCGGCAATCTTCTCTTCCATATTACACCAGGACTTACTAGACGTGAACCTTCCGGGAGGCTCCGCCCTCAGGCTCTATGTGGATGACATTTTACTTTGTGGGCGGGATTTGGAATCCTGTAAGTCAGACACTATAGCCCTCCTGACAATACTGGCGCACAAAGGACACAAAGTATCCCCCAAAAAGATACAGTACTGCCAAAGGGAAGTGAAATATCTTGGCCACATTCTTGGAGAAGGCACCCGTGCCCTCGCCACAGATAGGATTGAAGCCATAACGAAGCTGCCCCTCCCCAAGACTAAGAGGCAGCTCAGGGGCTTCATCGGGATGAGTGGGTTTTGCCGAGCATGGATCCCCCGCTACGGAGAATTCACTCGCCCCCTCACCGCCATGACACACGACAATGCCCCAGACCACTTGCAATGGAGTGCAGAGGCACTCGAAGCCTTTGAATCTATCAAACGGGAACTGAGGTCTTCACCTGCCCTCGGACTCCCCGACTATAGACTACCTTTCTCTTTATTCGTCCATGAAAATAAAGGAGTAGCCTCGGGTGTCCTTACGCAACCTTTTCAGGGAAGGAACAGGCCCGTTGCTTACTACAGCCTTCAACTGGACACTACCGTAATGGGAAACGTGGGGTGCCTTAGAGCAGTGGCAGCTGCAGCACTACTTCTTGAAAAGGCGCAGGAGACCGTCTTGGGACATGAACTAACCGTAAATGTTCCCCATGCCATGGCCACCCTCCTCAGCTTGCAAGGGTGCCAACGCTTCACGATCCAAAGACTGAATAGATACGAAGCCATCCTCCTCAGTCCGTCAAATGTTACCATAAAAAGAGTGAACTCCCTTAATCCGGCAACCCTCCTACCCCTCCCTGACGACGGTACCCCGCACCACGACTGTTCCCAGGTGGTCCGACACGCTGAAAAACCACGTGAGGACCTCGACTATCTTCCCTTAAGTAACCCCGACCTTATATTATACACCGACGGGAGCTCAAAAATTGTGGGAGGGGAACGGAAAAGTGGATATGCAGTTGTTAGCGACACTGACATCCTTGAAGCGCGTCCCGTCCATGCTAGGTTTAGCGCACAGGCTGCAGAACTTATTGCCCTGATCCGAGCCTGCGAATTAGCAACAGAACAGAGGGTCACTATTTACACAGATTCTAAATATTGCTTTGGGTTAGTTCATGCCACCGGACAAATCTGGCTACAGAGGGGTTTTTTGACCGCTGCAGGCACCCAAATAGCCCACGCACCTCTAGTACAACGTCTTATGGATTCTATACATCTTCCAGAAGAAATAGCAGTAGTCCATTGTAAAGCCCATACCAAGGGAAAAGACCCAGTATCAATGGAGAACCGCTGTGCTGACCGCGTGGCACAAGAAGCAGCCCTCCAACCACTGTCTGCAGATGGTGAATTTCAGGGACCCCAGGTTCCGTCGGACGTAGACTTTAACCTAATGTATAAAACCGCCACCCCAGAGGAAATCAAGGGATGGGAAGAGCAGGGAGCTCTCTTCAGCAACGGCATATGGTACCTCCCTGACAAGAGACTCATAATGCCCCGGCTCTGGGTACCCAAACACATAAGAATACTACATCAGTGTACCCACTGGGGAAGGGACAAACTCATAGACTCCGTCCAACGCTGCTGGTACGCTCCAGGACTGGCTCTGGCTGCAAAATCAGCAGTAAAGAATTGTCACACCTGTCAAACCTTTAATCCAAAGCATACTGCCAGATGTCCGCCAGGAGCCAGACCGTGGGCTTTTGTCCCTTTCGAAAGCCTCCAAGTCGACTTCATAGATCTACCCCCTTGTCAGGGCTACAAGCATGCCCTTGTCATTATTGACCAATTAACAGGATGGGTGGAATGTCTCCCGACTCGCCGAGCTACTGCCCAAATGGTCGCAAAAACCCTACTGCATGAAATAATACCGCGTTTCGGGGTTCCGAGACACATAGACAGCGACAGGGGCTCACACTTCACTTCCGACGTAGTCCAGCAAGTCGCTAAAGCCCTAGGAATCAAATGGAGATTGCATACCCCATACCACCCCCCTTCCTCAGGGCAGGTTGAACGAATGAATCAACAGTTAAAGTCCCAGCTAGGAAAGCTCTGCAGGGACTCTGGAATTAAGTGGGTCAATGCCCTCCCCTTGGTTCTACACAATCTCAGAGCATGCCCCCGTGGGAATCTGAACCTATCTCCTTATGAACTGCTTTTCGGAAGACCCTCCCCCGTGTATAGCACGCAATTCCCCCCATCAGAACTAGAAGTAGGCGAGTCTGAATTGACCAAATATATAATGCAGCTCCAGAAGCAACTCATTGTTCTCCACAGATACGTGGCAGCGGGCCAGAACATACCCCTCGACGAGAACATCCATCCGTTCCAACCAGGGGACTGGATATTGGCAAAGGCTTACCAGAAAGTACCCCTGCAACCTACCTGGGAAGGACCTTACCAGGTCCTTCTCACAACCCCCACCTCCGTCAAGGTAGCGGAGAAGTCGGCTTGGCTGCATCATACCCGCTGCAAACCTGCTTCACCACCTGACCTTACCGACGACGACGCACCCTACACCACCCCCCCACAACCGCCAGAGGACGAAGCTGACATAGAGGTAACCCAACAGACCGGACCAGATCGGGGCACGAATCGGGCCCAACAGACCGGACCAGATCGGGGCACGCATTGAGCCCTACAGACCGGACCTGCTTCAACGTCATCGCCGACCCATTGGACCTCCGAAATCGTCCCAACAACGGGCAGCCAAGAGCACCCACCGATCCGCCTCCGACTCCGGAAAACATCACAGCCCGCCGTTTGACAGCTCGCCTTTGACAGCTCGCCTTTGACAGCTCGCCGTTTGACAGCTCGCCTTTGACAGCTCGCCGTTTGACAGCTCGCCGTTTTGACAGCTTGCGTCTGACAGCTCGCCTTTGACAGCTCGCCTTTGACAGCTCGCCTTTGACAGCTCGCCGTTTTGACAGCTCGCCTTTGACGGCTCGCGCCCTCCCTCATCATGCCTCCCATAAAATGCATCATACCTGCTTCCTTCATCTTCCTCATGTTTCCCATTCTTACCGCAACATCCACTGCCATGAACACGCATGCTTCATGCCCAGGAATACAAATCGAATACCAATACCTGCATTTCGGAATTGTGGACATGGTAAAAAGAGGAACCTTAGACCGCCTCGGAGACTTTGACTTTTGCATACCAGAGACCCGTGTCCTCCTCCGCCATTCCATACTGCCCACCATGACCACACACCAGACTTGGGAACTGTTTATCCGCTCTTCAAATTACACCCTACTCGGTAAACTTATACTCAGTAGAGATGGCCCCTGGAATCGAGACCACTGGGCAGCAGGCAGCAAGCAGTCCTTGTGAGGCTTCAGGCCCCGCCCCAGGCCAGGTGGTAAGTGGCAAGAGCAGGGCCCTCAGGCACTCACACAGGGGAGACCTCCTGGGCAGCAGGCAGCAAGCAGCCAGCAGCCCTTGTGAGGCTTCAGGCCCCGCCCCAGGCCAGGTGGTAAGTGGCAAGAGCAGGGCCCTCAGGCACTCACACAGGGGAGACCTCCTGGGCAGCAAGCAGCCAGCAGCCCTTGTGAGGCTTCAGGCCCCGCCCCAGGCCAGGTGGTAAGTGGCAAGAGCAGGGCCCTCAGGCACTCACACAGGGGAGACCTCCTGGGCAGCAAGCAGCCAGCAGCCCTTGTGAGGCTTCAGGCCCCGCCCCAGGCCAGGTGGTAAGTGGCAAGAGCAGGGCCCTCAGGCACTCACACAGGGGAGACCTCCTGGGCAGCAAGCAGCCAGCAGCCCTTGTGAGGCTTCAGGCCCCGCCCCAGGCCAGGTGGTAAGTGGCAAGAGCAGGGCCCTCAGGCACTCACACAGGGGAGTCTTTTCTTTTTCTTCCTTGTTTTGATTCCTTAGGACATGTGTTTGCTTCATGATAGGGGTTGATACTGTGCCCTTCCCCAGTTGTGTCTGTGTACAGAAGTATGTGTATCTCTCCAGTAGTACAAATCTTGCTTCAAAAGGGTGTGATAACTGTTGAGATCCCCATATTTCAGAAGGGTTGGGCTAGATTACTCAGGGTCCCTTCCAACCATACAAATCTCTTGCTGAGAAGGGGGTTAAGTAGAGGATTGTATGTTGTATGTGATGTAAAGGTACTAGGTAGGTAGAAGGAGAGAGAGAGAGAATGTTTCTGCAAGCACTGAGTTAACAGAAATTTAATTTGACCAACTATATTGCTGGCTTTGATGAAAACATGAATTACTGGGTTTCTGTTTTCGTTTTAAATCTAACCCTATTTTTAAAATCTACTCCTTACCCTTCACTTCCTTTCTTCAAATGGTAATTTAGCCAAAAGATGCAACTCTTTAAATGGTATAATAGATTTGCTGAATCATGAACTCTTTGTTGGAAAACTAGCCCCTTTGGGAGAGGCTGGCTCCTCTCCCTGCTCCCGGGACTTGTTTACCGGTGATCTACTCTGGCTGCCATCCGCGCAGTCCAGGCAGACCTTGATAGGCGACATTTCCCAGCGTGGAAAATGCACACCCCCTTTGCCCTTGCATACCAGCAGGGGAAAAGAAAGTAGTCAGAAAAGCTTTTTACATCTTGTTTATTTCTGACTGTACAACTCTACAGAAAACATGTCTGATCACTCAGACTTCTCTCCGAGCAAGTGACAAAGACTTCCTTTACAAACGCAACAGGAAGGTCTCATATTACACACAGAACAAAGACTTGTGTAGCCTGTGAACTTCCGGGAAGATTCTTTCCCACAGCTAGCCACATCATGTGATGTCAACAAGCTGGCAGTTTGCAGCTGCGTTGTACTCATATTGTAACACTCTGTACATGTACAGAAGCTATGTCATCTTACAAAAGAAAGGAAGGAAGGGGGGAAGAAAAAGAGAAAAGAAAAAGGAGGTTTAAACCAAGAGCTGACAAAGCCATGCCCTGCAGGGAGAAATTTATTAAATTTATTTATGGAAAACTTGGAACCATTGAGGGAAATCATCCTTATGTGTCCTTTGCTCCAGGGGCTACTTAAGACAAAAGGGTTAAGTACTGGACCATCAAAAGTGAAGAGGTTGCCAAATTCCAAATCTAACATGCCAAATTCTTTTCACAGGTAAATATCAGAGCACTCCCACTGTAAGTTCCTCTCTTGAGTAGTCCCCCCCCCCCAAGGGATTTAAATGAATTTTATAACAGGTTTTGTTTGTGTGTATACTGTTAACGGAAAATCTGAGGGCTCCCTTGGACAAAAACAAAGACACCAACCAGAGCAATTGGAAGCAAATCAGCAGCCAGTAGGCTTGGTCTTTATTGAAGAAAAGACTGTCGCGACAGGACTCCCACCGCCCACGAGGTGAAGCAAGATGGAAGCCCCGAACAAAAGAAGACCCCAACTTTTATTAGTTCCTAATCCCCTAAGTTACACCCCTAGAAATACATCATATTTACATCATGACTACATTAAAAACAGGAGGAGCCAGAGGAGGGGTCGCACAGGTAATCCGAGTATCCTGACACCTGGCGGGGTCCCCCTCCCCTCCTCGCCATAAGCCTTTCCGGAGAACAAAAGGAAGGGCGCAGTTTCCTGCCCCCTGAGGGGACTCCGGTCACAGTTCTTTTGTCATAGTCCGTGCTGAATACACTAGCATATGCAGTTCATTGTGTCTTTGATAGTCTTTCGTCTGAGCCCATCAAGGCGACTATCAAGGTTGCTGAGTCAAGTGGGGAAGGGCTGCAGAGTACGTGCCTGCTCGGTCAAGGGATTATGGCTGACTGACAACAAGCCACCCCCCTTTGGCAGTCCTTGTAATATGGAGTAGAATAAAAGTGGTCCGATGAAAATCCGACGTACGGTTGATTTATGGTGAATTTATGAAGAATACTGCCGCTGAAGTTCAAGCACTTTCACTCCTCAGGAAGTGATTGCTACATTTTGATTAAATCAGTCACGGTCAATTGAACCCGGAAACTTTGTATTAGGAAGCTGTCAAAGACAGAGAAGCGAGGGCCTGCTGCCTGCAGTACAAGCGTGGCCGCCACAAGGGCGCTGTTCGGTAACACTGATTGGCTGAAACGGCTGCCGGCTGACCTGGAGTTCAGGCGCCTGGTCTACTCACAATAAAGATAGGGCAGAGCGAAACGTGGAAGAAACACATAGAAATAAAGGCTATTTAAAAGAAATCAGCGCTTCCTTATTTACGGAAGGCTATCATCTGTTGAGGTGATGCCCCTCTAGAAGGGGCATCGCCCGGTTCAGGGAGATGGGAGGTGTGTGTGGTGCTTGTGCATTACAATGTAATGAAGGGGGGGGTCTTCCGGCGACAGTTCCCCCCTTCGGAGATAAGATTGCGAAGGTGGGCACCGTGCAATCCTTCTCTCCGCACAAGCTTAATAAAAGTCTGACGCGCCATACCTAGGGTCCGAGTTGTGCTGGGCTCCTTGGGGTGCCATCTCGATGAAGGTTGAAGGGGTTCCCGCCGGGATCATCCTCTGGGAAACAGCGGTGCGGGAGTGGGGAGATGGGACGCAGTATTCGCACGTTTGACAGCAAAGTGGAAAGCAGTGGATGGCGCAGCAGAAGAAAGCGACACAAATGGCTACGGCGGTTAGAATAAGGAGGCCATTTCCGAGGAGCTGTTTTATCCACGTGGTGCCTGGTAGCCAACCCCAAAGTTGGGTATCAGACAGACCTTCGTGTTGGATATTTCTAAGGTCGTCGGTCAGTTTATGGATGTTGTTGAGATGACCAGTAATGTTCAGGGTCTGGTCGGAGACGTATGTGCAGCACTCAGTTCCCACGAGTGCACATACTCCTCCGGTTGAAGCTAGAATATAGTCCAAAGCAAGGCGGTTCTGGATCGCCATCTGTCTGACCTCAGTCAGCTCTGTTAAGATGGATTGGGTTGCAGTGTTGGATTCCTCCATAAAGGTTAATAAAATGTCTGTTAGTTTAAGGATGTCAACATGGTTGGAGCCTGCTCCGTAGGCAGGGAAAAGGGCCCGTCCGTAGGTTTCCCCGTTGGCTGACACATCGGAGAGTTCCGACAGATCCTTAGCCCTCTTGTTGCGCCTCCTCCCAAGGGGAAGGTCTGGGGTGACCCTGATCCCAGGTAAGATAAGTCCAAGGTAGCAGGTGCCTCGGGAGTGGGGACTAGCCCATACATAGCCGCGGTGACCACACACCCAAAACAGTCCCTGTAGGCAGGAGTCTATACGACCCGTGAGAAAGGTGCGGAAAAAACAGTGGGAGCTGGGGGAGGGGTCCCAAGTGTCAGGCAAATTCATGACTTGTTTCCAGGCTGACAACAAATCTGGATGGGTGGAGGGGACGCCCTGTCGCCACACAGTAATTTTACCGATTAGGGGAATATCAATGAGGTACTTACAAGTACTTTCTCCAATCATCCTGTCGTTGCCGCTAAATTTCCGGCAGAGGTCACCTTTCGTGGGTCCAGTGAGGTAGATGTACTGGTGAGTTAAATTCACAGCAGTCAAGTTCCAGGACCGTACATCGGCAGAAAGATGTTGTTGTAAGGTGAGGGGTACTCCAAGGAATGGTATGCCGCTGTGGAGGTGGGCAGGAGCGTTGGCACAGATCCAGCAGTTGTCAGTGGTAGTTTGCTTTGCGATTTCAGAGACTAGTTTCACATAGGTGTTGGAATGCCAGGTGGACAATAGGTCGCTATTGGTTGGAGTTTGAGATATAGACAGTTCCCCCCTTTGTCGAGGTGCTGTACCTGCAGGGTGGAGAGGGTCTTGTCGAAGTAGATAGGTGAGATTTGTAGCTAGACCGCCACATCTTTGAGGGCCGGAGGTGTCCCACTGAGTTGGTGGTGTGGTGGAGTGGTACCATCCCTCAAGGTATGCTCTGCCATCCCAAGTAGAGGCAAGGCCAATGTCCCACACACAGCAGTACCTCTGGAGGCAGACTCCTTGTAGGGTGGTGGGGCGGGGTGCCGTGTCTACCCTTTGGCAATAAAACCCGTGGATAAGACGGTTGGTTGGATGATTATGGTCAGTGTAAACTGATTCGCCCCCACCATTATCCAAGTTTGTCCAGTTCAGTGATTGTTGGGGAACACCGTCTGAGAATAGTGTATAGGAGCCGTTTATACAGCGGGCTCGATTCCAGGGGCCATCTCTACTGAGTATAAGTTTACCGAGTAGGGTGTAATTTGAAGAGCGGATAAACAGTTCCCAAGTCTGGTGTGTGGTCATGGTGGGCAGTATGGAATGGCGGAGGAGGACACGGGTTTCTGGTATGCAAAAGTCAAAGTCCCCGAGGCGGTCTAAGGTTCCTCTTTTTACCATGTCCACAATTCCGAAATGCAGGTACTGATGTTCGATTTGTATTCCTGGGCATGAAGCATGCGTGTTCATGGCAGTGGATGTTGCGGTGAGAATGGGAAACATGAGGAGGAGGAAGGAAGCAGGCATGATGCATTTCATGGGAAGCATGATGAGGGAGGGCGCGAGCTGTCAAAAACGGCGAGCTGTCAAAGGCGAGCTGTCAAAGGCGAGCTGTCAAGCGGCGAGCTGTCAAAGGCGAGCTGTCAAAGGCGAGCTGTCAAAGGCGAGCTGTCAAAGGCGAGCTGTCAAACGGCGAGCTGTCAAACGGCGAGCTGTCAAGCGGCAAGCTGTCAAAGGCGAGCTGTCAAAGGCGAGCTGTCAAAAGCGAGCTGTCAAACGGTGAGCTGTCAAACGGCGAGCTGTCAAAAGCGAGCTGTCAAGCGGCGAGCTGTCAAAGGCGAGCTGTCAAACGGTGAGCTGTCAAACGGCGAGCTGTCAAAAGCGAGCTGTCAAGCGGCGAGCTGTGATGCTTTTCGGAGTCGGAGGCGGATCGGTGGGTGCTCTTGGCTGTTCGTTGTGGGGACGATTTCGGAGGTCCAATGGGTCGGTGATGACGTTAAAGCAGGTCCGGTCTGTAGGGCTCGATGCGTGCCCCGATCTGGTCCGGTCTGTTGGGCCCGATTCGTGCCCCGATCTGGTCCGGTCTGTTGGGTCCGATTCGTGCCCCGATCTGGTCCGGTCTGTTGGGCCCGATTCGTGCCCCGATCTGGTCCGGTCTGTTGGGCTACCTCTATGTCGGCTTCGTCCTCTGGCGGTTGTGGGGGGGTGGTGTAGGGTGCGTCGTCGTCGGTAAGGTCAGGTGGTGAAGAAGGTTTGCAGCGGGTATGATGCAGCCAGGCCGACTTCTCCGCTACTTTGACGGAGGTGGGGGTTGTGAGAAGGACCTGGTAAGGTCCTTCCCAGGTAGGTTGTAGGGGTACCTTCTGGTAAGCCTTTGCCAATATCCAGTCCCCTGGTTGGAACGGATGGATGTTCTCGTCGAGGGGTAGGTTCTGGCCTGCTGCCGCGTATCTGTGGAGAACAATGAGTTGCTTCTGGAGCTGTATTATATATTTGGTCAATTCAGACTCGCCTACCTCTAGTTCTGATGGGGGGAATTGCGTGCTATACACGGGGGAGGGTCTTCCAAAAAGCAGTTCATAAGGAGATAGGTTCAGATTCCCACGGGGGCATGCTCTGAGATTGTGTAGAACCAAGGGGAGGGCATTGACCCACTTAATTCCAGAGTCCCTGCAGAGCTTTCCTAGCTGGGACTTTAATTGTTGATTCATTCGTTCAACCTGCCCTGAGGAAGGGGGGTGGTATGGGGTATGCAATCTCCATTTGATCCCTAGGGCTTTAGCGACTTGTTGGACTACGTCGGAAGTGAAGTGTGAGCCCCTGTCACTGTCTATGTGTCTCGGAACCCCGAAACGCGGTATTATTTCATGCAGTAGGGTTTTTGCAACCATTTGGGCAGTGGCTCGGCGAGTCGGGAGACATTCCACCCATCCTGTTAATTGATCAATAATGACAAGGGCATGCTTGTAGCCCTGACAAGGGGGTAGGTCTATGAAGTCGACTTGAAGGCTTTCGAAAGGGACAAAAGCCCACGGTCTGGCTCCTGGCGGACATCTGGCAGTATGCTTTGGATTAAAGGTTTGGCAGGTGTGACAATTCTTTACTGCTGATTTTGCAGCCAGAGCCAGTCCTGGAGCATACCAGCAGCGTTGGACAGAGTCTATGAGTTTGTCCCTTCCCCAGTGGGTACACTGATGTAGTATTCTTATGTGTTTGGGTACCCAGAGCCGGGGCATTATGAGTCTCTTGTCGGGGAAGTACCATATGCCGTTGCTGAAGAGAGCTCCCTGCTCTTCCCATCCCTTTATTTCTTCCGGGGTGGCGGTTTTATACATTAGGTTAAAGTCTACGTCCGACGGAACCTGGGGTCCCTGAAATTCACCATCTGCAGACAGTGGTTGGAGGGCTGCTTCTTGTGCCACGCGGTCAGCACAGCGGTTCTCCATTGATACTGGGTCTTTTCCCTTGGTATGGGCTTTGCAATGGACTACTGCTATTTCTTCTGGAAGATGTATAGAATCCATAAGGCGTTGTACTAGAGGTGCGTGGGCTATTTGGGTGCCTGCAGCGGTCAGAAAACCCCTCTGTAGCCAGATTTGTCCGGTGGCATGAACTAACCCAAAGCAATATTTAGAATCTGTGTAAATAGTGACCCTCTGTCCTGTTGCTAATTCGCAGGCTCGGATCAGGGCAATAAGTTCTGCAGCCTGTGCGCTAAACCTAGCATGGACAGGACGCGCTTCAAGGATGTCAGTGTCGCTGACAACTGCATATCCACTTTTCCGTTCCCCTCCCACAATTTTTGAGCTCCCGTCGGTGTATAATATAAGATCGGGGTTGCTTAAGGGAAGATAGTCGAGGTCCTCACGTGGTTTTTCAGCGTGTCGGACCACCTGAGAACAGTCGTGGTGCGGGGTGCCATCGTCAGGGAGGGGAAGGAGGGTTGCCGGATTAAGGGAGTTCACCCTTTTTATGGTAACATTAGACGGACTAAGGAGGATGGCTTCATATCTATTCAGTCTTTGGATCGTGAAGCGTTGGCATCCTTGCAAGCTGAGGAGGGTGGCCACGGCATGGGGAACATTTACGGTTAGTTCATGTCCTAAGACGGTCCCCTGCGCCTTTTCAAGAAGTAGTGCTGCAGCTGCTACTGCTCTAAGGCACCCCACATTTCCCATTACGGTAGTGTCCAGTTGAAGGCTGTAGTAAGCGACGGGCCTGTTCCTTCCCTGAAAAGGTTGCGTAAGGACACCCGAGGCTACTCCTTTATTTTCATGGACGAATAAAGAGAAAGGTAGTCTATAGTCGGGGAGCCCGAGGGCAGGTGAAGACCTCAGTTCCCGTTTGATAGATTCAAAGGCTTCGAGTGCCTCTGCACTCCATTGCAAGTGGTCTGGGGCATTGTCGTGTGTCATTGCGGTAAGGGGGCGAGTGAATTCTCCGTAGCGGGGGATCCATGCTCGGCAAAACCCACTCATCCCGATGAAGCCCCTGAGCTGCCTCTTAGTCTTGGGGAGGGGCAGCTTCGTTATGGCTTCAATCCTATCTGTGGCGAGGGCACGGGTGCCTTCTCCAAGGATGTGGCCAAGATATTTCACTTCCCTTTGGCAGTACTGTATCTTTTTGGGGGATACTTTGTGTCCCTTGTGCGCGAGTATTGTCAGGAGGGCTATAGTGTCTGACTTACAGGATTCCAAGTCCCGCCCACAAAGTAAAATGTCATCCACATAGAGCCTGAGGGCGGAGCCTCCCGGAAGGTTCACGTCTAGTAAGTCCTGGTGTAATATGGAAGAAAAGATTGCCGGAGATTCCACGTATCCCTGGGGTAACCGAGTCCATGTTAATTGACCGGTTTGCCAGGTAAAGGCAAAGAGGAATTGGCTTTCTGGGTCCACGGGGATGCTAAAGAAGGCGGAACATAGGTCTATGACGGAGTAGACGACAGTTCCCTCCGGGATCGTGCTCAAAAGGTGGTGGGGGTTGGCTACAACAGCGTGTCTGGGGATAACGAAAGAGTTGATGAGTCGAAGGTCTTGGACGAGGCGCCATTTGACAGGGTTAGTGTTTGGCTTCTTGACGGGGAGAAGCGGGGTATTACATGGGGAGGCACAGGGAACTAGGATTCCCATTTTCAAAAATTCATCAATCATTGGGGTAAGTCCTTCGATTGCTTCAGGAGGCAAAGGGTATTGTTTTGTACAGGGGAATGGTAGGTCTTTCCTGTAGTTAACTTTTACTGGGGTTGCCGACTTTAGGAGTCCAACGGATGTTGATTCAGTTCCCCATAACCAAGAGGGGACGCTATTAAGAAGCTCGGGAGGAAGGTCAGGGAATTTGTTGTTAGCTTCTTGAAGAACCCTTGGAAGTTGAAAATGGAGTCGTTCGGCATGTGCAAGTAAATCCCTTCTTGGCCGCATTGTATAGTAGCGTTCAACTTACATAGCAGATCCCTCCCCAGGAGGTTAACTGGGCTGGAAGTTAGTAGGAAAGTATGTTTAACCGATAGAGGTCCGACGGAGACTCTCGCAGGCTTGGAAAGGGGGCAGTTCCGGGGGATTCCATCAAGTCCTACTACGGTTCTGGTTTTGTCTCCCGGTGCTAAATGGCTATTCGTAAGGGTGGAGTAGGTGGCCCCAGTGTCTAGGAGACAATCATAGGACTGGCCATCAATTTGCATAGTGCATATGGGGTCGGAAGAGGATAGTTGTAAGACTGGGCATAGGAAAGAAAAGGAGGCGGGATCTGCTTCTAATTGTCAATGCGCCTGGTATTCCTCCATTACCATCTCATGAGTTGGGTTTGTGGGGCGACCGCCCTGTTTAAAGGGGTTGGTAGCTTCGTGGGGTTGATTTCGTGGTCGCGGTTGTGGAGGAGGGGGTTCCGCGTAGGGTTGCGTTCGGGTTGGGGATTGATTAGGTCGGTATGGGGTGGTAGACTCCCTGTACCTGGGGTGGGTGGTTTCCTGTAGTCAGACTGGTATGGTCTTGGATTTCTATATTCGATCCTTTTGGATCCTGTCACAAGGGGGCAATTTCTTCTTATATGTCCTACTTCATTACAGTTGTAACAAACGCGGTCATCTAGTAGTTCAGGTCCCCATGACTTAAATTTTTCTTTGGGGTTAGGAACCCCAGCCGCATAGGCTAACACCCGTGGGAGATCGGGCCTTTGGTCTTTTCTTTTCCGTTCATCCCTTGTATTGAAGACGGATTTAGCGATGGAAAGGATTTCATTTATGGTTTTTCCATCATACCCTAGGTGCGAATTCAATGCTTTTCTAATGTCGGGTGTAGCTTGATCTTTAAAAAATCCTTTGACTATTACTTCGTGCTGGGGGCTCTCCGGATCTATTCCCCCCCAGGTCTTAATGGCTGAGACTAGCCTTGAGTAGTAGTCAGATGGATGTTCATCAGGTCCTTGAAGGACGGCTTGGACTTTGGTCCAGTTTACGGTTCGCTGTCCCACAGCTTTAATACCATCTAGGATGGCTTTCTTAAAAATTTTTAAACCCCATATGCCGTCGTCAGTGTTATAGTTCCAGTCGGGGTCATTTAGTAGGGTCTGGGTGGTCAGGGGGGCCATCGAGGCAGGTCGGTCCGGTTGGTAGCCTTCCCGCGCTAAAGCTTCTCCTGCCTTTGTCAGTATTTCCCTCTTTTCTGCCTCGTTAAAAAGAGCCCCGAGTAACATATGTACATCCGCCCACGTTGGGTTGTGGGTGGAAAAGATGGTGGCCACCTGGCGGTGACATTTGTCGGGGTCATCCCGTAGGGAGGGCATCTTGTCAGACCAGTTCATTAAGTCCGAAGTGAGGAAGGGTTGGTGAGTAAAAACCATGCGGGGTGGGTCTCCTGCCCTGGTTGGGGGTATAGGCAATGCTCTTAGGGGAAGGCTCCCTCTACTTCGCCGTTCGGCAGATTATCCCTATTTCGAGTTCTACTGGAGACGGGTCCCTCCCTTTCTCCGTTGAGAAGCTGTCCGTTAGGTGTGGGTTCTAGGTCTGAATCTATGTGGTTTCCTATATTGGTCGCACTTGTGGAAGGGATAGGCGACGATGTACTTGGTGCGGCTCGAGAGGGGGCAGCGGTGGGTGGATTAATTACGTTTTCCCCGGGTCCCGCGCCGCCTCCCCCACCGGCTCCTGTCCTGTCTCTTGCCCCGGATTCAGGCGGTCGGGGGGCGTGTGGTTCGGGGTAGTAGAAAGAAACGAGGGTTCTATCCAATTGTTCCTCCTGGGTTCTAATTTCGTCATATGGGGGAGGCCTGGTCGTTTTTAAAACAGCCATTTGCCGAACGATTTGAGTCTGCTGTCGCTGAAACAATTCACGGGCTTCAACGAAGGCATTGAGATAATACAGTTGCCGGGGTTTCTCGTCTGCTAGATACGACTTAAGTGCTTGCATCTTCACAAGATTAAAGGAACCGTGGGGTGGCCATTGCGAGGCCGGCTCTAGATGGTGGGTGAAAGCGACCCACGAGATGTTGCAAAGGTCCCTTAACTTGGACTTTGAGAGTCCTTTCCTCCCTCTCAACTCTTTCCAGTTTAATAGAACAAATTGAAGAGGGGTATCAGAGTCCTCTCTCGGGCGGAAAGGCTCCGCGGAAGCCTTGCCGCCTGGAGGAGTCCAGCCTGAATGCTTGGAAGCATGGGCCCCCATTCTTTGCAGTACACTAGAGACAGAAAGAGTGGGCACACACACAAGGGGAGAGGGGGGGTGATGGAAGAAGGGAGGGAGAAAAGGAGGGGCAGGGGGAAAGAGAAAATATCCTTTCAGTACTTGAAGTATCCTTGAGTAACTCAATTTCTACCTATCTATAAAAAATCTCAGACATGAACTTGAATTCCTAACCACGGGTCTCCTCGCCCGAATTCCTAACCACGGGTCTCCTCGCCCGAATTCCTAACCACGGGTCTCCTCGCCCGAATTCCTAACCACGGGTCTCCTCGCCCGAATTCCTAACCACGGATCCAGTATTCCTTTACCTCAGCGCTGTTTTACAAGACTAACCCTAGTGTGGGGCCCCACTTTGTGTACCTCCCGTTCTGTTCCCCTCGACAGCCTCCTACCTAGCCTTTAAACTAGGGTCGGGCTCCCTACTGGACGCCTGCGCAATGCAGTGCCAGATCGAGGTCCGAGAAAACAAAGTTTGGAAAGGAAGCAAATGACCTTGCGTTCTCACGTACCCGGGTCATCCCCAACAAGGGTCGCCAAGCAGGAGGGGCGGCTTCATTTGCATAAGGAGGAGAGAGGGAGAGAGAGAGAGAGAGAGAGAGAGAGCGCAGGAGAGATTTTTGATGAACGCCTCCGGACGACTCCGAGGGAGGACGTCAGAGAAATGCCAAAGTACCGCGTTTTCCCTGGCCCACCTCCGAAGGGGAAAACGGGGGAGAAAAGGAGAGAGGGAGGTTTTGGATGGACGCCTCCGGGCGACTCCGAGGGAGGACGTCAGAGAAACAGCAAAGCACCGCGTTTTCCCTGGCCCAGCTCCGAAGGCGAAAACGGGGGAGAAAAGGAGAGATATTTTTTTTAGGACGTTCCTGGACGACTCCGAGAGGTAACGTCGGAATGCAGCAAAGATACCACAATTTCCCTGGCCCAGCTCCGAAGGGGAAATAGGGGAGAGACAGAGAAAGTTTAGGACGTTCCTGGACGACTCCGAGAGGTAACGTCGGAATACAACAAAGATACCACAATTTCCCTGGCCCAGCTCCGAAGGGAAATAGGGGAGAGACAGAGAAAGTTTAGGACGTTCCTGGATGACTCCAGAGGTAACGCCAGAGATAGAAGGAAGAAAAGGTCCAGCTGTCGTGGGGACGTTGCTTTCCACCCCCCTCCCAATGTATTTCCTTCAAACCATACTCACGTTCCCAGATGTCCCTCGAAGATCCCGGGATCTTTCCCCTTAGCCGGCTTGACCTTGCCTTTGCTTCCCCTGGTTGAGCTTTCGGTGACGGTTGATTACCGCCCGCAAAGGGAGGCAGGGAGAGGAGAAAAGATCCCTGGGCTAAGGCTGCCCAGTGGCGCCCGATCCCCTCTTTTCTCCCTCCTCACCTCTACAGGAGAACCAAGAGTCCCTTCGTGGTCGCCAACTGTTAACGGAAAATCTGAGGGCTCCCTTGGACAAAAACAAAGACACCAACCAGAGCAATTGGAAGCAAATCAGCAGCCAGTAGGCTTCCATCTTGCTTCACCTCGTGGGCGGTGGGAGTCCTGTCGCGACAGTCTTTTCTTCAATAAAGACCAAGCCTACTGGCTGCTGATTTGCTTCCAATTGCTCTGGTTGGTGTCTTTGTTTTTGTCCAAGGGAGCCCTCAGATTTTCCGTTAACAAGCTGTACAGGCTTTAAAGTTATAAATATATCAAGATTAAGGATTAGGATTAAAAAGGTTAAAAGAATGGAAAAATTGGTTTTTAATAGGTAAAAATTTAATGATACATTATATTAAGATTAAGGATTGGGATAAAGGAATTGCTGGACTAACAAACTGAATTGGAATACAAAAGAGGGAGGTATGAGGAGGTCCGGGAAACAAGTAAATCTAAAAGTAGTGATGAAAAGATGGAATTGTTTTTAACTGTTTTTTCTTTTTCTTTCTGTATTTTGCATTGTGTATTTTTCTTTTTATTTTCGAATTTTTCTTTTGTGTGGATGTGATTCTTTCTTTCTGAAACTTTAATAAATATCATTAAAAAAACAACAACAACAATTTGAGTTCCTAGGAAACACTGCCCCCCCTCTTTTGCAGTTTCCTCATGAAATGAAGCTTACTTCACAGAAGTAAGAGGAGGGGAAAAACTGAAAGAGACAGAAGGGGGAGGGGCAAATTTCCAAGAAAAGAGGCCAGGAAATCCTGGCTGATCTTACAGAGACTGATATCAGGAGCCTTACAATAACCCTTCTGTCCAACCGAATCAAAGTTAAAACTGGACTCAGATAGACAATTGCTGGCTATGGAAGCTTCTACCTTTAATAACATTTTTCTTAGAAGGAACACCATATTTTCATAGTCATATAGTCATAATACTTCCAAGGATTCCTCACAACAACAACAACAACAACAACAACAACACTTTTCTCTCAAAAGGAGACCTACCTAAGGCTTAATGCAACACTGTACAGACACTGCATTTTAGCTTGCGAGAGCATTTGTGCTCAACTAGGCTGGTCGTAGCAGAAACATTAGGCTAACTTCACAGCACATTCCAAAGTAGACTGGAACAGGGCTGTAGACTTACAAACTCAAAAGTTGCAACAAAACATAATTTACCGTCAGACTTAAAATCACCCTCCTCACTTAAGCTACAGAGGGAAGAGGTGGGTAATCCTCCTCTCGGAACACAAGCAAGTACATATACAGGATTTTTTCTTTTCTTTCTACCACTTGGAGGAAGACTGTCTTTTGGAGCCTCTTTCAAATAGCAAACATTTGCACACCTCATTCTCATATTGTCATGTTTAAGATTGATAAGGCCCAACATGGTTTCCTTAGATTTAAATTTTGAAGGAAGATTGCAATTTAAAAACTATGTGCACTTAAGAACATAGTCTGTGGATGCTGAAGCCAATGTAAACGCAAACCCTTTAAATATTTCTAAACCTTTGAGTACATCTCTTATTCATTTATAGGGAAGCTAAGATCTCTAATGCGTGGGCTCTCAGGCTGGATTATTAGTATTTCCACTGCCTTCTGACCACCATTAAGTTTACGGTTTCATGTTCTGGCCTTAGGTCATAGTTTAACAACACAAATTTGATATGCTCAGCTCTTCCTAAGGGTTCGCACCCTGACTTTGTCGAAGGATCCCTGAGGTGGTCACTGTGCCTTGGGTTCCAGGTGGTGGGCCTAAGCCACCCACGAGCCCTCACAAAGGTCCATCAACTTTGATCTAGATAGGTTTTCATATACTGCCAACCCCTTCGGAGTCCACTCTGAGGCAAAAAAAGCTTCATGGAAGCCTGATTGTCAGGAGGAGTCCAGCTATTGCGCTTGGAGAGTTGAGCCCCCATTTCCCTTTTATACCGAGGGGGGGCGTTGCTCAATAACAAGCTATACAAGGAGATAGACAGATACAAGAGAGGGACAAAGAGAGAGGGGGAGAGAAAAGATTGTCCTATCAGTATTCAGTCTAACACTCAGGTGCCCCTCATGGCCCTTTCTGGGCAAACTCTGATGGATCGGACCAGAGAAGGCTATTAGAAATCTAAAACTAGGCAATCCCTGCCTATAACTAAAACCACAGGCAACTGGCCTGGAAACCACGGGTCTCCTGACCCGGAAACCACGGATCCGGAATTCACTCAGCACTGTTTACAAAACTAATCCTAGTGTGGGGCCCCGTCTTTCCTTGGTGGACCACCCACTTGACCAACCACAACAACCTTCTGCCTGACCTCAAAGCTAAGTTTGGAATTCCTTATTGGACGCTTGCACACTGCAATGCCAGATCAGGACTCGGAAATAAGAGTTTGGAAAGGAACAAACGACCTTGTGTTCTTACATTCATGGGTCATCTGATAAGCTTAAAAGGGAAAGCTGAGGGTATAGAAGATGGTAGACCCTTACGACCCTCTCTGGCCGAACTCTGAGTGATTGGGTCAAAGGGTATAGTCCAGGAGAGTGAAAAGAGCTTCCTGCGACCTTCTCTGGGCAAACTCTGAAGGATCAGGTCGAGGAGAGAAAGAGAAAGATTTCCCATGACCATCTCTGGCCAAACTCCAAAGGATCGGGTCAGGGAGAGAAAAAAAGGAAAGGTTTGGTTGTCATGGAGACGTTATCCTTCCCCCCCCCATGCACTAATTTCAAACCATACTCATGTCCTAGGAACGTCCCTCGTGGATCCCGGGATCCTTAGTTGGCCGGCTTGAGCTTGCCTTTGCTCCTCCTGGCTGAGCCTTTTGGTGACAGTTGATCACCGCTCGCAAAGGGAAGGCAAGGAGAGGAAAAAGGATCCCTGGGCTAAGGTTGCCCAGTGACGCCCAATCCCCTCTTCCTCTCCCCTCGCCTTCACAGGAGAACCAAGAGTCCCTGAGCGCGGTTGCCAAACTGTTAATGGAGAAATCCGAGGGCTCCCTTGGACAAAAAGCAAGGACACCAGCCAGGACAATTGGCGCAAAGCAGCAGCCAGTAGGCTTGGTCTTTATTGAGACTGTCACGACAGGACTCCAACTCACTGCAAGACGAAGCAAGATGGAAGCCCTGAACAAAAGAGCCCCCAAACTTTTATTAGCTGCTAATATCCATGTTACACGCCCCCCAAACTACATCACTCATACACCATGGTTACATCATGAAAGGGGAGGTCTGGTGACAGCAATCTGAGCATCCTGGACCCTGCCCCATGGTTCTCCTTGCCCTCCACCAAACACCCATCAAGTGTAACAAAAGAGATCTTTACATTTCCCTGTTTCCCAGCCAAGTTCATCAAACCCTTTTGTCTTAATCTGGGTTTGTTATTTCTGGAATGGCTACCTGTCTGGCACTCAGGTATCAGGATGCCAGGGATTATCACTCAGGCAGAGGGGCTGCTGAGTAGCTGAGCTCACATGTCTAGATGAATTTCTGAAGTTTTCCCAGTGATCCAGTACATAGATAACATTGATCAGTGAATTCTTACATTTGGTATCGTGCAGCAAAGGCCCTTTGAATAGATAGGAAGAAACTGTGATGAAGTGTTTTGTGGGGACAAATCACAAAAGTCACAAAAGTGATTGTGCCGATTTTGGTAGTGGGCTGCATGTGCATGATATCTGCTGGAGGGGCAACCCCCCCTCCCAACCTATACATAAATTTCTGCAACAGTTCTGTTATGTACTGAGTTGAATAGGATCCAAACTGCAGCAGTCTGATTGGTCCTAGAACAATAGGATCCAAATTGCAGCAGTCTGATTGGTCCTGGAACAATAGGATTCAGAATGCAGCAGTCTGATTGGTCCTAGAACAATGTAGCAGTATGATTGGTTGGCAGGAACCACCCAATCATGCTCCAGATATAAGTGAATCCACAACCTGATTGGCTTACAGTAGAATTCCAGAATTAGCCAATCATGTGCAGCCCATTGTGTAAATAATGTATATAAAGCAGATACTTTGAGGGGACTTTCATTCATTCCTCCTCACCACTATGAGCTGAATAAAGAGCATGAAATCACTTTGCGACTCTGAGTATATTTCAAGTTCCTTCCAAAATAGCCCCCCCCCCGGCATTGAAAAAGACCACATGTTTGGTAAGTTCATAATGGTTTACGTAAAAACTCTCCAAAGGTCAGATTCATGTCCTTTTCCATACAGCAGTCAGAAAACACAGGGAGTAAAATTTGGCTTAATTACAGTGGTGAAACTTGTTAACTTATTGGTACAGGAACACCACAATGGATTACAGTCCCTACAGGTGTCCCAATTTTACAGGGACAGTTTCGGATTTACAGAAGCCATCCCGGTTTCTGATTTGATCCTGGAATGTTCCGCTTTCCCTTAGGCTTAGGACATCCTTATTTTCATCAGAGAAATGTTGGAGGATGTGGAGTTATGTGACCCCTGAGCCAAGGAGAAAAATAACTAGACAACCTATAGAAGACATCTGAAGGCAGCCCTGTATAGGGAAGTTTTTTATGTTTAATGTGGTATTTTTCAAGAAAAAAAGATGCCAGAACTCTCCATGAATGCTTCCGTCGTTCTCTTATAATGCAATGGTGACCACCTGAGAGGTGCCGGAACTGAGTTCTGGCAGGTTCTGGCTGAATAAAAGTCCTGTTTTTTTACCTACAGTAATAATTGTGGAAAGATGTATTCTTAATGGTCTGCATAGGCCTGGTGGAGTAGAAAGGTTTTCAGCAAGCTTTAAAAAATTGAAACAGAACACACCTGCTGAATCTTTATTGATGGATGATGATGATGTTGATGATGATTTGAGCAAGGTTAAGGGACGCGGGTGGCGCTGTGGGTAAAACCTCAGTGCCTAGGACTTGCCGATCGCATGGTCAGCAGTTCGAATCCCCGCGGTGGGGTGAGCTCCCGTCTTTCGGTCCCAGCTCCTGCCCACCTAGCAGTTCGAAAGCACCTCCAAGTGCAAGTAGATAAATAGGTACCGCTTTATAGCGGGAAGGTAAACAGCGTTTCCGTGTGCTGCGCTGGTGCTGGCTCGCCAGAGCAGCTTCGTCACACTGGCCACGTGACCCGGAAGTGTCTCCGGACAGCGCTGGCCCCTGGCCTCTTAAGTGAGATGGGCGCACAACCCTAGAGTCGGACACGACTGGCCCGTACGGGCAGGGGTACCTTTACCTTACCTTTAAGGAGCAAAGACACTATCATGGGCAAGAAGATTTCTTTTTAATAAATGGAAGTCTTGTCCAAATGAAGAGAACATAAAGTAACACAAACTTTGGCAAAAGATGTGGAAGCAGACAGTAATGTTGAAAATGAATTTGAGGAGCACATTTAGCACTGAAACTGCACTGTTTGGGCCGACTGCTAATCCTGATATGAGTAATTTTTGCTTTTCAGTATAAGCTCTTCCTTGCACCAGCTCTACCTGGGATGAGGGCATCTTTACGACAGTCGTACAGCATCCCCAGCTGGAATGGGCGGCCCAGGGCTGGTATTTCAACCGTGTCATCTGATCTGTCCATGGCTCTGGTCCAGGTTGCTCTCCTGCCTTCACCTCCCTGCAAGAAACAAGAGATGTGAAGGACTCTGGAAAGATTATTCGGCATGCAGAGTGTGTGGGGAAAAGAGGAAGGCCAAAAAAAAGGGGGGGGGAGGTAATGTCTCATCGGGGGTGGGGGGAGATTAGACGTTTGTATGCAGTAGTTGCACATGTGGAAGGTAGCTTGTGCAACTGATCTTCTTGCTTCCCTCCCACCCACAATCCCCTGTAGCAGCTGAAAACTCTATCCTGTGATCCCTGAACAAAGGGGACTGTGTCACACAGAATTGCAGTGGGAGGGAAAATCACCCTGAAACTGGGCAAAGGGGTCATGTGCCAATGGGGTCTCTGCTAGGACAGGATTCCTAGGCCCAAAGTCAGGGGAATCCCACTGCAGCCCTGTATGGCAGACACGACACTATCCAGGCCCTCTGGAAAGGGTTTGGGGGGGGCACAAGGGGTCACAGGAGCTGGAAGGGAAGATCAATATTTTCCATGCACAACCACTGGGTGCTTCCTACACTGAATTTCCGTTTGGCTGAGAATTGTGCCTCCTGAGAACATTTCGGATGGTAGAGAAATATTCTACCACCACCAGTTTTGGCACCACTCTGGCACAGTATTCAAGGAGGCTATCAAAGTGGGGGAACTCATACATGAAGCCAGCCAAATCACACAACAACAATAATTATGGCAGGAATCATGAATGATGCTGCCATAAATAACAGTGAGATACACAAAGTAGTATTTGGCAGAAACAAACTGCAGTGGAAGCAGCGCTGATCGTGATGAATGTAAGCTGAAATGGAAGTTGCTGCTCTCTTATATTACTACTTGTGCTGCACCAAGAAGTTCATGGCACAATGGGAGTCAAATTACTTGTAGAAAATCTTTTGTAGAGGAACACAGAATTGTAGAGTTGGAAGGCACACCCAAAGGTCATCTAGTCCAACCCCCTGCAACCCACAGCTGAAGAATCCCTGGTAGCCATCCAACCTCTGCTTCCAAGAAAACCTCCACCACCCCTTGTGGGAGTCTGTTCCACAGTCGAACAGCTTCTACCATCAGCTGGAAAGTCATTTCTTGACATTTGAATCCACTGGTTCAGGTCCTGCTGTTGGTTTCTATTTCCCTCACTGAGCAGCAACTGCAGTCACAAGACATTGTTTTGCATTCCACAGTCAGAGTTACTGTTGGATTCCCACGGGAATGGGAGACTGGATGTGACGTACACTGGTTTCCTGTTTTTCACTGTTCTCTCCGTTTCTTTGTTAGAGAGACAGTTGCTTCTCTGCTCTCACAGAGGCAAGATGCATGTTTGTATTCTCTCAGCATAGAGTGGAAATAAAGTTAAGAATGTGGCACATACCGCTTATCCTTCTGCTGTGTGGACTACTCTGCTTGGGCTCAAGATAAGATGAGCCTGTATCAGCTTCAGATGGGCCAAACTGGTCAAAATCTCACACCTGCCCCCTGGACCAGCAGCAAAAAGCCTGTTCCATCTTCCCTGTGTCAGCCCTTCAGGTATTTCAAGATGGCTCTCATATCATGTCTCAGTTTTCTCTTCTCCAGGCTAACCATACACAACTCCCTCAACCACTTCCCCAAAAAACTTGGTTTCCTGACCCTTCATCATCTTGGTCTCCTGCCCCAGCACACGTTCCAGCTTGTCAGTATCTTTCTTAAACTGTGGCGCCCTGAACCTTACAAAGTACTCCAGGTGTGTTGGAAGGGACCCCCTAGAGTAATCTAGTCCAGCCCCCTGCAATGCAGGAATCTCAGTTAAAGCATCCATTTACATTTAACCATTTCCAGGGTCTTTTTTTTATTAAGACTTTGACTACGTTTCCTGTTCATTAAATGTCTCCCAATACCCTTTCCCATCTGTCTGCAAAACAATTCAAGATTAACCCCAATTGCCCTGCCTAGCCGATTCTCTTTTCAGGCATACGGTGACCACCATAGACCCCATAACAATTTATTCTTTTCAGTGTTCTGGAACGGACATTCACTACATGCAGTCCCTAAAAGCAGCTAGTTCTGTACTATAAAAGGCAGGTAGAGACCTTTTCAGTTTAGCTAGGCCATAAACCAAAAAGTAAATGGAATAATCAAAATGATAGTTTTATGAAATTATTGTTTTCTCCAACACACACACACACACACACACACACACACACACACACACATGCACACACACCCCTGACCAGAAAACCCAAACCAGTTTTAGTGTGGGATGTATTTACACTGGGGAAAGGAAATCTCTCCCTTTCTGGGAAAGGATCTGGCTAGGGAGAAACCTTCCTTACAACTGGCCTTGACCGGCTGTGAACTTGAGTTCCCTGTGCCTTCGCCTCTTTTGCTTTCACTGCACTTGGAAGAGCCCAGTCTGAACTCCCTGCACTCTGAGCACCAGATCCAGCCCCACTTGGAAAAATCAACCAGTCCAGAATGCAGCAGCCAGATTACTAGCCAGACTATGAATGGGTTGGCAGAAACAGTTGCAGATTTGGTAGGAGAGTGTGGCTGGAATAATATTGAAGCTGCCAAAAGGGAGAAGAGCAGGGCCAAGCCTACAAGACAAGGCTGCTCATGTTTGCTCCTATTTCTTTCCCTTTTCGTAGAAATTTAGATATCCAAAGAGGGCTTCCTTCAGAGTAGTATCCTTACCCCCACATCCAAGAGAGCCAGTGTGGTATAGTGGTTAAGAGTGGTAGACTCGTAATCTGGGGAACTGGGTTCGCATCTCCGCTCCTCCACATGCAGCTGCTGGGTGACCTTGGGTCCAGTGGTGTAGCGTGGGTTGTCAGCACCCGGGGCAAGGCAAGTAATTTGCGCCCCCTAACCCATGGATTTTAGCAGGGGGCAGAGAGCTGCGAGTGCGAGCGCCCCCCCCCCCAGATGTTGTGCCCGGTGCTGCCGGCCCCCCCTGCACCCCCCACGCTACGCCACTGCTTGAGCCAGTCACACCCAAGCAGTGGCGTAGCGTGGGGTGCAGGGGCCGGCAGCACTGGCACTCACCTCACAGAGTGTTTGTTGTGGGCGAGGAAGGGAAAGGAGATTGTTAGCCGCTTTGAGACTCCTTTGGGTAGTGATAAAGCAGGATATCAAATCCAAACTCTTCTTCTTCTCTTCTTCAAGGAGACCAGGACCACACCTGATGGGGCATTAGGTACCTCCAGCACCCAGCTGTTCATCCCACCACATTCCCTAGTGTGATATTCTACTAGGGAAGGTCATCCTAACCACCTTGCAGCTTGTCAACCTCCTTCTTAAATTGTGGTGCCCAGAACTGGACACAGTATTCCAGGTGAGGTCTGACCAAGGCAGAATAGAGTGGGACTATTACTTTCCTTCATCTGGACGCTAGACTGCTGTTGATGCAGCCTAGGATTGCATTAGGGTGGTTTTTTTTTAAACTGCTGCATCTCACTGTTGACTCATTTTAAGCTAGTGGTGTGGTAAGACCCCTAGATCCTTTCGACATATACTGCCAGCAAGCCAGGTGTCCCCATCTTATATTTGTGCATCTGTTTATTACTTCTAAGTGCAGAAACTGACATTTTATCCCCATTGAAATTAGTGTTGTTAGTCTTGCCCCAGTTCTTTAGTCTGTTATAGTCATATTGACTATTGATTCTCTCTTCTTCAGTATTAACTACCCATCCCAGTTCAGCGTCATCTGCAAATTGGATGAGCATCCCTTTCTGTCCAAGTCAACAAACACAAACCCTGGTTAAGTGCCAAGACTTTGCCTGTGCTCACAAAATCTGCTAAGGAGATTTCAAGCTTGCTGCCTTTAGCTGCAATCACTATAAACCTTGTCTACATGTTCAGTGTATGCCCTGCTGTCGTGTATGTATTCTATATTCATTATGAATTTTTTAAAATGTATTCTATATTAACCTTGTTTATGATCGACATTTTTGTATTCACTCATAGGAAGTTTGATTCTTGCTAGATTAGAAAAATAAACATTAATGCCTACTCTCGTCACCTCTAAACAGAGTTCAAGGCAGTACACATTTCAGCAGCACAACAGATCTGACAAGGAAATGGGTTCTGCAATTTGCCACCTGCTCTCAGCCTCTCTTCCTGGGCAGCAGACCTTTCATTCAATGACTTTGCAAGGAGGGAAGATTCCTCCTATAAGAGTAGGGAAAAGCCAAAGGTGTGAGATAGCAGAAGTGGAGTTGGAGCTGAGTTCCACGTATGCTCTGATTGTGCTTGCAGAAACTGGGCAGGATGCCAACCCTTTGAAGATCCCTCAGTTTCTCTTGACACCCCCAGCTTTCCCCCAAGATGAGGCCAAAGGAAAGGTAGGGCAGAGAGGGAGAGAAAGAGATCTGATGCAGGTCTCCCCCAAATTGTGAGGATTAAGAGCAATCTCACACATGTGGCAGTCTTAAAATAGGAGAAAGGGGCAGAGAGCAGAGAAGAATAAACAATGGGGGATGCCATCAATGACTGAAATACTTTTCTCATTAATTGATGGAGACTGGTAAAACAAACCAAGGGAACACACAGAAATGTCCAGGATGCAATAGCCCAGATGGTCCACAGCCGCCTGCCCCCTCCCTCCTGCAAGGAAGCAACTGGCGGCAGCAGAGGTGCTCAGCATCTTAGGAAGGTGCCATATCCTGAGTCAGGGCAGGGGTCCCCCATGTCCCACCCCAAATCCGGGGAGACCCTTGAGCTGCAGCCTTCATTCCTTTGCTCCAAGTCTGGGCCAAATCAGGATGGATTGGTGGCCTTTCCAAAGAGCCAGAGAGCAGGAGGCGAGGGCATCATCAGCGCAAGATCCCGTCACCAAGTCCCCTCTGCAATATGCTAGCTGGAACGGTTTGCAGCAGCCATGCAAAAGAAGCCTTTGACAACAAAAGAAGCCGCGACAATTTCTAATGTGCAAACGCGTCTTACCAGAAACGTGGAAAACGGATGAATCTTGCCTCCAAGTGGCTCTCTTGCTTGAGTTTGTCTCGACTTGCGTTGGTCCCCTCTTAAAGCACAAGTCTGCTTCAGGCACAGAGGCCACTTCTCCTCTTATCTATTCGGGAGTCACAAGGTGCAAGGAGAAAAACATCACTTTCAGGAGGAGAAGGAAGTTGCGAGATGGTGGAAGCCGTTCCCACTCGTCAGCATTTCACTCCAAAAAGGCTCTTAAACAGAGCATCATAGAGTTGGAAGGGACCCCAAGGGCCATCTAGTCCAACCCCCTCCTGCGGCCTCCCCACAAGTCGGATCCATGCAGAATCAAGGTCCTTAGTTGCACAACCCTCCCTTTCCTAGTATCTGGACCCAAAATGGATCTATGGATACAGCAGAGATTGACATCACCGGATCTGTTCTTCCCCCGGGGCTTTTGGGAAAGAGGTTGTCAGCAGGGCCTCCATCTTGGCCTCAGATATGTGGGCTCTTGGCAGCAGAGGAAGGTTTCCCTCGACATTGAGCCACAATCAGCCTCAATTTATATGAGATTAGGAGAAAAGAGGCTTTCTGGAGCAAAAGCAGTCGACCCCGGCAGGAGGGCCCTGAGATGTTTGGGTGAAGGGCGGTATACAAACAACCGCAATAAATATTATCTTCCATTTTTATGCACTGTGGCAGCAGCAGGGCCATGCTCTGGGGGAACCCGCCAAACTCCTCACAGATGAAGGAGGAAATTCTGTGTATTCAGAGGGTGGAAGAGCTGACAGGAATTTGCCTCCCGGTATAAATGTGATGGGGCCGTCCCTTCAGGCAGGCGTGGGGAACCTTTGCCCCTCCTGAGGCTGCTGAACTACAACTCCCACCACCAGGCGCTTTGGCCAGGCTAGCTGGGGCCGGTGGGAGTTGTAGTTTGGCAACATCTTTTGCGCCCAAAATCCCCCCCGCCTGCCCAGGGAAAGGAACCTTTTGAGCTCCTCGTGATGAACTCCCCTCACAAATCTTATTTATTTGACTGGCCAAAGGCTCTTCCGATGCTGGAGGGAAACATTTTGAACCTGCTGTTCTGGTGGCCTCAGGAAAAAGAGCGGGAAAATCCTAGCTGTTTCTGAGGGGAAAGTGTCTAAAATTCTCCTCAGAACCAGTCCTCACACTGCTTAGGGCAATTCACTCCTCTTGCTTCTGAGGGGGAGAGAAGCTCCTAGGTTAACAATAACAATGTTCTGCGATTTCTGCCCATCCTGCAGCCTTTGCACAAAACTCAAGAGAACCACTCCCTAATTCCTGCGATTTTGGGCCTGGAAAAGCGATGAGGAAGGAGATACGCTGAATTTTAAATCATGAGAAGGCGAAAATTTATAAAAGTTTTATGAACCATATTCTAAGGAAGAATTTGTATAGAGTTTGGGAGAAATATAAAAATCTGCTGCACTTTACAGAGGGGGAACCTAAACTGAAATCAATGGAAGCCACGTGACAGACTGGCTACAATATCATCAGTTACATGAAATGTTTAAAACAGACAGGAAAAATGCTTTTATGGACCAAAGCTCACAATTTGAAAAAGAACTTCTACAAAACAAAGAGAAACTTTTGTCCCAAATGTATAATTTATTATTAGACTGGGAAACAAAAGACGAGCTGGTCAAAGTCTCAATGACACACTGGGCAATAGATATAGGACACAATATAGACTTTAACCTCTGGGGAAAATTCTGGAAAAGTGACTTGAAGTTTACAGCATGTTATTCTTTGAAGGAGAACTACCTGAAAATGATTTACAGATGGTACTTTACTCTGAGTAGGCTTGCTAAGATGTATAAGACAGAATCACATAAGTGCTGGAGATGCAAAGAGGTTGAGGGAACGTTCTTTCATGTGTGGTGGACTTGTAAAAGGGTAAAAAAAGTATTGGGAAATTATTCATAATGAATTGAAAAATGTGTAAAAGTACTCCCCCCCCCCAAACCAGAGTCCTTTTGTAGGAGGTGAGGACAGGTGACCCGAAGTCTAGGCCCGAAGTCACCCCCCACCAAAGCAGGCTCAAAGCTTCTCAAAGCTTTTCAAAATCATTTTCTCAGCAGCTAAGCATCAGAAACATTCCGCTCTGCTGTAACAAAGGTAGAGAACAGTCCATTGTTTCTCAGGCCTTTCTCATGTCTTCTGGCCTTGCTAAAGAACCGCACTGCAACTTGCTTTCTGTCCGGGAACCATGCCAAAGCACAAGAATGAAACAACTGGAACACACTGAAACCCCCTCACCCCCTTTCCTGCCAAGAGTCCACAATAGTTCCAAGACAGCTTTCATCCAATGTACAGGACCACAGACCTCCAAGCACCCTAAATCAGAATCCTTCTTTCGAAGAGGACCCAGCCAAAATAATTAGGGGTTTGTCTTCAAACAGCCAGCAGCCAGAAAGCCAAAAAGGCAATCCTGGAGCGAGTGAGGGTGTCCACGGGAGGGGCAGAAGACGCCTAGGGAAGAAGCCAGTGCGCCATCTGCAGGCAAGAGGGTCACTGGAAAATGGAATGCCCACAGGCCCCACGCCCGACACACCCCACCCCCACAGGCTGGGAACAATAAGATTTCTCAAAAATGATTTCTTCTCATCTCTGTTCTGGCTAAAAGACTGTTGCAGAAGCAAGTGAACTAACTGTTTCTAACATTCATTCATGCAGTAACAGGACATCAGCTTCCCCCCCCCCCCTTGTGCCAGGCGCTTGGAGTAGCTTATCTCTTGGCAGCTATCTCAGAAGGACACTGCTGTATTCAGCCAGCTACTCTGACCTGCTACTGCCTGGAGCCAATTAGGATTTACAGTCAAGCAACAAAAAACCCAGAATGCCAAAGGTTACCCACCCTCTTGCCCCAAGTACTAACCTGGAAAGTGACTTTCTTAAAAAAGCAAGTGAATGCTTTCTGTGAACTTTGTCAAGTTTTTCTTTTTTAGGTGCAATTTTACTCTGAAAAAGGAGCCGCAGCATAACATAGGAATTTAGAAACTTTGATACTTTGCCAGAAGCCAGGGAACACAGTGCCCCTCCTGCTTAACACTGGCAAAAACTTGGCAGATGAACTGAAATTTTGCAACATGTTTTACAGGCCACAAAAGCTCTGACACTTAGTGTGCAGAGAAAAAGACTTTTGAAAAATCTCAGCTGGCAAAACTTAACCCAAGGAACAGAACTGTTAACCCCTTGCGAAGTTTCTTGCCATGCTATCCCCTTTGAGTTACTATGCCTTGTGTGTGAATGTTATCTATCAATTTGTTCTGCCCAGTCACTGCCGTGTCTGTTTTTCTCTTCTCTTGACAGGTAAACCGGCCAGAGACTGTCCTGTTATCTACAGCTGTTAAAGTCACTGGCATCTGTGACACCTGATCTACACTGCCCACCAGACTGGACCCAGACGCCCAGACATCGCTCCAGCCTTGTTGGAAGAGACCCAAGATGCCCAACGCCCACCAGACAACCCGACGCCCACCAGACTACAGCCCTGCTCACGTCACTCCGGAAGCTGGCGCTTTGCACGGCTCAAGAATCCAGCGTGGATTGAAAGAGGACATTTTCTCATTTTCTTTTCTTTCCCTTTGCATGTTCAGTTTTATAGAAGGTTGAGGGCCCCTGGATAGCTTTACAACACCCCTGCAGAGGAGGGTATTTGTGTGGGATGTTCAATCAGGGAAATGACGCCCCAGCCTGCTTCCACCTGGCAGAGCTCCACCCAGAGCCTCCAGAACTTAACTGAAGCCCCCCTTGAACCACAGCACCGACTTGGTAATAACCCTGTGCACTGTGCACGAATGGCACAGATAAGGCTAGGTTCACCGGATTACTGGCTGGCTTTGTGTCAATAAATCAGAGAGCGCCAGTGACAATCTGCAATCGCACCTTCCCAGCCCAAATCGTTACACCTGAGTCCACGCCAGGAACTTTTTCTGGCTGCAATGTGGGCTTCAGAAGGGGGGGGGGGGTATCTGCACGCATGCTTCGCCCCCAGATTATAGCGCTGGCCCAAGTATACCAGCCTGTACCTTCTTGGGACGAGCAGCCTGTACCTTCCTGGGACGAGCCTTTTTAAGAAAAAAGCTGTCCAAAGATTAAGAGGGGGGGAATGAAGGAAGGTGAGGACAGGTGACCTCACCTAGGCCCGAAGTCATGAAGGGGTACAGTTAGGGTTACCCCAGAAAGCCCTAAAAACTGTTTGTGAATTCCCCCCCCAGCCAGGCCTCGGAGTACGCATTTTAAAAACTGCATTTTCCTCTAAGAAAAAAAGCATGAGCTAAGCAGTCCTCTCTGTAACAAAAACGCTGTAACAAACCCAGAGCTGAGAACAGTAAAGCTTTTCGCTTCCCAGATCCAAGATAACCTTGTCCTGGTACATTGATTTGCAACATACTTCCGGGAGCAGAGCCAGAGAACGAAAAGCAACATTTCTATGTAAGAATCTGTGAGCGGTTTGAAAAAAGGATAAAAGCTGCTTGTAAAATGTTTTCGCGGCCTGTCTTTTGTGAACTGAATCACACAGGTGCCTCTGGGGTGTCGTTTGGCTCCTTTTGTCTCTGCTCGGGTGCAACAATTATTCCTACCCATGGATTAAAAAGGCTTCATATTTCTGGTGCATCGGGCCGGGAAAAAGCGCGTTCCCCGAGATCGAGGGACAAAAAGGTCCAGGGCGTCACTGCAAGGCGAGCAGCTCGGGATCCCGGGTCAACAGTTCCAGCGCGCATCCTGCCAACTTCGTGGGAGGGACTGGCCACCCGTTCCTGAGTGGACACGCGACAAGTGACGGAGAGAAAGAGCAACGGCCGTGCAGAAAGAAGGTACCTCGAGGAACAAGGTAGGCTCCACAGGGATAGGTGGGAGCAAAGAGAGTTTGATCAACTCCGCCAGCAGGGTAGAAGAAGTGCCACTGGTTTTGGTGTCGCCCGGAAAAAGCAGCAAAGGGTGCTGCTGGGCACCGGTCGAAGTCTAAGCGCTGCCGGTTGTGGTTGTGGTTGGTTTTGGTAAAAAGGGGATTGGGGGAGGTGCATCTGTTTCTGAATGTGCGTGTGGGGACACTCCAGTGAATGTTTTGAGTGTGTGAGACGTTGGAAGCAACGTCTGGCCTGTGACTGAGTGAAAAAATAACGTTAGGAGGGCTGAGTGTCCCAGTGTCCCCAGGATCCCAGAGTCATGGGAAATAAAAACAGTAAAACAATTCTTGAGACACCACTACAGAGCTTTCTGGAAAACTGGAAAAGTGCCACGAAAGCAGAAGAGTGGGGATGTAAACTCAAAAAAAGCAGACTCCAACATTTATGTGAAGTTGACTGGCCTTCGTATTTACCAGAATGGGCTCCTGGAGGATCCTTTGATCCAAACTTGGTCAACATTTTATGGAGTAACATTTTCAAGGTTCACACAGATCAGATTCCCTATATTTCTATCTGGAAAGCCAATGTGGATCAAAATCCCTCATGGCTTCGGAAAAATAGAATTGTGGCTGCCCAAGTCAAACTGTGTTCAGTACAATTACAAGTTAAGAAGCCACCAGTTTTGCCAGTCCTGGAAGAGGAGATAATTACCCCCCCACCACCATATGCAGCAACTGCGCCAAGGCAACCAAATCTGGGAGCAAATAGGGCTGCTTCTCCGCCCAAAGCCCAGACTGAGGACCCAAATGAGAAGATTCCCCCCTCTGCCCCTCCCCAACCCCCATGTGATGCAAGCAAGGAAGGTGAAGAGAAAGGTGATGATGATGATGATGAGGACTTCAGAAAAACTCTAGATAAAGAGATAAGATGGACTAGTAAGCAGTCTGACAGAGTGTTCCAGTATGTAGAACCGTTTAAAACAGAACTGGATGTGGCCCCCTGGGTTCTAGAAGCAGCCCAGTGCCAGGATGAGAATTGGAGAAAAAAGCAAAAGGTTTTGAGAACAGCGTGGGACAGGGCAACAAAACCTGTAGAGACACTTAAATCTAAGGCTTTGTCCAAACCCACTGTGGTGGCCCCTCTCAGGCAAGTGTATGATCCTTTGGAACAGCCAAATGGTCAGGGCGTTAGACCCCCAAGGACCTTTACCATTCAACATGTCCCTTTTACAAGCTCCGATATTTGCAATTGGAAAAATCAAAATCCTTCTTTTGAGGAAAATCCTGCAAAAATAATTAGACTTTTTGAAGGTGTGTTCAAAACCTATATGCCTACATATGATGATGTAAGTCAGCTTTTGGACACAATTCTGACCACTGAGGAGATCCGCAAGGTAAATGCCTGTGCCAGGGAACAGCTCAAGGCAGCAAATAATACTGACGCTGCAATTGAGGTCTCTTACCCCAGGCGGACCCCCCCTTGGGATTACAATACTACAGAGGGAAGGGCGGCCTTAGAGACTTCTCACAAAAATGTTTTAGAAGGCATGAGACGGGCAGCGAAAAGGCCTACAAATATGGCGAAATTATCAGAGATTTTTCAGCTGCCCAATGAGCCTCCAGGAGTATTTTTGGAAAGATTAAAAGAGGCATTCCGCAAATACACCCCCATAGACCCTGATGATGATGCCCAAGAGATGATTGTAAAAACCACCTTTGTGATGCAAGCGGCTCCTGACATAAGACGTAAAATTCAAAAAAATGAGAATTTTATGGGAAATCGACTTGAATGGATGTTAGCCCTTGCACAGACCACTTATAATCAGAGGGGTGAAGAAACAGAGAAGCAGAGAGAAAAATACCAGACCAAAAAATTAATGGCACTAAGAGTTGGCCAGCAGCCAGACAGCCAGAAACAAGAAGCTCATGGGAGGGGCAGAAGACGCCTAGGGAAGAAACCAGTGTGCCATCTGCAGGCAAGAGGGTCATTGGGAAATGGAATGCCCACAGGCCCCACGCCCGACACACCCCACCCCCACAGGCTGGGAACAATAAGATTTCTCAAAAATGATTTCTTCTCATCTCTGTTCTTGCTGAAAGACTGTTGCAGCTAGAGTGAACTAACTGTTTCTAACATTCATTCATGCAAGTAACAGGACATCAGCTTTTTTTTCCTTTCTTTTCCTTGTGCCAGGTGCTTGGAGTAGCTTATCTCTTGGCAGCTATCTCAGAAGGTCACTGCTGCATTCAGCCAGCTACTCTGACCTGCAACTGCCTGAAGCCAATTAGGATTTACAGTCAAGCAAAAAAACCCAGAATGCCAAAGGTTACCCACCCCGGCCCCAAGTACTAACCTGGAAAAGTGACTTTCTTAAAAAAAGCAAGTGAATGCTTTCTGTGAATTTTGTCAAAGAATTTTCTTTTTTAGGTGCAATTTTACTCTGAAAAAGGAGCCGCAGCATAACATAGGAACTGATACTTTGAGGAATTTGACACTTTGCCAGAAGCAAGGAACACATCCTTATGAACAGTGGCAGTCTTTGGCACATGAACTGCAATTTGTAACATGGCTTTGCAGGCCGCAAAAGCTCTGAAAAAAAATAGAGCACAGGAAGACTTTTAAAAATCTCGGCTGGCAAACTTAACCCAAGGAACAGAACTGTTAACCCCTTGCGAAGTTTCCTGCCAAGCATCCCCTTTGAGTTAATATGCCTTATGTGCAAATGTTATCTATCAATTTGTTCTGTGCAATCGCTGCCGTCTCTGTTATCTCTTCTCTTAACAAGTGGACTTTTGCCAGGATACCTCTGCATCCCTATGAACCAGGTGAAGAGGACCCAGACGCCCAGACATCACTCCAGCCCTGCTGGAAGGGACCCAAGATGCCCAACGCCCACCAGACGACCCGACGCCCTCCAGACCACAGCCCTGCTAAACGTCACTCCTGGATGCTGGCGTTTTGCACGGCTCAAGAATCCAGCGTGGATTGAAAGGGGACATTTCCTTTCCTTTCCTTTTGCATAACTGAACTTTATTGAAGGTACCTGGGCCTGGTTTGCTTTACGCCACCCCTGCAGAGGAGGGTGTCTAGTGGGTCTTTTCTTTCAGCGTAATTACAGCCCAGCCCACTCTCTAGTACTTACCTAAGCCCCTCCCCGTGCATACAATGGCTCAAATACGACTGTGGGTCCCCGTGCTGGTATTTCTGCTGCATTTGACCTTTGAAATGCCGATACCACTCACAGTGACCAGACAACTGCTGCAATCGTGGGGGGCCCACCACACACATAATAAGTGGATTCAGGTTGCTGAGATGGTTGCGTTCTCTGCAAATCAGACCAATTGTGCCGTCTGCACTCTGGCCCCTGTAGATGCTCTGGGAGGAATGTCACTACTCCCTGTGCCTTGGAATGAATCCTTGGTTACGACTCCACTTGTTGTCTTCCAGCCTCTGGGCAACCATTCTTCTTTATGGAATCATTCCGTCCCTTTCCAGGTTCACAGGATCACTGGCTGCCTTTGTGTCAACAAATCAAATGACGCCAGTGACGCTCAGACCTATGTGGGCACTTCCCACTGCGATCGTACCTTCCCAGCCCCAACTAACATGCCTGAGTCCGAGACAGGAACTTTTTCTGGTTCCAAATTGACTGCATGCCTGGCCCGCTTGCTGACAGGCACCATATCTGCCCATGGTCAGGACGTTTACTGGGTGTGTGGCAGGAAGGCCTATCATGCCCTCCCAAGAGGATGGTATGGGGTCTGTTTTCCAGCCTACTTAATACCCCCCATGTGGATTCCTGACCAGATACCCTCTGCACCCCCTAGAAGGAGGCGTTCGGCTGACCTGGCAACACTTGCAGGTGGCAGCTCACAGAATTGGGGCAAAAATCAGTGGCCTCCGGAAAGGATCCTGGCCCATTATGCTCCAGCCTCCTGGAATCGGGGAGAGAAAATCTCTGGGGCAAGGGGGCCGATCTATAACTTGAACCGCATAATCAGACTCCAGGCGGTGGTAGAGATTGTTGCTAACACGACAGCCACGGCCCTTAGGCTAATTGCCACGCAATTGGATGAGACACGCAATGCGTTTCTCTCAGTCCAATTAGCGTTGGACTTTCTCCTGGCGCAACATGGCGGTTTTTGTGCAGCGTTAAATCTCACGGGTGGGGCCTGTTGCTTTAACATCTCTGATCATGGTGAGGCCATTCGCAATTTGGCAGCAGGACTTGAAACAGTGGCCCATATTCCTACCCAAAACTGGGAGGGATGGGACATGTCATGGCTTGACTGGTTGCCAAACCTAGGATGGGTAAAAGGCCTGTTTTTGCTGCTGCTTGGCCCACTTTTCAGTTTGCTAATTTTTTGCTTTTCTGTACCTTGCTTGCTGCAATGCTTGCATACAATGACACGCAATATGATTTCTCGCGTGCTTCGCCCCCAGATTATAGCTCTGACCCGAGAATACCAGCCTGTGCCTTCCTGGGACGAGCCTTTTTAAGAAAAAGGCTGTCCAAATTTGAGAGGTATGGAACGAAGGGGTACAGTTAGGGTTACCCCAGAAAGCCCTAAAAACTGTTTGTGAATCCCCCCCCCCCAGCCAGGCCTCGGAGTACGCATTTTAAAAACTGCATTTTCCTCTAAGACAAAAAGCATGAGCTAAGCTGTCCTCTCTGTAACAAAAACGCTGTAGCAAACCTACAGCTGAGAACAGTGAAGCTTTTCGCTTCCCAGATCCAAGATAACCTTGTCCTGGTACATTGACTTGCAACATACTTCCGGGAGCAGAGCCAGAGAACGAAAAGCAACATTTCTATGTAAGAATCTGTGAAGGGGGAGAGGAAAAAAAGGGGTTTGAAAAAAGGATAAAAGCTGCTTGTAAAATGTTTTCGGCGCAGCCTGTCTTTTGTGAACTGAATCACACAGGTGCCTCTGCCCCCCCCCATGGCAGAATAAAACGCTCTTTCTCTGGATTAACCCCTTGGTGTCGTTTGGCTCCTTTTGTCTCTGCTCGGGTGCAACAATTATTCCTACCCATGGATTAAAAAGGCTACAGTCACCCCCCACCAAAGCAGGCTCAAAGCTTCTCAAAGCTTTTCAAAATCATTTTCTCAGCAGCTAAGCATCAGAAACATTCCGCTCTGCTGTAACAAAGGTAGAGAACAGTCCATTGTTTCTCAGGCCTTTCTCATGTCTTCTGGCCTTGCTAAAGAACCACATTGCAACTTGCTTTCTGTCCGGGAACCATGCCAAAGCCCAAGAATGAAACAACTGGAACACACTGAAACCCCCTCACCCCCTTTCCTGCCAAGAGTCCACAATAGTTCCAAGACAGCTTTCTGTACATGCTCAGGGGAACACATCATGGGGCAGGACTCCTGAGGGAGGAGAAAGGAGGAGGGAACTGGAAAGGGGTATATATGTTTGTGCACATGATTGTGAACTCGTGCATGCTTTTTGTGAACTATCACACTTGCTCCTTCTACCAGTTCATGGATGGTAGAAATAAAAGCCTTTTCTCCGAAACTATTCCTTGAGTGTCTGTTGACTCCCATTTTCCCTTTCCCGGGCGCAATATTTTTCCCACCTGAGGGCAAAGCCTCATAAGGCTACACTTTCTGTTGGGGATAATTCACACTGAAATTCCCAGGTGTCAAAAAAGGTTATTTATATATGCCACCACCGCGGCCCATGTTTTTTTAGGCCCAAAATGGAAAACGAGTGAGGTCCCAACCAAAGAAGAATAGCAACTTAAGTTGACAGAATATGCACAGCTTGCAGACTTAACATATAGAATAAGAGAACAAGGAAAATATATGTTTTGAGAAGACAGGATAATGTTTGTTGAATATATGGGAAATAATTGTGTACAGTTGAAAACGCTGGCAGCATTAAGATATATTCAACAGTGTAAATAAGTTTTGATGGATTTAATAATGGAATACTGATTGGTATAGTTTTTGTAAAATATGAAAGAATTTATGATATGCAAAAGGAACCTTGGAAAGAAAAGAAGGGAAGTCACTGATATTTTAAGGATGTAAAATGAGTATTTTAAATTGTAAAATAGAAAATTTAATAAAAATTATATAAAAACAGAAAAGGGTGAATCCTTGGCATGGATTGTGCCCCCTTTCCCCTCCCTTTTAGAGCATCACCCAGAAGGGCAGACTTTGACTCCAACCACAAACTGCCCCTACGAAACCAAGTGCGAAAGGCGCATTGTAGCATTTGCAAAATATTTTCCCACCCCCCAATCCCCCACCCTCCATTTCCTCCTGCAGGAGGGATCCCCACCTCTGCTTAATTCCACCAGAAGAGAGGGTGTTTTCACTACCTTGACTTCTGCTGGGCAGTTTTCTCAGCCTGGAGAAAGTTGCTGTTTCCCTCTGCAAATTCTGGCAGCCTCTGGCTTTCTTCATTCCTCTGAGAGGTCTGAATATGACGCAGGTTTTGAGTGCACATTAATAGCCGAATGTTGGACATATGGAAAGCGAAAGTGTTTTCTTCTCAGTTGATTCATCCAGTTGCACATCCATAAAAGGAGAACACAATAGCATCAAAAGAGTCCAGCTGATGGGTCAGGCAAAAGGGGTCTATCATTGTCCAGCAGCCTGATGGCTCTGCAAACCAGATGCCATGACAGGAAACTCACAAGCAAGACGTAAGCTCAGTGGCTTTCCCCACACTTGGGGTATTCAGAGGCATAGGAGGCAGCCTTATACAGAGTCAGACCATGTGCCATAGACTCATTACTGCCCTTGATCGGGACACTAGACCAGTGGAGGCAGCCTGGAATAGCATTAGCCTTTTTTGCTGCTGCATCACACTGTGGGCCCATGTGAAGCTTGCGGTCTGCTGAGGAAGGAACTGATTGACAGTCTCAACAGAAGAAAGCCAGTTGCTACCGGGATGCCATTCCCTTCCAGATGCCAGAGCACAGCTGGAATACTGTGTCCAGTCCTGGGCGCCATAGTTTAAGAAGGATGTTGACAAGCTGGAAGGTGTGCAGAGGAGGGCGACCAAGGTGATCAAGAGTGTGGAGACCAAGCCTTGGGAGGAACAGTTGATGAGGTTGGGGATGTTTAGCCCGGAAAAGAGGAGATATGAGAGCCATCTTCAAATATCTCGTCCCATGGAAGTTCCCATGGAAGAGGGAGAAAGCTTGTTTCCTCCTGCTCTGGAGGGGAGGACTCAAACCAATGCCTTCAAGTTATGAGAAAGGAGATTCTGACTAAACATCAGAAAAACTTTCTGTCAGTAAGAGCAGTTCAGCAGTTGAACAGTCTCCCTTGCGAGGTGGTGGACTCTCCTTCCTTGGAGATTTTAAAGCAGAGGTTGGGTGTCCATCTGTCAGTGATTCCTTAGCTATGATTCCTGAATTTCAGGGGGTTGGACTAGAAGACCCCTGGGGGTCCCTTCCAAGTCTACCATTCTAGGATTCTGTGTGTACTGTAAAAAGGAGGCAGATGAACTCCCGTATCACCCATAAGACTGTGCAATAGAGCTGATTCCCAGGCTGCAGATCGCAAAGAACAAGCTATCTGCACTCTGGGAATGTGGGCTGGTTGCTCCATGGGAAGTCCTAGACAAAAATCTTAAGAAGGGCTCATCCACCCTTCCACTGCTTATGGGGACACCCATGCCGTTTGTAAAGAAAACAAACACAGAGGAGTTGAGATCTTGCACTGACTTGAAAAACCTCAACCGGGTCCTGCTGCCCAACTGCTACCTGCTGTCAGTAAACTGGAGAAGCTTCTCCCCCACCTTTTTCTGGGCGTTTGTGCTGGTTGTGCAGACTCAATTTCGCCACTGAATGTGTCCTGGAAAAGGATCTGTGGCCAACCCCACCTGCACGCCAGATAGCCTTCTTCATGTGCCTCCTCCACAAAAGGGTGGCAGCATGAGGACAGGGCCTATTCTGCAGTGGCTCCCCATTGGGGAATGCTCTCCCCAAGGAGGCTCGCCTGGCACCTTCATTATGCATCTTTAGTGCCAGGCGAAAACGTTCCTCTCCAACAAGGCCTTTGGCAGATTGACATCCAAAGCTCTTTTATATGTGTTGTGCCAGGGGGATTATTGGTTTTTGTTCCTATATTTATTACGTATTTCATCATCATCAACATCATCATCATCAATGCCACCCTGATGAATATACCTGTATGCCAGATACATTTACAAATACACACTTGTTGCCTTCACAGCGCATATGTTTCACTCTAGTTCTATTCATGTGAAATAATGTTTGTGCACAGCGAGAGTTAGCCACAATCGAAGGCAGCGATGCTTATCCCCTCCCCTGCTCGGTTGGCGAACCTATTTGGGCTCGTCCGTGAAAACTGATGGATCCTGATAGATTCCGACAAGCCTTGCGGGACCCTGCTCCTCCTGGCGACTCATTAGATGACCTTGTTGAGGACTGGAATAACCGGCTCTTGGCAGCCATTGATGAGATCGCGCCTAAGCGTCCTCTGCGACCCCGTCGAAACCGGGCCCCTTGGTTTACTGAGGAGCTCCGGAAAATGAAGTGGGATCTCAGACGGCTAGAGCGAGTATGGCGACGGACTTGTGACGGAGCCTCAAGAACATCTTATAGGACGCTTATGAAAGCCTATGAGATGGCTATGAAAGCTGCTAAGAAATCTTACTTTGCAGCTTCCATTGCATCCGCTAGCTCTCGCCCGGCACAACTTTTAGAATAATTAGATCAATAACGTCCTTAGGAGGACAACCAAATTTAAGCACAAATTCGACCCACAGCTGTGAGGCATTCGCGAGCTTTTTTGCGGAGAAAGTCCTGTTGCTCCGCCGTGACCTCCCTGCCAATTCAGATACAGTGACTGAACTGGAGGCCCCTCGACTGACTTCAGGTCCAGTGTTGGACCATTTCGATCGAATACTCCCTGCTGATGTGGATAGATTCCTCCAAGTTAGTAGGCCCACCACCTGCCTCCTTGATCCGTGCCCGTCTTGGCTGATTAGGGAGTGTCCAGATGTTGCGCGGACCCCCCTGGTTGAAATTATCAATTTGTCCCTTGACACGGGGACATTCCCAGGGGACTGAAGGAAGCAGTGGTATGTCCACTCTTAAAGAAAACTTCATTAGATCCCTTAGACCTATCCAATTACCGCCCAGTTTCAAATCTTCCATATCTGGGTAAGGTAATTGAGAGAGCGGTTGCTGAACAGCTTGGTAGGTTTCTGGAGGAAACATCGGCTTTAGATCCATTTCAGTCCGGTTTCCGTCCTGGACCGAGACGGCTCTGGTTGCCCTAACAGATGATCTCCGTAGACAGCTGGATCGAGGCGGGTCAGGACTGGTGATCCTTTTAGATTTGTCAGCAGCCTTTGACATGGTCGATCATGATCTTCTGGACCACAGCCTCGCAGACGTGGGGATACAAGGCATAGCCCGTAACTGGCTGTGCTCTTTTATCTCTGGTCGGGGACAGAGGGTGGCACTAGGGAGGGAAATGTCGTCGCGCCACTCCTTGGTGTGTGGAGTGCCGCAGGCGCAATTCTCTCCCCGATGCTTTTAACATCTTTATGCGCCCCTTTGCCCAGATTATCCGGAGCTTTGGGCTGGGCTGTCACCAATATGCTGATGACACTCAGCTCTATCTGTTGATGGATGGCCACACCGACTCGGCCCCGAACACACTGACCAGATGCTTGGAAGCTGTGGCTGGATGGTTTCGTGGGAGCCGATTGAAACTAAATCCTTCGAAGACAGAGGTCCTATGGCTGGGTCGGGATGGCATGGGGATGAGGGACCAACTCTCTTCTCTTGCAGGGGCCCAATTAGTGCCATTGCCTTCCGTTAAGAGTTTGGGTGTAATCCTTGACGCCTCCCTTTCCATGGAGGCGCAAGTTACAGCAACAGCCAAGGCGACATTTTTCCACCTTCGCCGCATCAAGCAGTTGGTCCCTTACCTTTCCCGCCCGACCTGGCCACAGTGATCCATGCGACGGTCATCTCCAGGCTTGACTACTGTAATTCGCTCTACGCGGGGCTGCCCTTGAAGCTGTCCCAGAAACTCCAGCGGGTGCAGAATGCTGCAGCGAGGCTCCTCACGGGGTCTCTGCCATGGGAGCATATTCACCCAGTGCTTTTCAAGCTGCACTGGCTCCCGGCGGAGTACAGGATCAGATTTAAGGTGCTGCTTTTGACCTTTAAAGCCCTTCATGGCCTAGGACCCTCGTACCTACGGGACCGCGTCTCCTGGTATGCCCCACGGAGAGCCTCAAGGTCCATAAATAGCAACACCCCAGAGGTCCTGGGCCCTAAGGAAGTCAGATTAGCCTCAACCAGACCAGGGCCTTTTCAGCACTGGCTCCGGCCTGGTGGAACGCTCTGCCTCATGAGACCAGGGCCCTGCAGGATCTGATTTCTTTCCGCAGGACCTGTAAGACAGAGTTGTTCCGCCTGGCCTTTGGCTTGGAGCCAATTTGATTCCCTCCCTCTCTTTCTTTTTTCTTTTCCTTCTCCTTCTGCGATGAGGCTACATTTTAATATTTTAATGTTTCAATAGTTTAATGTTGTATTTTTTAATTTTGTTTAAGTTGTAATCATTTAACTTGTTTTTATTATTGCTTGTAAGCCGCTCTGAGCCCGGCCTTGGCTGGGGAGGGCGGGGTATAAATAATAATAATAATAATAATAATAATAATAATAATAATAATAATAATTATGAACTCCAGTTGCTGGAAACTACAGAAGGGGAAAGTTGTTCTTGAACTTGGGAGCATCTGGCTGGCCACTGTGAAAACAGGAGACTGGACTGGAGAGCTCTGTTGGTTAGAGCGTGGTGCTGATAATGCCAAGGTTGCAGGTTCAATCCCGTGTGGGACAGCTGCATTGTGGGGGTTGGACTGGATGATCCTGGGGTCCCTACCAACTCTTCAGTTCTATGAGTCTGTGATTCGATGGGCGGCTGGCCAGATCCAGAAGGGCTCTTCATATTGTAGCAGGAACCCCCCACCCCAATCATTCAGTTTGTACAAACTTCACACACTCACACTCACACACTACATATGCCACACTTCTGTTATAAATTCATTCCAAAATCAACCATACATCGGATTTGCACTGTTCCATTTTTATTTTACTCCATATGACAAGGACTATCAAAGGGGGGTGGCTTGGTTCTGGTCAGCCATAATCCCTTCACCATCCCAGCACATCCACAGGAGCCCTGCCCAGTTGCTATGCCAACCCTGATGGTCCTAGACAGAAGACCATCAAGATCACAAAGAACTTGCATATGGGAGTGGATTCAGCAGGGACTGAAACAAAGGACAATGATCAGATCTTCCCTCTGGGGGCAGGAAACTGCCAACTCCCCTTTGTCTCCTGGAAGTGACTCATGGGCAGGGGGAAAGGAGGAACCAGCCAGGTGACAGGACACTCAGGTTACCACCTCAACCCCTCCTTTCTGTAATGTATGCATGATGTTTCTGGGGGTGGGCTTGACCTAGAGGATGGGAATTTCAAAAGTTTTTATAAGGTCTTGCACACCATCTTTCTGGGTCTTTCCTCTCTCTTGCAAGTGAGGGGAACACCCTGTTGCAACAGTTCAATAAAGGCCAAGCCTACAGGCTGCTGTTTTGCTCCACGTTGTCCTGGTTGGTGTCTTTGTTTTTGTCCAAGAGAGCCCTCGGATTTTTCCGGTAACAATATGTTCTTATGTTCTTACTGTTTGCCAAGTATCCTGTTTTGCATTGAAAGGTCCCTCAAACAAAAGAAGGAAATGGCCAGCAAGAAAAGCAACACACCCTCCCTGCCTGTCGGTTTCCGCATCTAGACAGGGTGTTCTCTCACCCCCCTTTTACTGTTTTATTAAATTTGCTTAGTAACATAACATTATTATATATATTCTATAAAACAAAGTATACAAAACAGAATTCATTTATACTACAATGCATAACTCTTGTTGTTGTTTAGTCGTTTAGTCGTGTCCGCCTCTTTGTGACCCCCTGGACCAGAGCACGCCAGGCACTCCTGTCTTCCACTGCCTCCCGCAGTTTGGTCAATCTCATGCTGGTAGCTTCGAGAACACTGTCCAGCCATCTCGTCCTCCGTCGTCCCCTTCTTCTTGTGCCCTCCATCTTTCCCAACGTCAGGGTCTTTTCCAGGGAGTCTTCTCTTCTCATGAGGTAGCCAAAGTATTGGAGCCTCAGCTTCAGGATCTGTCCTTCCAGTGAGCACTCAGGGCTGATTTCCTTCAGAATGGATCGGTTGGATCTTCTTGCAGTCCATGGGACTCTCAAGAGTCTCCTCCAGCACCATAATTCAAATAATCCCTTCATGGATCACTGCCTTGCCGTGGCGAAGGGACTTGAATAACTCAGAGAAGCTATGAGCTATGCCGAGCAGGGCACCCAAGATGAACAGGTCATAGTGGAAAGTTTTGACCAAATGTGATCCACCTGGAGGAGGAACCGGCAAGCCACTCCAGTATCCCTGCCAAGAAAACTCCATGGACAAAGACAACAGGCAATGCATAACTACATAACATTAATATATATGGTTTCTGAAAAAAGGCTTACGTAACAAAATCAATTCAAAATACCATCCGGTTTACTTTTTTTCCTTTTTTCCTTCCCCCTCCCTCCCCACTCCAGCCCCCCCCCCCCGGTCAGGCCTTCCTTCTTTATATCTTTATCCATGTACACAGTCTGTTCATTCGAGCTTGTATGTTAGGGTTGGCTTCCCCTCTTTCTATCCAGTTCCTGTAAAATGCCCATTTATTTGTGATTCTTTGGCATTTATTTTCCCATCTATCCTCTGCCACTATCTGTGCGAATATTTCTGATTGTACGTATTCAAAAACATAATCATTCCATTTTCCCATATTCCATTTGGCCTTTTCTTTCCATCCCAAAGCAAGAACTGCCATTCCAGCTAAAATCATAATCTTGTACAACTCTTGCTTATTACTTTTTACTTTCTTATTTCCCAGTATTCCCGAAAATAACAAATCCCTATTAACTTCTATGTTTATTTGAAATAATCCAGAAACTGCTTGCAGGGCAGCAGTTGAAGAAGGAGCAAAAAGGGTTTTCTTGTGTGTGTGTGTGTGTGTGTGTGTGTGTTTCTTTGTGACTGGCTGCTCTCCCTGTGCAAAGGTCAGAGGGGGCAGGGTTTCTGTTGAGGCAGGTGATTAGCTGTGGGAGGAGCTTATCAGAGCTTGCAGGGCAGCAGTTGAAGAAGGAGCAAAAAGGGTTTTCTTGTGCGTGTGTGTTTCTTTGTGGCTGATTGGCTGCTCTCCCTGTGCAAAGGTCAGAGGGGGCAGGGTTTCTGTTGAGGCAGGTGATTAGCTGTGGGAGGAGCTTATCAGAGCTTGCAGGGCAGCAGTTGAAGAAGGAGCAAAAGGGTTTTCTTGTGTGTGTGTGTGTGTTTCTTTGTGGCTGATTGGCTGCTCTCCTGTGCAAAGGTCAGAGGGGCAGGGTTTCTTTTGAGGCAGGTGATTTGCTGTGAGTGTAGCTTAACAGAGCTTGCTGGGCAGCTGTTGAAGAAGGTGCAAAATGGGTTTCTTGTGTGTGTGTGTGTGTGTGTGTGTGTGTGTTTCTTTGTGGCTGATTGGCTGCTCTCCCTGTGCAAAGGTCAGAGGGGGCAGGGTTTCTGTTGAGGCAGGTGATTAGCTGTGGGAGAAGCTTATCAGAGATTGCAGGGCAGCGGCTGAAGGAGGAGCAAAAGGGTTTTCTTGTGTGTGTGTGTGTGTGTGTGTGTGTGTGTGTTTCTTTGTGGCTGATTGGCTGCTCTCCCTGTGCAAAGGTCAGAGGGGGCAGGGTTTCTGTTGAGGCAGGTGAATAGCAGTGCGAGGAGCTAATCAGCGCAAGCACGGCAGCAGTTGAAGAACGCGCACACCGGGCTTTCTTGTGTGTGTGTGTGTGTGTGTGTGTGTGTGTTTCTTTGTGGCTGATTGGCTGCTCTCCCTGTGCAAAGGTCAGTGGGGGCAGGGTTTCTGTTGAGGCAGGTGATTAGCTGTGAGAGGAGCTTATCAGAGCTTGCAGGGCAGCAGTTGAAGAAGGAGCAAAAAGGGTTTTCTTGTGTGTGTGTGTGTGTGTGTGTGTGTTTCTTTGTGGCTGATTGGCTGCTCTCCCTGTGCAAAGGTCAGAGGGGGCAGGGTTTCTGTTGAGGCAGGTGATTAGCTGTGGGAGGAGCTTATCAGAGCTTGCAGGGCAGCAGTTGAAGAAGGAGCAAAAAGGGTTTTCTGGTGTGTGTGTGTGTGTGTGTGTGTGTTTCTTTGTGGCTGATTGGCTGCTCTCCCTGTGCAAAGGTCAGAGGGGGCAGGGTTTCTGTTGAGGCAGGTGATTAGCTGTGGGAGGAGCTTATCAGAGCTTGCAGGGCAGCGGCGCGTGCCTAGCGGCGCGCGCAGTTTGATCCATCTTGTAGATTTAGGGGAGCTAGTCTCAAACGTTTGTTGGGGGAGACCTAGGTTTTTTTGTGGGGGGAGTTATTTTTCCTGTCTTCACGCTTTTTATGATGGAGGACTGCTGTAGCCACCCCCAACGACACGTTAACAAGATGGAGGGGGAGGGAACAGCTGCAGTCGCCTGCGGTTCCTGCGCAATGTTTGCCATCTTGCCAAAGGTTGCAGGCAGCTTTACCTGCAGCAATTGCATGTTGATTGCCCTCTTAAAAGACAAGGTCCAGCAACTGGAGGAACGTGTAGCTACGCTCCAAAGAATTAGAGAGCTGGAGCTCTTCTTGGAAGCAACAGAGCACACCGTCTCCACCAAGGAGGAGACAGGGGACTCCCTGAGAAGGACGCTAGTTCACCAACACAGGAGCCAGATATATGGAGAAACGTGACTCAGAGAAGTAGGAGGCCCAGGGTTCGCTCTGATTGTTTAGAAATACACAATCACTTTGAGGTCCTCTCCCTAGCATGGAAGACGAAGAGCAGACTCCATTTGAGGATCTCTCCTCATTACAGTCGATCAGGTATATGAAGACGAGCAGCAAAGTCAGTCCTCAGGGAATGTGCAGGCGACCTTGGAGCGGACAGCTCACGGAAGAACCCCAACCAAACCTAAGAGGAGGCGTGTAGTGGTGATAGGGGATTCCCTACTGAGGGGAACAGAAGCAGTGATCTGTGGGCCTGACAAGATGTCTCGGGAAGTGTGCTGTCTCCCGGGGCTAAGATCCAAGATGTAACTGAACGACTGCAAGGAATCATAAAACCCACTGACAAATACCCCTTCCTCTTGGTTCATGTGGGAACCAATGACACTGCAAGCAATAGCCTCCAGAAGATCAAAAGAGACTACGAGGCTCTGGGCAGGAAATTGAAGCAATTAAATGCACAAATTGTGATCTCATCTGTCCTCCCAGTTGAACGACGTGGTCCAGGGAGAGAGGGGAAAATAGTGGAAGTGAACAGCTGGCTTTGCAAATGGTGTAAACAGGAACGGTTTGGATTCTTAGATCACGGACTGCAGTTTCTTGAAGATGGACTTCTGGCAAGCGATGGGCTGCACCTCACAACGGTTGGGAGAAATGTTTTTGCCAAAAATCTCAGAAACCTCATCAGGAGGGCTTTAAACTGACTAATGTGGGGAGGGAGACAGTGCTCCTGAAGGTAGGAGTCTATCAATTGATGAAGATGATCATCCAAATGTCATAGACCAAATGGAGCAAACAGCACGCAGACCTAGTGGTGGGAGGAAAAAATCCTTAAATAAGAGTCACGGGGGAATGATTAATGGACTTCAATGTCTGTACACTAATGCGCAAAGCATGGGAAATAAACAAGATGAGCTTGAGCTCTTGGTACAGCAAACTAAATATAATAGGCATCACTGAAACCTGGTGGGATAAGTCCCACGATTGGAATGTAATAATGGGGGGATACAATCTATTTCAGAGAAACAGACCAGACAAGAAAGGAGGAGGAGTGGCGTTATATGTCAGGGATGTGTATACCTGTGAAGAGATCCAAGATTTAGAACCTCAAAGCCAAAGTGAGAGCATTTGGGTCAAAATTAAGGGAGAGAAGAATAACAGTGACTTCATTGTGGGAGTTTACTATAGATCCCCAAGCCAAACGGAGGACATAGATGATGCCTTCCTGGAACAGATGGCCAAGCATGCAAAAGGAAGGGAGATAGTAGTAATGGGGGACTTCAATTACCCGGATATTTGTTGGATGTCAAACTCAGCCAAGAGCATAAGGTCAAACAGATTCCTCACTGGCCTTGCAGACAACTTCATTGTCCAGAAAGTGGGAGAAGCAACAAGAGGAACAGCCATTTTAGATCTGGTCCTAACCAATGTTGATGACCTGGTTAGTGGGGTAGAAGTGGAAGGATCATTAGGCGCGAGTGATCATGCTCTTCTGAAGTTTACTATACAGCGGAAAGGAGCAGCCAAGCATACTAGGACTCAATTTCTTGACTTTAAGAAAGCTGACTTCATAAAACTTAGGGAAGTGCTGGGTGAGATCCCATGGACAGTAATACTAAAAGGAAAGGGAGTTCATGATGGCTGGGAGTTTGTTAAGAGGGAGATACTAAAAGCACAACGTCAGGCAATACCAATGAGACAGAAACATGGAAGGTGCCTAAAGAAGCCAGGGTGGCTATCTAAAGAACTTTTAACTGAGTTAAGATTAAAAAAGGATGTGTACAAAAAATGGAAAAGGGGGGAAACCACCAAAGAGGAATTCAAACAAATAGCCAGCACGTGTAGACACAAAGTCAGAAAAGCTACAGCACAGAATGAACTCAGGCTTGCTAGAGAGGTTAAAAGCAACAAAAAAGGCTTTTATGGGTATGTCCGTAGCAAAAGGAAGAACAAAGAAACAGTGGGGTCACTCAGAGGAGAAGATGGTGAAATGCAAACAGGGGACACAGAAAGGGCTGAACTCCTCAATGCCTTCTTTGCCTCAGTCTTCTCCGATAAAGAAAACAATGCCCGACCTGAAGAATTTGGAGCAAATGATTCAGCAAAGGAAACACAGCCCAGAATAACTAAGGAGATAGTACAAGAATACTTGGCTAGTTTAGATGTATTCAAGTCTCCAGGGCCAGATGAACTGCATCCAAGAGTATTAAAAGAACTGGCAGATGTGATCTCAGAACCACTGGCAATCATCTTTGAGAATTCCTGGAGAACAGGCAAAGTCCCGGCAGACTGGAGGAGGGCAAATGTTGTCCCTATTTTCAAAAAGGGGAAAAGAGAGGACCCAAATAATTACCGCCCAGTCAGTCTGACATCAATACCAGGGAAGATTCTGGAGCAGATCATTAAGCAAACAGTCTGTGAGCACCTAGAAAGGAATGCTGTGATCACCAATAGTCAGCATGGATTTCTGAAAAATAAGTCATGTCAGACTAACCTGATCTCGTTTTTGACAGAATTACAAGCCTGGTAGATGAAGGGAATGCAGTGGATGTAGCCTACCTTGATTTCAGCAAGGCATTTGACAAGGTGCCTCATGATATTCTTGTAAAGAAGCTGGTAAAATGCGGTCTTGACTATGCTACCACTCAGTGAATTTGTAACTGGCTGACTGACCGAACCCAAAGGGTGCTCATCAATGGTTCCTCTTCATCCTGGAGAAGAGTGACTAGTGGGGTGCCACAGGGTTCTGTCTTGGGCCCGGTCTTATTCAACATTTTTATCAACGACTTGGATGATGGACTCAAGGGCATCCTGATCAAATTTGCAGATGACACCAAATTGGGAGGGGTGGCTAACACCCCAGAGGACAGGATCACACTTCAAAACGACCTTGACAGATTAGAGAACTGGGCCAAAACAAACAAGATGAATTTTAACAGGGAGAAATGTAAAGTATTGCACTTGGGCAAAAGAAATGAGAGGCACAAATACAAGATGGGTGACACCTGGCTTGAGAGCAGTACATGTGAAAAGGATCTAGGAGTCTTGGTTGACCACAAACTTGACATGAGCCAACAGTGTGACGCGGCAGCTAAAAAAGCCAATGCAATTCTGGGCTGCATCAATAGGAGTATAGCATCTAGATCAAGGGAAGTAATAGTGCCACTGTATTCTGCTCTGGTCAGACCTCACCTGGAGTACTGTGTCCAGTTCTGGGCACCACAGTTCAAGAAGGACACTGACAAACTGGAACGTGTCCAGAGGAGGGCAACCAAAATGGTCAAAGGCCTGGAAACGATGCCTTATGAGGAATGGCTAAGAGAGCTGGGCATGTTTAGCCTGGAGAAGAGGAGGTTAAGGGGTGATATGATAGCCATGTTCAAATATAGAAAAGGATGTCACATAGAGGAGGGAGAAAGGTTGTTTTCTGCTGCTCCAGAGAAGCGGACACGGAGCAATGGATCCAAACTACAAGAAGGAAGATTCCACCTAAACATTAGGAAGAACTTCCTGACAGTAAGAGCTGTTCGACAGTGGAATTTGCTGCCAAGGAGTGTGGTGGAGTCTCCTTCTTTGGAGGTCTTTAAGCAGAGGCTTGACAACCATATGTCAGGAGTGCTCTGATGGTGTTTCCTGCTTGGCAGGGGGTTGGACTCGATGGCCCTTGTGGTCTCTTCCAACTCTATGATTCTATGATTCTATGATCTTTTGCCAATATTCCTTAACCAGATTACATTCCCACCACACGTGTGAATATAGTCTTTTTTCCTGACCACAATGCCAGCATTTGGGACTAAACCCTTTCACTATATACACCATTTGTGCTGGAGTTCTATACCATTTTAATAAAAATTTTCTACTTAATTCTTTATACTTTTCTATTTTAATATTGTTTATATTCTTCATCAGTTCTTGGGCCGTGTTTGGATGGATCATACCATCCTGCTCCCATTTAATCTGGATTATCCTTATCATTCTTTCTTTGTCGCTTATCATCAGTTTATATAACATCCCTGCTATCCCTTTCTCCATTATTTGTCTTTTGTTCAGTACCATATCTATTTTCATTTCTGTCCTCATTGTTTCCTCTGCTCTTTCCGTTTTTATTAAATCATAAAGTCCTTGCACTTTCAGCCAATATTGTTTTCCTATTTTTTCTAAAAAACCTTTTTTTGTAATTAAATTCCCTTCTTCATCGAACATATCTTTTAATTTATAAAATCCCTGATCTTCTAATTTCTTCCACCATCCCGGTTCCCTTTGTTTTTTTGTTTTTTGTTTTAAAAGATATTTATTAAAAGTTTAAAAGTTACAGAAAAAAGAAAAAAAAAGAAAACATCAAAAAAATTCAACAAGACATACATTTCAATACATAAAAAAGGAAAATAAAAAAACATAAAACCCAATACAACAATACAACAATAAAAAACACAGATCCAATACTCCATATCTTTATCTTTCATTTGCTTGTTTCCTCGACCTCCTCACACCTCCCTTTTTGTATTCTAGTTTAGTTCATTGTTTCAGCAAATTCTTTCCATCTTTCTCAATTTTTGTTAAGTAATTTACCTTAACGGTCTAACATATTAATTCACTCAGCAAATCCTTGCTATCTTTCACTGTGTTCTGTCATTCAATTTACCTTAATTTATTTTAACCTTATCTTACCATAAAATACCTTAAATCTTAAAACTTAATATTTATTTATACATAACTCCTTATATCATTTCTACTAAAGCCAAATAGTTTCATTCCAACATTTTTCCTAATACTCATTAATTTTACTCTAATTCTCAAAATAATTTCTTTTTAAAAAAAAAAATTCTTCCAATCTTCATCCAACGTCTCTTCTTCCTGGTCTCGGGTTATGTCAGTCCTTACTGTCCATTCCATCTAATCCATCAACCTGGTGCTCTTGTGTCCGAGGCTCTTAAGTCTCTTCCATGCCCCTTCTGCAGATCTTCTTCTTTTTATACCTGCACTTTACCTTGTCTTCTATTGATCTTTTTCTTAGTTTCTTTCCTTTCTCATTGAGGAATAGGTCTCGGGGAGACTCCGACCCAAAAATATCCCCATCTCCCCTCAGCAGATCAGCCCATTCCCCACAGTCCATTCCCCACACTCAGCACTGTAGTCCAGAAAGTATTTAAAAGCATGTTTTAAAGACCCTCCAAAATTAAAAGCCCCCACAACTCCAGACCCCCACTGGCCCACTCCAGATTCAATCTTCAAAAACAGCGGCTTATGCTCCTGCAGGGCCACGGGTCTCTCATTTGTGTTACTTGAGGTTCAACAGCGACCTCCTCCATTATCTTCTGCACTTGCACTTGCCCTGTCAAAACAAGTTCCTGAGTTGGTTCCTGAATAGTTTCTATATGGATATTCGCCGTTTGTCCAAAGTTTTTGACTGCAACAGTCATCAAATCCATCTTCTCATGCATCTGCTCCAACAAAGCGCTTGTCTTGCAAAAAGCAAGCACCAAAACTTCTAAACACATTTTTATTCAAGGCCAGAGTCTGGTCTCATGATCGTAATCTCGCAGCTGTAAAATCCCCAGATCGACTCCAGCAACAATTTAACAGACTCCCTCTAGAGGAGACAATTTCTATTTGTATCCATCTTTTGAAAGCAGGTCCAACAAAGGAAAATTACTTTCATTTTTCATATATTTTGTATCTTTTAATTGCAAAAGGCAACATTGGAATCAGTTTGTTTCTCTTTTTTTAACTATCTGTCAAAAGACGTTCCATTCACAATCAATGAACTTTCCCAAGAATTTCTGTCTCTGACACGCCGTTCCCAGGTTTGAGACGGTGGAAATTGATCTTTCTTTACTCTCTCTCCTGCAGGCTTGAACAATTAAAATTTCCCCCTTTTCTCCTGCTTCCAAGAGGGGTTTTGATGGTTATAACTGAAGGAAATTTAGTCCTTCATATGCAGCTTACCAGACTTTAGCTTGCAAATTTTTGCTTCAGTCTATTTACAAAAAGCGGGAGGCGGACTTCCTGTTTAGAACCTTCCTGCTTCAGTGCCAAATTAAATGTTTCTTAATCCAATTTTCCGTTTTACTCACGGGTACTTGTTTAGAGTCCAATTGTCCACAGGAAAAAGTCAGCGCTCTCCGGCAACAGCTGTGTGGCTTCACTCCGTAAAAGTAGCAGTCGATTCAAAACACCGCGCCACTCACCCCACGTCGCTTCGGATCCCCGAAAAAGGGTTTCCCTGTGAGTAGGGGAGGCACTCCTGGTGTCAGCCGAATCCCACGTTCCCAGGCTTCCTCCGCCTGGGATTTTTAAAGGGTCTCCGCCTTCGCCACGGCGGCAAGACCCGATTTTCACGGAGCGGGTTCCTCCCGGTCAGAGGAACCCCGCCATTGCCGATGGCGCTAACCCGGAAGTCCATCCCGGTTCCCTTTGACCCTCCTGCATATATTTTAACGGCGTCCACCTTGAGTATGTTGGCATCTATTTCGTATTCCAATTCCTCCAGATTCCTAATGCAGTTTTCCTTGGTCCTATTGTCTTCTTAAAAGCCGTATTAATATCTCTATTAAATATCCCTTCTCTTCCTATTCCTTCATTTATTTCATTCTCCAGCCTTATCCATTTAATCCCATCCTTATATCCAACATCTATTAGATTTTTCAATTGGAATGTTTCATAGTAAAATTCTAAGTTCGGTATTCCCCATCCCATCTCTTCTTGAGATGAATAATTTACTATGTCTGGGGTTCTAACTCTTTTACTTCCAAAAATCCAATTTTTAAATACCTTATTCCATGTTTTGAACCATATTTTCCTGATGGGTAGTGTAATTACTTGAAATAAATATAATAATTTTGGTACCAGAAACATTTTAACTGCTCTAATCCTACCTAGAATAGATAAATTCTTATTTTTCCATGATTTTATGTCCTTCTTGATCTTCCTCCATGCTTTTTTGTAATTTACATCTGAAATCCTAGCAATATTTTTAATAATATTTACCCCCAAGTATTTAATTTCCCCCCTATTGATATCCATCTTTGTCATTTTTGCAATTTCCTTCTTCTCCTCTTTATTTACATCCCAAAATAAAATTTCAGACTTCTCCAAATTTACTCCCAATCCCAACTCCTCTTTAAAACCCTTCAGGATTATCATAAATTCTCTTACACCCTCTAAGGGGTTTGTAAATAATAATAGGATATCATCTGCATACATGTTTAACTTGATTTCTTCCTTTCCTTTCTTATATCCTTTTATCCTTACTGAGTTTCGTATTCTGTCTGCCAAGTACTCCATACCCAATACCAATAGTAGTGGTGAGAGTGAACATCTTGTTTAACTCCTCTTTGTATGGTGAATTGATCTGAAATCCCCTCATTCGCTCTGACCACAGCCTTCCCTTCTCTATACAATTCCTGGATTGCTTCCACAAAGTTCTCTCCTAATCCCACGTCCCGCATAATATTCCATAAGAATTTATGTCTAATCGTGTTGAAGGCCTTATACACATCCAATTTTAAGACCACCAATTTTCCTTTTACCCTGCTTGTTAATACATTTAACACATTTCTTATAGGATGGCCTATGTATCTTCCCTTAACAAATCCATATTGATCTTCCTTAATTATTTTAGGTAGTACCTTTTCCAGTCGCCTTGCCAGGATCTTTGTAAATATCTTATAGTCTTGATTTAATAGGCTAATTGGTCTGTAAGACCCCACCTCTGTAGGGTCCTTTTGTGCTTTTTCCAAAGGGTCTGGGGCTTTCCCCCCTTCTAAGATATTATTAAATACTTTTTAAAGTTCTGAGCCCAGGGTTTCTTTAGAAAGAAAGCCGAATTCACAGAGCATCGGGGAGCAGCGCTAAGATGAGGTCCTGCGATTTGTGAAAACGGCATCTTTGAAGCTCTGGTCCCTGCCCTAGTGCCGAAAGGGGAGAGGGGAGGAGAAAACTGGCAGATTAGGTGACTGTTAAGTTGTGGGTTGACATAGCAGACGACACAGCGATTTCTCCAAAGCAGCTCTTTATTTTGTAAGCTGGAACAGAACTGAGCAGCAAACAGCTCAGCCGGCCTGCTTTTATAGGCAGCCGGCTGTCAACATTGTAGCAACAGCAACCCAGGGTTTCCCGCCTAAAATAACTGAGGTGGACCTGAGTGAAAACTATCTACAGTATCCCCTGCTGGCCCAGGGTGAGAACTTCAGTACATAACAGTGACGATGTGGCTCTTTGAAAGTGAAGTCTTGTTTGGTGTGAATAATTAACTTCCGGAGTCGTCTCGCGTGTGTGGGAGAGACCCAAGCCATTACAAAGGATACCTGAACGCAAAAGGTTTAAGACTTGGTAGAGGAGATGAGTTGCAGACCCCATGTGTCCCCGTTCAGCTGAACTCTCTCAGACGCCCACCTGGGATCTTCCCACTTGGCATCCTTTCCCAGGACACTCCATTCCATTCTGCCTCCCACCCACTTTTCCATTTCTTCCCCAGCAGCGACTCAGCCTTCCTGGGCCGCTGGGCTTTGGGCTGGTTAGTCTCCCCCAGGAAATATTTTTTCCTGAAAGGTGGTGGGATGTGTACATGTTGTGCTTCTTCAAACCTGGGGGTTCCTGCTACCCACCCAAATCTGCTAATATTTCTGCTGTTAGCTAGATAAGGATTGGCATTCACAGAACAAGCTTGCTCTCTCTTTCTGTGTACAATCCCTTCTGCTTTCTGTCTTATTTAATAATACACTGTAATTTCAAAACATACCACAGATTGATTGCTCAAATGGACCGCAGCTCCCTCCTTTTTGGCTTTGCTAACCTGCAGCCACTTTTGTTAAAATAGATATTGTTAAGTAAAATGATGTGCTGTTTCTGTGACTGACATGCATTAAAATAATAGGCGTGTTCCTTTCTAGGCCGATATGGGAACAGGATGTGCAATTTATGAAATTTATGACTTGCTTGCTTGGAAATCAGACCCTCCAAGTGTCCTTATTTTCCAGAGACATTCCTGATTTACAGAAGCCATCCCAGTTTCTGGTTTGATGCCAGTAAGTCCCGCTTTTCCGTAGGATGTCCCCATTTTCACTGGAGAAATGTTGGAGGGTATGGAGTAATTCGACCCCGAGCCGTCTGAGGGCAATCCTGTATAGGGAAGGGTTTTTTTAATGTTTAATGTTTTATTATGTTTTTATATTTGACAGAAGCTGCCTAGAGTGGCTGGGGCAACCCAGTAAGATGTGGGGTATAAACAGTAAAATTATCATTATGGAATGGGACGTCCCTATTTTCATCGGAGAAATGTTGGAGGGTATGGGAAATGTCAGGAGAAACTCATTTGGCGTGTGGATGTTACCTGCTGACTTTCAAAGGGAGAGCAGCTTGATCTCTTTTGCCCTGCCAATAATTCCCTTCTGCAGCTGGAGTTTGTTCTGCCCCCAAAATGGACCAACCTTCTGCAAAACACAGTCTCTGTTTCCATTTCACTAGAAGACTATTGCAAAGTTTGCCATGGATCCAGATTCAATAACTGCAGTTCCTCCCATCACTGCCAGATGTCACTGCAGCACCAATCCTAGAGGGATCAGCTGTCACCTTCTGCAAACTGGTTTTCATTTGAAAAGTCCCCTTTCCAGTCTCCCAGATTGCCATTGGGGTCCTGTCCTGAATGGAGGGCCAGGATCTCTCTCTCTCTCTCTCTCTCTCTCTCTCTCTCTCTCTCTCACACACACACACACACACACACACAAACTCCCCTGCTGCGTGATGCTTCCCTTGTGAGGGCGAATAGCAGAAGAGAGGCAGTGTGTGGGGGGAAACAGGCACACAGCAAATTCCTCCCCTTCCATTTCGGGGCATGCATATAGACAATGGGGAGATTGCATTTTTGCAGGTGTGATTGTCAATGGAGATCCCGGGGTGTTAGCTAAATCTAGTCAATGAATCTGGAGTACACCCACAGGAGACAGACTTGATCATGAGAGGGGAAATCTTACATATTACCAATTTTAGTTTAGCAGAATATTTGAAAGCCCCGAAATGTCTGCCAGAATACATTTGCAATCTGATTTAGAATGTTAATAATCTGGTACATAACACCAGTGCAGTTAGGGAAAATGTACAAAACTAGTTCAAATATATGTTGGAAGTGTAAGGAAAAGGAGGGAACATTTTATCATATGTGGTGGGATTGTAAAGTAATTTTAAAAATTTGGGAAATGATATACAATGAATTGAAGAAAATGTTCCATTTAACATTTGTTAAAACCCGAGGCATTTTTGTTGGGGATTGTAGGGAAAGACCTGCCAAAATCAGTTGAAAAACATCTTCATGTATGCGACAACGGCCGCAAGAGTTCTGGTAGCACAAGGATGGAAGACTGAAGAAACCCCAACTAAAGAATCATGGCAAGAAAAATTGATGGACTATGCAGAACTGGCAAAATTGACATATAAACTACGAAATAAGGATAACTGTGACTTTAAGGATGAATGGGAACCTTTCACAAAATATTTGAAGACGCAACAAAGTGAACTGGACTCCTTGGCAGGTTTTGAATAAACATTCACAATTTTTTTACTGATAATAATTAGCTAAACACTTTGAGGATCTATACAACTGTGTAACATGCAGAAAATAGCATTATTGGAGAAACCAAAGACTGGAATTGAGGGAAGTTGGGGGTTGGGGTTGGGGTGATGGGTTCTGTGGGGGGGAGGGGGGGAGGAAAAATGGGGGGGATATGGATATGTTATTGGAAAATATGTTTTGTTATAACTTTGAATAATAATAATTTAAAAAAATAGAATGTTAATAATCTGAATAAATGGTTGAAACTGAACCATTTGGCTAAGTTTCCCAGCCATCCTAGTCAATGTAGAGTAGTGGTTAGGGTGTTGGACTTGGAGAGATCTCTGCCTGAGTTCTTGGGCAGACGTTGCCAGTCGGAATCCTGGGAAAGATGACCCCCAGGACTTCTCTGGAGTAAGGCAGGTTTATAGGCAGACTCTTCCGCAGAAGCTTGCCTGGTGCTACCATCAGTTTGGCCACCTGACAGTTCTGGATCGCAGCGAGGGGCCTGACCTGATCTGGGGCTGTCTCGACCCAACTTGACCCAAGCCTGGATCCCTCTGAACTGGCTCAGGATTTGGACTGATGGATTGTTGATGAAGGACCCTGTGTGAGAGGCAGGGAAGTAAGGATCTTCCAAGGTGGGAAGCTGGGAGAAGAAAGAGAAGCTCCCAGGTGAGAGCTGGGAGGCTCCACCCCCTTCTGTGCGCGTTAAGAGTTAAGATCTACCTGTCAGAGAGGACTTTGCACCTTTCTTTCTCTTCTTCTTTAGATCAGTTTGCTTTTCAATGAAATGTAATATGAAAAGTCTGAATAAAACCTTAATTATAAAAAACTGGGGAAAGGATTTGGGCTTCAGCTGAATGTGGTGCCCAGCTCTGCTACCCAGCATGTCCTCCTGGCCCTACTAAAATCTCGTGCTGCCTCAGGTGTGGTAGAGACACTCTCTCAGCAGTCAGGCTGGGTTAAGGTCCAACTGCTGGTCCAACTTCTGTATGAGGAACGGATGCCATCTTGTAATTCGCCTCAGGTAGCAAAATGTCTTGCACAGGCCCTGCTCAGGAGACACTGATGAGACCCTTCTTAAAGAACAGAGTAGCTTTTATTTAGAGGCTGTTTCACGGCACAGCTGCAGGAAGCAGGCAAGGAGCAGTAAAACAAGACTCCCCAAACATGGGAGAAATCAGTGGGCAGTTGTGGTTACAGCGTGCAGCGTTCAAAATGCAAAGTGACAAGACATCTCCGGCAGTCAAGTTTCTCAGCAGTCTCCCAATGCAGGGAAAGAGGCAGGATCTGGTCTGACCTAGTTGTCAGCCAGCAGAGGTGATCTGGTCATGCCCTAGTTCTGGTGAATATGGCTTCTAGGCATGGATCCTTCCGACTGGATTTCTGATTCAGCTCCAGGAATTCCTTGGCAGGGAACCTCTTTGGCACTGCTGGTACAAAGAGCAATAGAATATGCTCCCCCAAAATACAGATATATCCAGGGTTAAATGCTAAGGAGTGTTTTCAAAAAGAAATTATATCCTACTGGATCTTCAAAAATACATCTAGATGGCTAACAATAAGAAAATGAAAGAAAAAATATTACAAGTAATCACACACACAGAGATTCCAATCAGTCGCCAGTTGAAAATATACTCTGGAAACCAAGCCTTATGAGGAACGGTTGAGGGAGCCGGGTATGTTTAGCCTGGAGAAGAGGAGACTAAGAGGAGACAGGAGAAACATCTTCATATCTCTACTCCAGAGGGTCCAGAGGCTCCAGAGGGTAGGAACCAGACTCATGGATTCAAGTTACCAGAAAGGAGATTTGACTAAAAATTAGGAAGAGCTTTCCGATGGTAAGAGTAGTTTGACTGTGGAAGAGACTGCCTCTGAAGGTTGTGGACTCTTGAGGGCCACTAGGGGGCGCATCAGAAGATGGCTGACAATAACATCTCTCCGACCCACACGAGGTAATTTGGAGGCTATGATGGGAGCAATTAGCCTCCCTACCCCCCCCAGGATGTGGGGGGGACTGCCCTTGCCTGCTGTGCCCTATACCACCCCCCCGAATTTGTGGGGATGGGGGCACTAGGCACAAAGCCCTCCTGTGGGATTTCGGCGCTCCTGGACGCCGTCCCTCATCTGCGCCACTAGCTGCAAGAACTTCAAAAGAAACAATTTGGATGAAGGAATGCACATATTTCAAGGAAGGAGGGGGAGTAAAGACTGCTAACAGAAGAGATCTCTGATAAAACAAGACGAGTCGGAGGAACAAGAATAAATCATGAGAAGATACGCCAAGACTCGGTATGGCAAATGACTGATGGGGGAGGGGGGGAAAAACTTTCCTTTCTTTCCTTATGTGATTAAACAAGAATCCCCTCCCCTTACAAGTCAGAAATGTCGTATTAAGGACTTAAGCTGTGGATTTAAGGCTGTGTGGAGATAAACTTTCGAACCAAAGCATGTTTTAAGAAGAGCGTGGAATGTATAAGAGCTTTGGAATGACGCAGTTAAAAATGCTGTTGCCATATTGGGAAGTTCTGTCGGAGGTCTTGAGTCTGGGAGGAGAAATAGAGAAATAGAGCTGTTTTTATATTGTGGGTGAAACTCCTCAGAGGGACTTAAGAGCGACAGTTTTGCGAGATTAATGATGGAAAGAGCGATGTTATCTATGAAGGCGATGATATATGGAAACCATCTCGATTTGAGGATTGGAAGAACGGAAAAATTCACACAGGATTATTATTGGTGTTTATCGGCTTAAGGAGACTATCAGAAGAGATCATAAAGAAAAAAGAGAAAATATATGAACAAGATGTGATGTGGAAAGAGCAAGAAAAGACTGGATAGAATTATGAACTCTGTTTGGATTGATTCGGACTGATTTGGACATTAACGCAGTAGCAAGAAGATGATCAGAATCCCCCTTCGGATCTTGAAATATGGGTCCCCCCAACAAAAAATTTAAAATTTGGCTTTGTAATTCGGAATTTATGTGATGTGATTTAATTTGATTTGATTGGCCGGTTAATAAAAAATATTCTTTTAAAAAAAAGAAGGTTGTGGACTCTCGTTTACTGAAGGTTTTTAAGCAGAGGTTGGGTGGCCATCTGTCATGGATGCTTTAGTTGAGTTCCTGCATTGCAGGCGTTGGACTAGATGACCCTCAGGGTCTCTTCCAACTCTACAATTCTAAGATTCTATGGATAAGGAATAATACAGAATAAGCATTGCCTCAGAATGGGGGAGAGATCAATCAGGCAGGTCAAAAGCTTGCTAAGACAAAGGGGCCATAAGCAGCTCCTGTCAAGAGCATTCCTGCAACACCTCAAGTTTCCAATCATGTTCCAAAGACTACTAGAGCAGGGAGATTTATGGGCATGTTTTATGCTGTGGTGGTTAGAAGCAGGCCCCATTCACTTTCCTTATTATTATTATTGGCAGTCATCGGAGGTAATACAAATCCCTGGAGAGAACAGCATTTCACCCAGCACCAATTAGACAATAAGCTGGTAGGAACAATGACTGGGAAGCATTTTGTCTGCAGCAACAAAGGGCTCGTTCACACTTCTGTCTGTTCCGTGCCTGGGAAGCATGGTTCCCAGCAGTTTTCCTCTTGTCTCACACTTTCCAGGCACAGCTCCAAGCAATTTTGCCTTTGCCCCACTGCTTTCCCCCAGCCTGCTCTTTAGCGCTAAATCAGAACAAATGGCATTCCACGGAAAACCTGATTGCTGTTAGTTCTGATTCAGCACTAAAGATCAGGTTTCCCGAGCAAAAGTGGCCGGGCAAATGAAGATGTGGATAAGCTCACCTCACAACAGCTGCAAATGTTTTCACAGCCACCTTCACCCAAGTATGCACACAGAGCAAGAGACTCTGGTCTGAATTACACTCACAGAACCTGAGCTCTCTGCTGATAGCCAAAAGCAAACAAAGGGTACCTGAAAAGCTATATATGACCCCCTTATTTAAAAAAGTTTGCAACAGCTTCCCCTATTTTCCTAATTTTGCCTCCTCGAGAGGCCTTTTTTACTTCAATTTGGTCATACAGCTTCTGCTCTCCAGGCAGCAGAGGCTTCCTGCGTCTTCCTCAGTTCTTCCAGCTTGGCCAGTCCAGCTTTGATTTGGGGCTGCAACCCTTCAATAGCAGCTTCAAGCTCTTTTCGCTCCCTGAGCACTTCCTTTGTCAATGTTAAGCTCTTGCTTTCTAGCGTGTGGGATGAATCAAAGAAGGTCTTCATGCTCATGGTGCCCATTTTCCAAAACATTTCATCAAAATTGAAGTTGCCTCCGGGCTCCACTGGATTGTTGGCAAACAGTGCTGAATTGTTGAATTTGAAGTGCACAGGGGTGCCCTTGGCATCCTTAGCACATGGTACATTGGCTTCCTTAATGGCCTCGAGAACAGGAGGGGTCTGTCCATCTGCAAATGTGATCAGGACTTGGATGTTGTCCTTTATATCTTTGCCAAAGATGGAGAGCACAGAGTCAAAAACGTATCTCTGGGCATGAGTTAAACGAGGTAAAGAGGCCTGGACGACAATACAGATGGCGTCTATATGATCAGTGCCCCCTAGGGAGGAGAAAAACTCCCGGATCTGCTTTGTTATCAACTTGTCATGCTCTTTTCCCCTTGTGTCTCCAAATCCTGGAGTGTCAATAACGGTGAGGGAATAGGGGACTTGGAAACCCTTGTGGTGGTGGACAATGTAGGCGGTCACTTCTGATGTTTGGCTTTGAGCTTGGCTTCTGTTGGTATTTTCAGGAATAAGTTTGAATCGGAATTCATCTCCCCATTGCACATCCAGGACATAATTGATCATTGCATTGATGAGAGTGGTTTTCCCTGATCCTGTTGCTCCCATCACCATAATCACTTTTTGGGGGGCATGAATGTTCTCTTTCCCTAGCTGGTATGTTAGACAGGATCCAGAGACATCCTGTATGGGCTCCAGGGGCAGAGCATACACTGCTGGTGGCCCATCCTCCACGCGGGTGCTGCCTTGGAGGTACTGACAAGCTGCTCTCTTCTTGTCTCCTTCCAATGATGTGGAAACCTCAATCTCTTTGCTGGGCTCACTCTCAGCCCCACCGGCACACATGACTGAGACTCTGAATCTGTAGGGTGTCTGGGGCTTCAGACCATCCATCTCACAGAACTCTGTTTTCTTCCCTGTTCTTTTTTCAGCCCATTCATCTTTGTCCTTGCTTTTTGCCTCTCCAGCCTCTTCACGGTAGTCCACTTTGTATTCCTTTATAACAGCTCCCTGGCCAATGATCTTTGGGCTCTCCCAGGCTATACTGATTTTGGAAGACGCTGCGAATATCTCTCTCAGTTCCCCAGGAGGGCTGGTAGGAAGTGTCTGTACAGATTTACTCACATTGCTGGTCTCACTAAGTCCTGGTTTGCTCCTAGCGCTGTATCGAAACTGGTATTCTGTGTTTGCGCTCAGCCCTCTCACTTGGAATGTCTCCTGACTGTCGTCAGTATTCACAATCTTCCAATTTTCTTCTCCTGCAATCTTGTACTCTACTTGATAGCTGGAGATTGCAGCCCTCCCATACTCCGCAGGTTGAAATGTCAGCTGCACACTCTCATGTCCAATTTGGCCAACCAGGGGAGGGAGAGGATTTGAGGGCAGCTCAAAGTTGCTGCTGACCATCTCCCCATCTTCATAGAGGTAAATGGAAGCTCCTGGGTTGTCCTGATCTGGGACAGAAGCCACAAGGAACCGGGTTTTCTCATTTGATTTATTGACCTGGGCAAAATGTGTAATGGATTTGGCAGCTTTACGAGCCTTCCGATTTCTCTCTTGGTGCTCAAACCAGGCTTCATTGTTCTTGGGTGTCGACTGGCCGCTGGTGGAATTTGCTGTTTCCTGGAAAAAATCTTTATGAAGCCAGTCTTGTAAGGTGGCTAAAAATGGTTCCTCATCATGTAAAGAATTGAAGGTAAATGAGACAACAAACTCATTCACAGGGTTTAGCACAATTTCTATCAGTTTGTTCTGGGAAGAGATTACTTCCATTCCACTTAGGATAATAAGGTAAGAATTCACCAAATTAATTTCTTGTTCCTTGGCATCCAAAAACTCACTGAGTCTTTGGTTATTAAAGGGAGACTGGTTAATGGACATTAAAATGTCCACCAGAACACTTTCCTCTTTCCCCCCTCCCCGGATCAAAGGCATGATTTCTGCCAGGTGTTTCTGGAAAGTCTGCCTGTGCTGCTTGCACAGATCCTTGAATCTACTGATTTTCATGTTTAAGTCTGGGAAGTTTTCAGCAGCAGGATTCATAGCCAGATCATTGCATCGCATGTTGATTTCATTCAGATTCTCCAAGATAGTTTGAGCATCAAAGATCAGTGCTAAGCTGATCTCACGCACCATCTTAGCTGCTCTGAAATCTAGCTTGGTCAATGGGTACAGCCAAACTCTGACAGGCACAGCCTTCTCTCCATCCTCCCCGAGCTTTTGGGGCAGATCGCTGTAGACTTTCATGGCATCTTGAAAAGTCACCGGATTACTTTCCAAAGAAAAATCCCCATAGAACTTGCAGCTGAAATTCTCCGTTTGGGCTTTCTCCTTCTCCTCCATCTCAACAGATGCTTCCCCTTTGACAGAGACTTTAATCCAGTTGATCACAGCATGGAGGCTTCCTTGTATATCTTGCACAGATTCGGAAGAAGAGATATTTCGGTCGAACACAAAGAAAACCTGGGCTCCATACAAGATGGCAGTGACAACATGGGTGGCTGTGCCATGCTCAAAAACAGCTGGATAAGTGACGTTTTGGAATCCCAAATGGCTCATGGTCAGCTGTGAATACTTGGTGGTAGCTTTGTACTGCAGAGTGACTCTGGCCTGTTTCGTGGACTTCTTGGTGTCTTGAAGGAATTTGCCTGATCCATCCACTTCAACTGTTCCACCCAAAAAACTGGCCTTGAGTGATGCAGGGACATTGAGGGCAGATGCCTTATCATCGATGGAGTCAGATGCAATGATTTCATATTCAGTCTTTGGTTTTGGTTGGATACACAAGTCCTTCTGAAGCGAGTCCTGGTCCCAAAAGGTGATTCCTGGGATAAAGCAGAGAAATATGCAAGGCTTGAGTATGTTCACAGAAATGTAGAACACAATTAGCCTAATGCTAAGGGTGTACAGAGAAACAAGGAGTTAAAATAGAGCTATCATTGCCCACAATGTCTGCACTCATGAATTTTGTCCCACTGTCATCCCCAACGAAAGAGGTTTGTGCAGTTTTATAAAACTTGGCAAAAGGCAGGGAAAATATTTGACCAGATATGAGAGTGGAACAAATGTGAACATTTCATGAGCTTCTGTTGCACAGGCCTCAGAAAGGGGATGGGCACTGGCTCAGCAGCAGGGAGAAGATTCAATCACCACCATTTAGGGCTGTGAACATCTCCTGCTTGAGGCCATAGAGAGTTGGTGCTAGTTGTTGACTGGCATGGGAAAAAATGAGAATTCCCTGGGGGCCAAGATCCAAAACACTTTGGTGAGAGAACTCCAGCAGATTTAAAATCACAAAATATGCAGCAAAGCAAAGTGTGGAGATTTAGGCTGTCAGAACTAAAAAAACGAAGATCATGGCCACTGGTCCCATCACCTCCTGGCAAATAGAAGCGGAAGAAATGGAGGCAGTGAGAGATTTTACTTTCTTGGGCTCATGATCACTGCAGATGGTGACAGCAGTCATGAAATTAAAAGACGCCTGCTTCTTGGGAGAAAGGCGATGGCAAACCTAGACAGCATCTTAAAAAGCAGAGAAATGAGAGGTGGACCATAAAGAAGGCTGAAGACTACAGTGTCTCTCACCCATGGTTTTCCCAGTAGTGATGTATGGAAGTGAGAGCTGGACTATCAAGAAGGATGATCGCCGAAGAATTGATGCTTTTGAATTATGGTGCTGGAGGAGACTCTTGAGAGTCCCATGGACTGCAAGAAGATCAAACCTCTCCATTCTTAAGGAGATCAGCCCTGAGTGCTCACTGGAAGGACAGATCGTGAAGCTGAGGCTCCAATACTTTGGCCACCTCATGAGAAGAGAAGACTCCCTGGAAAAGACCCTGATGTTGGGAAAGATGGAGGGCACAAGGAGAAGGGGACGACAGAGGACGAGATAGTTGGACGGTGTTCTCGAAGCTACAAACATGAGTCTCACCAAACTGCGGGAGGCAGTGGAAGACAGGAGGGCCTGGCATGCTCTGGTTCATGGGGTCACGAAGAGTCCGACATGACTAAACGACTAAACAACAACAAATAATTGTGGAAAGATGTATTCTTAATGGTCTGCACAGGCCTGGTGGAGTAGAAAGGTTTTCAGCAAGCTTTAAAAAATTGAAACAGAACACACCTGCTGAATCTTTATTGGCGGATGATGATGATGATTTGGGCCAAGACGATGCCAGCAAGGTTAAGGAGCAAAGACGCTATCACGGGCAAGAAGACTTCTTTTTAATAAATGAAAGTCTTGTCCAAATGAAGAGAACATAAAGGAACACAAACTTTGGCAAAGATGTGGAAGCAGACAGTAAGGGATGTTGAAAATGAATTTGAGGAGCACATTTAGCACTGAAACTGCACTGTTTGGGCCGACTGCTAATCTTGATATGAGTAATTTTTGCTTTTCAGTACAGTGGTACCTCGGGTTACAGAAGCTTCAGGTTACAGGCGCTTCAGGTTACAGACTCCGCTAACCCAGAAATAGTACCTCGGGTTAAGAACTTTGCTTCAGGATGAGAACAGAAATTCCACAGCTGCAGAGCAGCAGCAGCAGGAGACCCCATTAGCTAAAGTGGTGCTTCAGGTTAAGAACAGTTTCAGGTTAAGAATGGACCTCCAGAACAAATTAAGTTCTTAACCCGAGGTACCACTGTATACACTCTTCCTTGCACCAGGTTTACCTGGGATGAGGGCATCTTTACGACAGTCGTACAGCATCCCCAGCTGGAATGGGCGGCCCAGGGCTGGTATTTCAACCGTGTCATCTGATCTGTCCATGGCTCTGGTCCAGGTTGCTCTCCTGCCTTCACCTCCCTGCAAGAAAGAAGCGATGTGAAGGACTCTGGAAAGATTATTGGGCATGCAAAGCGTGTGGGGAAAAGAGAAATATTGGCACTACCATCCAAAGAGTGATGCTAACATACAGTAAAAAAAAAAAGGGGGGGGAGGAGGGAATATCACATGGGGGGGGGGAGCGGGAATTGGACGTTTGTATGCAGTAGTTGCACATGTAGAAGGTAGCTTGTGCAACTGATCTTCTTCTTGCTTCCCTCCCATCCACAGTCCCCTGTAGCAGCTGAAAACTCTATCCAGTGATCCCTGAACAAAGGGGACTGTGTCACGCAGAATTGCAGTGGGAGAGGAAATCACCCTGAAACTGGGCAAAGGGATCATGTGCCAATGGGGGTCTGCTTGGACAGGATTCCTAGGCCCAAAGTCAGGGGAATCCCACTGCAGCCCTGTATGGCAGACACTACACTATCCAGGCCCTCTGGAAAGGGTTTGGGTGGGCACAAGGGGTCACAGGAGCTGGAAGGGAAGAGCAATATTTTCCATGCACAAACACTGGGTGCTTCCTACACTGAATTTCCATTTGGCCGAGAAATTGCCTGTTGAGAACATTTTGGATAGTAGAGAAATATTTTACCACTACCACCACCAGTTTTATATCCCAACTATCTGGCGCAGTATTCAAGGAGGCTATCAAAGTGGGAACTCATACATGCAGCCAGCCAAATCACATAATCGACAACATTTATGGCAGAAATCATGAATGATGCTGCCATAGCTAACAGCGAGATACACAAAGTAGTATTTGGCAGAAACAAACTGCAGTGGAAGCAGCGCTGATCGTGATGAATGTAAGCTGAAATGGAAGTTGCTGCTCTCTTATATTACTACTTGTGCTGCACCAAGAAGTTCATGGCACAATGGGAGTCAAATTACTTGTAGAAAATCTTTTGTAGAGGAACACAGAATTGTAGAGTTGGAAGGCACACCCAAAGGTCATCTAGTCCAACCCGCTGCAATCACAGCTGAAGAATCCCTGATGGCCATCCAACCTCTGCTTGAAAACCTCCACCACCCCTTGTGGGAGTCTGTTCCACAGTAGAACAGCTTCTACCATCAGCTGGAAAGTCATTTCTTGACATTTGAATCCACTGGTTCAGGTCCTGCCCCCTGGACCAGCAGCAAAAAGCCTGTTCCATCTTCCCTGTGTCAGCCCTTCAGGTATTTCAAGATGGCTCTCATATCATGTCTCAATCTTCTCTTCTCCAGGCTAACCATACCCAACTCCCTCAACCACTCCCCCCAAAAGCTTGGTTTCCTGACCCTTCATCATCTTGGTCTCTTGCCCTAGCAGTGGCGGAGTGCAGGTGGGGGCGGGGAGCACAGTGTGTGTGGGGGGGGCAGCCGCGATGGAACCCCACTGGGATCGTGCTGCCGGGGGTGGTGTGCTCCCCCCCTCTTCCTCCCCCAGCACACTTCTGGCCTGTTAGCATCGTTCTTAAAAGATGCCCTGAACCTGACAGAGTACTCCAGGTGGGGTCTGACCAGGGCAGAATAGAGTGGTACTTGACTTCCCTAAATCGGGACACTAGACTTCTGTGGATGCAGCCTAGGATTGCATTAACTTTTTGCTGTTGTTTTTTAATTGCTGCATTACACTGTTGACTCATGGCAGCAGATTTTCACTGTTTGAATTATGACAACCCTAAGAGAAATTGAAATTGAGTGAATTGTGCCAAAACTTTTACTTGAAGGTTTAATGACAATTAATGACCCCGGGGTTGTGTTGCTATTACGTACTGAGTTGAATAGGATCGAAATTGCAGCAGTCTGATTGGTCCTAGAACAATAGGATGCAGAATGCAGCAGTCTGATTGGTCCGCAGGAGCCACCTAGTCCAACTCCAGCTGGAAGTGAATCCGCAACCTGATTGGCGTACAGGTGAATCCCGGAACTAGCCAATCACGTGGGGCCCATTGTGTAAATAATGTATATAAAGCAGACATTTCAGGGGAACGTCCATTCCTCACTACTATGAGCTGAATAAAGAGCATGAAATCCACACTGGACTCCGAGTATATTTCAGTCACTATTCCCACTAAATTTATGCTGTGCTTAATTCTATCCTTCCATTTCTCAACAGTTTTCTCCTTCTGTGAAAGAGGCTTCGGTTTTTCTGTCTTATCCTCCTGACACTTCGGAATTTCTTTAGAATTTCAGTAGGTGTGTGGTGCATGTGATTTTTTTTCTTCCAAGTAAAAATAAATAAATAAGATCCCCAGCGCCTTGCATCCTGCCTGCTCCCTGTGCTTTCTGATCAGAAAAAGCCCCATGGGGGGTGGGTTCCCTTCCCCTGGGCTTTACTGAAGGAAGGTGAGGACAGGTGACCCGAAGTCTAGGCCCGAAGTCACCCCCCCCCCCAAGCAGGCTCAAAGCTTCTCAAAACTTTTCAAAATCATTTTCTCAGCAGCTAAGTATCAGAAACATTCCGCTCTTCTGTAACAAAGGTAGAGAACAGTCCATTGTTTCTCAGGCCTTTCTCATGCCTTCTGGCCTTGCTAAAGAACCACACTGCAACTTGCTTTCTGTCCGGGAACCATGCCAAAGCACAAGAATGAAACAACTGGAACACACTGAAACCCCTCACCCCTTTCCTGCCAAGAGTCCACAATAGTTCCAAGACAGCTTTCATCCAATGTACAGGACCACAGACCTCCAAGCACCCTAAATCAGAATCCTTCTTTCGAAGAGGACCCAGCCAAAATAATTAGGGGTTTGTCTTCAAACAGCCAGCAGCCAGAAAGCCAAAAACGCAATCCTGGAGCGAGCGAGGGTGTCCACGGGAGGGGCAGAAGACGCCTAGGGAAGAAGCCAGTGCACCATCTGCAGGCAAGAGGGTCACTGGAAAATGGAATGGCCACAGGCCCCACGCCCGACACACCCCACCCCCACAGGCTGGGAACAATAAGATTTCTCAAAAATGATTTCTTCTCATCTCTGTTCTGGCTAAAAGACTGTTGCAGAAGCAAGTGAACTAACTGTTTCTAACATTCAAAATCAAATCAAATCAAATATCTTTAATACGGTCAATGACCAGGAAGCAATTTATAAAATATGACATTAAGAGTAGTATTGTGCTACAAGTAACAGTAAAAATATGGCCAATTCACAGAATTGGTGCTTATATTTATGACCAGGTTTCGAGTTTTAAGTTTTTTAAAATTCAGTTCAGGAGTCACTACTGTTTATTATCGTTCCTTCGATGTTTACAGTTTGAACTCCTTTGTAGACATCATTGCTCGTCTTATTCTTGTTGCAATCTAACAGTACTGCAATATACTCAGAGTCGCAAAGTGATTTCATGCTCTTTATTCAGCTCATAGTGGTGAGGAGGAATGAATGAATGTCCCCTCACAGTATCTGCTTTATATACATTATTTACACAATGGGCTGCACATGATTGGTTAATTCTGGAATTCTACTGTAATAATAATAATAATAATAATAATAATAATAATAATAATAATATCTTTATTGTCATTGCCCCCTTTGGGGACAATGAAATTACTTGACTGCTCCATAAAAACACTAATTAATCAATACAGTATAATACAGCAAGGGAGATTAGATGACTTTCAAAGTCCAGGCTTCCCATTCAGGGCCGAGATCGCTCTGGAGAAGAAGCTGTTCTTAAGACGGCTCGTTCTTGTCTTCATCGTCCTGTATCTCCGTCCCGACGGCAAGAGCTCGAAGAGACAGTGACCAGGATGCGATGGATCTTTTACTATGTCCAGTGCCTTCCTATGGCACCTTGTGGCATAAATCTGCTCTAAGGTGGAGAGTGGGCAGCCAACAATGCTCTCTGCTGCCTTAACAACCCTGCACAACCCCATCCTGTCCTGGGTAGTACAGCTTCCGTACCACACACATAAGCCATAAGTGAGCACGCTCTCAATGGCACAGTGATAGAAGGCAAGCAGCAGTTTCTGCGGAAGATGGTTTTTCCTTAGTATTCTCAAAAGTACAGTCTCTGCTGCGCCTTCTTCACAAGCCCCCTTGTGTTGACACTCCAGGACAGATCCTCTTGTAATTCAATGCCCAAAAATCTGAACGTTGTTACCCTCTCCACACAGACCCCATCAATCAAAAGTGGCTGGACGTTGCTCTTCTGTCTCCTGAAGTCCACCACAAGCTCCTTTGTCTTCCTTGTATTTATGAGCAAGTTGTTAGCTCTGCACCACTCTGTCAGCCGCTCCACCTCATCTCTATAATCCGTTTCACCCTCCCTTTCAGAGATGAGCCCAATCACGGTTGTGTCATCTGCAAATTTGACAACCCTATTACTAGGGTGAGTAGCGACACAATCGTACGTGTAGAGAATATAAAGGAGCGGACTGAGTACGCATCCCTGTGGTGTTCCTATGTTAGTCTTGAGCATATTAGAGGTATAGGGGCCCAACCGAACCCTCTGGGGGCGGTCTGACAAACGTCCAATATCCACCCACAAAGTGATAACGGAAGCCCCAGATCTTCCAGTTTAGACATCAGACGTTGTGGTAGAATGGTATTAAATGCCGAGCTGAAATCTAAAAAAAGCAGTCTGGCATAACTCCCCCGCTGCTCCAAATGTGCAAGGACGGCATGGAGGGCAATCGCCACAGCGTCCTCTGTCGATCTTTTCGTTTTATAAGCAAATTGGAATGTGTCCAGTCCCTCTGGTAGGCAGGCAATGACATAATTTCGTACCAGCTTTTCAAAGCACTTCATGATTATAGGTGTGAGTGCTACTGGACGAAAATCATTCAGATCTTCCGGGTTAGATTTTTTTGCTATTGGAACGATAATGGAGGACTTTAGGCAGGATGGAACAATAGCCTGGGCCAGGGATCGATTTAAAATCCCAGTGAAAACTCCTGCTAGTTGATCTGCACAGTCTCTCAATACCCTTCCAGCTACCCCATCTGGCCCTGTGGCCTTCCTTGGGTTGATTCCCTTCAACACCTTCCTCATCTCTTCTTTTTCCACAGAGACTACTGCATTCCTTTGTACTGATGATGGTAATGGTGGTGATGATGGCAAAGCCTTCACAGGGAGTGGTGGTGGTGTTGGTAAAGCCTCAGCAGGTGTTGCTGCAGATGTTACTTCAAAACGGGCAAAAAGGCATTCAAATCCTCTGCGAGGGATGCCCCTCCCTCGTCTGCCAGGGAGTCCTTAGATTTATACCCTGTTAATTCTTGTACACCTTGCCACACCTGCCTGGTGTTGTTACTTTGTAGATGATTCTCCAGCCGCTGTCTATACGCCTCCTTTGCTACACGGATACCTCTCTTTAGATCGGCTCTAGCTAAGCTGTACAGCGACTTATTTCCACTTCTGAAAGCAGTATTTCTTGCCTTTAGCAACCCCTGGACCTCCCTTGTCATCCAGGGCTTCCTGTTTGGGTAGATCTTTATCCGGCGCCTCCGTGTTACATTGTCAGTGCAGAACCTAATATAGTCCAACACTTGCTCAGTATGAGTCTCTACATCCTGTTGAGCGAATACCTCCCAATCGGTGTCATGAAAACAGTCTTGTAGTTGTTGGGATGCTTCAGCTGGCCATATTGTAATATCCCTCTTTATAGCTGGAATCCGTTTCCTCAATGGAATATATTCAGGAGTCAGGAGCAGGGACACATGATCAGATTGGCCTAGATGTGCCAATGGTTCGGCCTTATAGGCCTGTTTGACATTTGTATACAGCCTGTCCAGAGTCTTTTCTCCCCTGGTTGCACACTTTATGTGTTGATAGAATTTAGGTAGGACCACTTTCAAATCTGCCTGGTTGAAATCCCCGCATACAAGAAATGCAGCCTCGGGGTACTTGCCTTGTTGCCTGCTAATGGCATCATGCAGAAGACCCATTGCCTCATTGATGTTCGCATCAGGTGCAATGTATACTATAGTTATCAGTACTGCTGTAAATTCTCGGGGGATATATATAGGTCTGCATTTGAGCGTCATAAATTCCACAGTTGGAGAGCAATAGCTAGCTATCACAGCGTGGTTTGTGCACCAGCTGTTATTCACGTATGCACACAAACCTCCCCCCCTTCTTTTACCAGAGTCCTCTGTTCTATCATGGCGGAACACTGTATAGCCTGTTAGCTCTATGGCTGAGTCAGGAATAATTGGTGTCAGCCAAGTTTCTGTAAGCAGCAGAAGACAGCATTCACTCACAGTTTTCTCCGTTGCTATCCACAATTTCCACTCCTCCAGCTTATTCACCAAAGATCTCACATTCGCATAGAAAATGCTGGGAAGCGGTAAGTTATAATGTTGTGTCTTCAACCTTAATTGCCTTAATCGCCTTCCTCCTCTACAGCCTCTCTTCTGTTTACGGTCTCTCCTGTGTCTCTTTACTCCCCAGTTCTTTGAAGTCAAAAAATCTTCCTTGCAGACGCGGAGACACTCACAATTTGTGCAGCACTCACTCCGTAGCCGAATAGATAACATGTCCTGCCGACTATAAACAAGTCTATTTTGGCAGGACAAAAAAGCCAAATTCTGAGTTGAGGAGCAGCCAGCCGCAGCATCTACACGCGCCGCCATCTTAAGCCAATCAGGTTGTGGATTCACTTCTATCTGGAGCAGGATTGGGTGGTTCCTGCCAACCAATCATACTGCTGCATTGTTCTAGTCCCAATCAGACTGCTGCATTCTGAATCCTATTGTTCTAGGACCAATCAGACTGCTGCCTTTTGGATCCTATTGTTCTAGGACCAATCAGACTGCTGCAGTTTGGATCCTATTCAACTCAGTACATAACACCCCTCCCTCTAAGTTCCAGTCCTGCCCGGGAGGTCGCATTCATAGTCCTCAAGGTATGCCGGCGGCCTACGTGTGCGTTGTGGCCTGGGGTGTTCCCTGGTCCGGGCTCCAGGTTCTGGCTCGTGTACCAAGGATGCTGGCTGTGATGGGGCTGTTTGGTCTGGTGCAACCGGCTCGCTCAGTCGTGGTTCTGGTTCCGGTGTCCTTTCGGCCTCACGGGTCCTCTCTGTATTTACTGATTCTGCCTCTCCTGCTGGCCCCTCCTGCTCTATGGGCCTCACTGCCCCGCTGTTCCCTTGGGACTCCTCTGACCTGTCCTCCTCCTGGTTTTCTCCCGGGAATCATCGCCGTATCTGGTCGCAGTGGCGGCGCCAGCATTGTCCCCCATCCGTTAGCACCTCGTACGACACGGGGCCAGTGACCCTGGTGACTGTGGCGGGTACCCATGCTGGGCCTGCCCCAAAATTCTTTGCGTACACTGGGTCCTGGGCCTCGAAGGTCCGGGGGTTCCTGCCTTCCCACTACCTCATCCTGAGCTCTATCGGGGTGAAGGCGGTCCAATCTGATTGCAAGGCGCCGACCCATTAGTAGTTCAGCGGGGCTCCGGCCAGTCGTTGAGCTGGGGGTGCTGTGCTGTGCTAGAAGGAATGTGGCAAGGCGGTACTCCCAGTCCCCTTGCGTCATGCGGCGAAGGGTGTCCTTGGTGGTCCGCACCATGCGTTCTGCTTGGCCATTGGTGGCAGGGTGGAACGGTGCCGAACGGATGTGGCGGATGGCGTTCTGCGCTGTGAAGGTTTGGAATTCTCCTGACGTAAATGCAGTCCTGTTGTCTGAGACGAGAGTGTCAGGGAGCCCGTGGGTTGCAAACAGCCTGCGTAGTACCCGGATGGCTGCGGACGTGGAAGTGGACGGTACCAGTGCGACTTCCAGCCATTTGGTGTAGGAGTCCACCACTATGAAGACTGTTTTCCCTGAAAGGGGCCAGCGAAATCCACATGCAGGCGTGACCATGGTGCTCGGGCGGACTCCCAGGACTGGACTGGGGCCCTTGGGGGATCTGGGCGGGATTCTTGGCAGGCCTGGCAGTGTTTGACCCAGGCCTCTATCTCTCCATCGATCCCCGGCCACCACACATAACTCCTGGCAAGGGCCTTCATTCTTACTACCCCTGGATGTGTCTCATGTAGGGCTGTGAGGACCCTTTTGCGGAGGGGCTGGGGAACAACGACTCTGCTTCCCCATAACAGGCACCCCTTGTGGGCCGACAGTTCATGTTTGCGGGTTGTGTAGCCGGCGAATTCTGGCCCGGGGCTACTGCTGGGCCATCCCCTCCACACCCAGTCCAGGACCCGGGAGATGACCCTATCTTTCTTGGAATGGTGTGCAACTTCTTGTGCCTGAATGGGGTGGTCGGGAAGCAGCTCCAGGCTCATAACCTCTTGTGCAGGTGCTGGGTCAGGGCCTGTTTCCGGTAGTGGTAGCCTGCTGAGGGCGTCCGCATGGCCCATCGCCTTCCCAGGTCGGTGAATCAGTGCATACTGGTAGCTGGCAAGGAAAATTGACCACCTGAGGACGCGAGGAGACAGCACTTGGGGGGTCTGCTTCGGGGCAAACAAGCCAAGCAACGGCTTGTGGTCAGTCACCACGGTGAAGGGCCGCCCGTACAAGAAATCATGGAATTTTTTACTCCTTTACGATTGCCAGACCCTCCTTGTCGATTTGCGAGTAGTTCCGCTCGGTTGTGTTGAGTGTCTGGGAAAAGTACGCCACCGGTACCTCTCTTCCATCCGGGAGTTGGTGCCCCAGGACAGCTCCAATGCCATAGGGTGAGGCGTCGCATGCTAGCACCACCGGCAGCCTCTCGTCGAAGTGTGCCAAGACCGAGTTTGAGACAAGCAAGTCCTTGACTGCCTGGAATGCCGCCTCCTGGCGCTGGCCCCACACCCAAGGGGCCCGCTTGTCCAGGAGTCTGTGTAGGGGCTCCGCTACCGCCGCCTTGTGGGGAAGGAAGGAATGGTAAAAGTTCAATAGTCCCAAGAAGGCCTGAAGTTCAGTCTTGCGCTTGGGTGCTGGGGCATCACAAATGGCCCGTACCTTGTCCCCAGTCAGGTGGACCCCTTCTGCGTCCACCATAAATCCCAGAAAGTCCACCTGAGGCACTCCTAGTAGACATTTTTCCCGCTTCACCTTGAGACCCGCCGTCTGGAAACGGTGCAGAACGGTGCGGAGGCGGTCCTCAAACTCCTCTGGTGTGGGCCCAGCAATCAACACATCATCGAAGAAGGGGTGACGCCAGGAATCCCTTTAAGGAGAGAGTCCATTAGATTCTGGAATATGCCTGGTGCCACGCTGACACCGAATTGCAGCCGCTTTACCCTGAACGCTCCTCTGTGCGTCACAATCGTCTGTGCCTCTGCTGTGGCCTCATCTACTGGCAGCTGTTGATATGCTTGGGCCAAGTCCAGCTTGCCAAAATTTTCGACCCAGCCAGGGTGGCAAGGACATGGCTGACCACTGGCACTGGGTATGCGTGGGCCGTGAGGGCCTTGTTTATGGTACATTTGTAGTCTGCGCAGATGCGGACCGAACCATTAGGCTTGACGGGTGTGACGATTGGGGTTTCCCAGGGGGCATTAGGCACCGGCTCCAGCACTCCTTGCTCCACGAGTCGGTCCAATTCCTCGTCTATACGGGGTTTCAAGGCGAACGGGACCCGGCGGGCCTTGAGCCTGACCGGTCGTACTGCGGGGTCAAGCTGTAGCGCAATGGGGGCCCGTATACTGTCCCAATTTCCCATCGAAAACCCCTGGAAATTCCTTGCATATGGCGTCCACGTCCACTTGTAAGCTAGTGTGGTTCACCCCGGTGACAGCTAGCCCCAGTGGTCCAAACCATGCCAATCCCAGTAAGCTAATGTAGGGGCCCTTGACCACAAGCAAGTCCAGCTGCCGCGTCCGCCTCGGTATTGCACCCTGAAGGTCCCCACCCCCATTGTGGGGACCTTACGCTTCTGGAAGTCCCGGAGGGTGAATGGGGCCGGCCTGAGTTTGGGACCCCCAGTAGGACACAGTTTCCTTAAGGTCCTTGCCGAGATTATGGATAGAGTTGAACCCGTGTCAAGCTCCATGCGGCAAGGGGCCCTCTATCTGTACCTCTACATAAATTTTCTCTACGTTGGGGTGGGGCAACTGGTATACCTGGAAGTCCGTGAGCTCCGTCGAGTTGCCTTGGTGCGTTGGGCCCCGGGACCTGGCGCTCTTGGATTGGTCATCTGATGCCTGGTGTCGGGTGGGCCGAGCCCGACACACCCGGGCGATGTGTCCCGATTTTCTGCACTGCCTGCACTCTGCGTTGCGGAAACGGCAGGTCCTCCTCTCGTGACTCTCCCCGCAGCTTGCGCAGTTCCCTCCTTCTCGTCGAGGCAGCTGTGGTCTGTGCGCTGCTTGAGTGCGCTGCTGTACTCGGTGCACCTCCTCCCTGTCGGATCTTGAGTCGTCGGTGAGGTCTTCGTGGTGGACCCTCGGTTGGGATGGCAGGCTCGGCCGTGCCTCTTGGGTCGACCTCTCGGCAGCTTCTGTTGCCAGGGCCTCCTCCAGAGCGACCTGGAACGTTAGGTCCTTCTTAGCGTAGAGGCGTCGTTGCAGCTTCTCATCCTTCAGGCCACCGACGAGGCGGTCACGAAGCATGTTCTCCAGCTCTGAGAAGTTGCAGAACCGGGCGGCTTGGCGGAGGGAGGTCACAAACCCAGTTATGGTTTCCCCAGGGGCTTGCCGCTTTGCGTAGAAGGCATTTCGATGAGCCACCACTGAGGGCTGCGGCGAAAAGTGCCCCTTCAGCTGTTCCATTATTGTTTTGTATGGAACAGTAGCGACGTCTTCAGGCGCAAGAAGAGCCCGGGCGATTTCAAACGTCTCCTCTCCGCAGACGCTGAAGAATATCGCCCTCTTCTTGGCGTCTTCTTCGTCGGTGACCCCTTTGGCTTCTAGGAGGAAGGTGAAACAGGAGGCGTACTGTCAGAGCTGGCTCCAGGTCCCAGCTCACAGAGGACCAACGCTAGCCGGCAGTAATGTGCAAAAGTCTTTATTGAAGTACAGTTTCCATTTTCAAGCCGGAGCGCCCCAGCTCTACGTCTAGGGGTTAGATCGGCGAAGCTCCATGTGAGTCTCCGCCCCCTTGACACCAGTTTAAGATTCTAGCCTTACTCCACCTCTTACGTCTCTCCTTTCTCCTCTGGGTCCTGCTACCCCCCGGGGTCCCTTCCTTCCTGGATTCTTCTGACGCTGACCCTCCTGACTCCCCCCCTCTTTTCGGCGGGCTTTGGGACCTGGCTCCCTATCCGGGCTGCCAACTGCGCCGCCCTCCTGTACATTTGAACTTGGCGCGCGCGCCCAGCCTTCAACCTTCCTCTCGACCGTTTCCTCGCTCCCCGATGGAGGCGTGGCCAATCCTGACTCATGTCCTCCCACTGGCAGTGCGCCGCCTGATCCCGATGCCTGGGACTCCTCCCCCCTACTGCACTCTGGTGTGGACGCTGGTCCTGATTTCCAACTGCTGCTCTCTGAGTCCCCTCTGGCCCCTTCTTCCTGGGGTGTCCCCTCGGCACCCCCTTGCTCTGACCAAGGGAGCCCCTTTCTGTGAATCTTCCGATTCGCTGGAAAGACTCAGAGACCTCGGACCGCTGTCATCGCTAACATTTCCTTCGGACTCCTCCCCCTCGCTCTCTATTTCCTCCCTTTCCTGTGCCTCTGCTCCTGAACCCCTGACACGTACGCTTCCCAGTCTCCAGATGCTGGGTTGAATGGCGAGAAGCTGCTGTTGGCTGCCATTCTGAGTTCCTTGTGTCCCGGAGCTGAAGCCTGGATACACGGTGCGAGGCAGCGGTGCGGCAGGTGGCGGTGCTGCGGTGCTGTGTGTGGCAGTCAGCTCAGCGGGATCCCACCTTCGTCGCCAGTGCAATATACTCAGAGTCGCAAAGTGATTTCATGCTCTTTATTCAGCTCATAGTGGTGAGGAGGAATGAATGAATGTCCCCTCACAGTATCTGCTTTATATACATTATTTACACAATGGGCTGCACATGATTGGTTAATTCTGGAATTCTACTGTAAGCCAATCAGGTTGTGGATTCACTTCTATCTGGAGCAGGATTGGGTGGTTCCTGCCAACCAATCATACTGCTGCATTGTTCTAGTCCCAATCAGACTGCTGCATTCTGAATCCTATTGTTCTAGGACCAATCAGACTGCTGCAGTTTGGATCCTATTCAACTCAGTACATAACACCTTTGCCACGGACCTGTTAATTTCGGGCTCTTTGTCAGCCAAGAGGTGTCTGATATAGGTGTCGTCTGTACTACGAGGTATTTTCCTCAGAATCGGTTCGATCAGCTCTTTTCTTGAGTCTCGATATAATGGGCAGTATAAGATGACATGCCCAATGGTTTCGATTTCATTGCTGTTACAGGGACATAATCTTTGTTCGATCGGTATTTTATTGTATCTTCCCTCTAGAAGAGCTGAAGGGAGAGTGTTAAGCGGGCCCTGGAAAATGCCCATCGGTGTTTAGCGTTGTCTAGAACTTTGAGATAGTTTGCTAGATGGGGCCTTTGGGAATTGTATAGAAGTTTATAAGTTATCAGAAGTTGGTTAAAGTCATTTTGGGTTTCAATGTCCCTGAGTCTTTCTTTGATTATGTTCTTGGCCCTTCCCCTTTCTAAACTTAATAAATACTCTGGGAGAGACCATATGTGGCCAGTTTTCTGAGAATGCCCTTCAACCAGCTAGATTGGAATTTGTCAAGAAGCATCAGGGAAAGTAGTCCAACCGGCGAGTTGTTAAGTCTTAGCCAAGTGCATAAGGTTCTTATCCATACTTTGGCTTTAATGCTGTATAAGCCCGCTTCCAGTCGTAAGGCGGCGTTTGGGACGCATTTAGGTGTTTGCAGGAGTGATCTAAGGAAACCTGATTGTATCTTCTCATATGGGTCTAGATTAGAGAGGGAGACGAGTGGTGCGCCGTATAGGATTTGTGCTGTTGGTTTTGCAACGAATAGTTTAATTGTAGCAGGAATGAAATTTCCTCCCGTTGTACGATGGAATCTTAGGATTGCTGTTGTACTTTTTTGTGCTGTAAAGGAGCTGTAGTTTATGTGGGCAGTCTTCTTCCTTGATGCTTGGAATATCACTCCTAGATATTTAAAGCATGTCACTTGTTCAATCTCCTGATTGTCTAAATTCCATCTGTATATTTTCCTTTTGTTAGAGAAAACCATGATTTTTGTTTTTTGGTAGTTCACTGCTAGTTTCTCTTCTCTACAATATTGGGATAAGCTGTTAAGAGCTCTTTTGAGGCCCATCTGAGTCTGGGACAATATAACCGCATCGTCTGCATAGAGTAAGATAGGCAGTTTTTTGTCTGCTAATTTTGGGGCGTGTGTATCCGCTCCTTGTAGGTGATCTATTAGGGAGTTTATATAGATGTTGAACAAAAGGGGGCCAAAATGCATCCTTGTTTAACTCCCTTTGTTGTTCTAATGAAATTAGAGAGTTGACCTTCTTGGCTGCATCTTATACGAAGTCGTGTGTTGTTGTACAGTTTGTATATTAGTAGCAGCAGACGTCGGTCTATGGATGATTTGTTGAGTTTGTCCCAGAGTCGAGTTCTTGGGATGGAGTCAAAGGCTGCTTTAAAATCTACAAATGCTGCGAATAGGTGGTGATTGTGATGCGACGTGTATTTCTCAGCTAGGTGCTGTAAGATCAGGCAGTGATCCATTGTGGATGTCCCTTGTCTAAATCCTGCCTGTGCATCATCAATAATCTTCGCTCTTTCTATCCATTCGCACAGTTTCTCGCTGAGGTGTTTAGCGTATAATTTACTTATTATATTCAGGAGGCTTATAGGTCTATAGTTGGAGGGATCGTCCCTCGAGCCTTTTTTGTAAATGGGAATAATGATGGAAGTCCCCCAGTCTTCTAACATTCATTCATGCAGTAACAGGACATCAGCTCCCCCCCCCCCCCCTTGTGCCAGGCGCTTGGAGTAGCTTATCTCTTGGCAGCTATCTCAGAAGGACACTGCTGTATTCAGCCAGCTACTCTGACCTGCTACTGCCTGGAGCCAATTAGGATTTACAGTCAAGCAACAAAAAACCCAGAATGCCAAAGGTTACCCACCCTCTTGCCCCAAGTACTAACCTGGAAAGTGACTTTCTTAAAAAAGCAAGTGAATGCTTTCTGTGAACTTTGTCAAGTTTTTCTTTTTTAGGTGCAATTTTACTCTGAAAAAGGAGCCGCAGCATAACATAGGAATTTTGAAACTTTGCCAGAAGCCAGGGAACACAGTGCCCCTCCTGCTTAACACTGGCAAAAACTTGGCAGATGAACTGAAATTTTGCAACATGTTTTACAGGCCACAAAAGCTCTGACACTTACTAGTGCACAGAGAAAAAGACTTTTGAAAAATCTCAGCTGGCAAAACTTAACCCAAGGAACAGAACTGTTAACCCCTTGCGAAGTTTCTTGCCATGCTATCCCCTTTGAGTTACTATGCCTTGTGTGTGAATGTTATCTATCAATTTGTTCTGCGCAGTCACTGCTGTGTCTGTTTTTCTCTTCTCTTGACAGGTAAACCGGCCAGAGACTGTCCTGTTATCTACAGCTGTTAAAGTCACTGGCATCTGTGACACCTGATCTACACTGCCCACCAGACTGGACCCAGACGCCCAGACATCGCTCCAGCCTTGTTGGAAGGGACCCAAGATGCCCAACGCCCACCAGACGACCCGACACCCACCAGACTACAGCCCTGCCTACGTCACTCCGGACGCTGACGTTTGGCACGGCTCCAGGATCCAGCATGGATTGAAAGAGAACATTTTCACATTTTCTTTTCTTTCCCTTTGCATGTTCAGTTTTATAGAAGGTTGAGGGCCCCTGGATAGCTTTACAACACCCCTGCAGAGGAGGGTATTTGTGTGGGATGTTCAATCAGGGAAATGACGCCCCAGCCTGCTTCCACCTGGCAGAGCTCCACCCAGAGCCTCCAGAACTTAACTGAAGCCCCCCTTGCACCACAGCACCGACTTGGTAATAACCCTGTGCACTGTGCACGAATGGCACAGATAAGGCTAGGTTCACTGGATTACTGGCTGGCTTTGTGTCAATAAATCAGAGAGCGCCAGTGACAATCTGCAATCGCACCTTCCCAGCCCAAATCGTTACACCTGAGTCCACGCCAGGAACTTTTTCTGGCTGCAATGTGGGCTTCAGAAGGGGGGGGGGTATCTGCACGCATGCTTCGCCCCCAGATTATAGCACTGGCCCAAGTATACCAGCCTGTACCTTCCTGGGACGAGCAGCCTGTACCTTCCTGGGACGAGCCTTTTTAAGAAAAAAGCTGTCCAAAGATTAAGAGGGGGGAATGAAGGAAGGTGAGGACAGGTGACCTCACCTAGGCCCGAAGTCATGAAGGGGTACAGTTAGGGTTACCCCAGAAAGCCCTAAAAACTGTTTGTGAATTCCCCCCCCCACAGCCAGGCCTCGGAGTACGCATTTTAAAAACTACATTTTCCTCTAAGACAAAAAGCATGAGCTAAGCAGTCCTCTCTGTAACAAAAACGCTGTAACAAACCCAGAGCTGAGAACAGTAAAGCTTTTCGCTTCCCAGATCCAAGATAACCTTGTCCTGGTACATTGATTTGCAACATACTTCCAGGAACAGAGCCAGAGAACGAAAAGCAACATTTCTATGTAAGAATCTGTGAAGGGGGGAGAGGAAAAAAGGGGTTTGAAAAAAGGATAAAACCTGCTTGTAAAATGTTTTCGGCATGGCCTGTCTTTTGTGAACTGAATCACACAGGTGCCTCTGCCCCCCCCCCCCCATGGCAGAATAAAACGCTCTTTCTCTGGATTAACCCCTTGGTGTCGTTTGGCTCCTTTTGTCTCTGCTCGGGTACAACAATTATTCCTACCCATGGATTAAAAAGGCTACAGTCACCCGCCACCAAAGCAGGCTCAAAGCTTCTCAAAGCTTTTCAAAATCATTTTTCTCAGCAGCAAAGCATCAGAAACATTCCGCTCTTCTGTAACAAAGGTAGAGAACAGTCCATTGTTTCTCAGGCCTTTCTCATGTCTTCTGGCCTTGCTAAAGAACCACACTGCAACTTGCTTTCTGTCCGGGAACCATGCCAAAGCCCAAGAATGAAACAACTGGAACACACTGAAACCCCCTCACCCCCTTTCCTGCCAAGAGTCCACAATAGTTCCAAGACAGCTTTCTGTACATGCTCAGGGGAACACATCATGGGACAGGACTCCTGAGGGAGGAGAAAGGAGGAGGGAACTGGAAAGGGGTATAAGGGGTGTAGCCTCATAAGGCTACACTTTCTGTTGGGGATAATTCACACTGAAATTCCCAGGTGTCAAAAAAGGTTATTTATATATGCCACCACCGCGGCCCATGTTTTTTTAGGCCCAAAATGGAAAACGAGTGAGGTCCCAACCAAAGAAGAATGGCAACTTAAGTTGACAGAATATGCACAGCTTGCAGACTTAACATATAGAATAAGAGAACAAGAAAAATATACGTTTTGAGAAGACAGGATAATGTTTGTTGAATATATGGGAAATAACTGTGTACAGTTGAAAACGCTGGCAGCATTAAGATAAATTCAACAGTGTAAATAAGTTTTGATGGATTTAATAATGGAATACTGATTGGTATAGTTTTTGTAAAATATGAAAGAATTTATGATATGCAAAAGGAACCTTGGAAAGAAAAGAAGGGAAGTCACTGATATTTTAAGGATGTAAAATGAGTATTTTAAATTGTAAAATAGAAAATTTAATAAAAATTATATAAAAACAGAAATGGGTGAATCCTTGGCATGGATTGTGCCCCCTTTCCCCTCCCTTTTAGAGCATCACCCAGAAGGGCAGACTTTGACTCCAACCACAAACTGCCCCTACAAAACCAAGTGCGAAAGGCGCATTGTAGCATTTGCAAAATATTTTCCCACCCCCCAATCCCCCACCCTCCATTTCCTCCTGCAGGAGGGATCCCCACCTCTGCTTAATTCCACCAGAAGAGAGGGGTGTTTTCACTACCTTGACTTCTGCTGGGCAGTTTTCTCAGCCTGGAGAAAGTTGCTGTTTCCCTCTGCAAATTCTGGCAGCCTCTGGCTTTCTTCATTTCTCTGAGAGGTCTGAATATGACGCAGGTTTTGAGTGCACATTAATAGCCGAATGTTGGACATATGGAAAGCGAAAGTGTTTTCTTCTCAGTTGATTCATCCAGTTGCACATCCATAAAAGGAGAACACAATAGCGTCAAAAGAGTCCAGCTGATGGGTCAGGCAAAAGGGGTCTATCATTGTCCAGCAGCCTGATGGCTCTGCAAACCAGATGCCATGACAGGAAACTCACAAGCAAGACGTAAGCTCAGTGGCTTTCCCCACACTTGGGGTATTCAGAGGCATAGGAGGCAGCCTTATACAGAGTCAGACCATGTGCCATAGACTCATTACTGCCCTTGATCGGGACACTAGACCAGTGGAGGCAGCCTGGAATAGCATTAGCCTTTTTTGCTGCTGCATCACACTGTGGGCCCATGTGAAGCTTGCGGTCTGCTAAGGAAGGAACTGATTGACCGTCTCAACAGAAGAAAGCCAGTTGCTACCGGGATGCCATTCCCTTCCAGATGCCAGAGCACAGCTGGAATACTGTGTCCAGTCCTGGGCGCCATAGTTTAAGAAGGATGTTGACAAGCTGGAAGGTGGGCAGAGGAGGGCGACCAAGATGATGAAGGGTCTGGAGACCAAGCCTTGGGAGGAACAGTTGATGAGGTTGGGGATGTTTAGCCCGGAAAAGAGGAGATATGAGAGCCATCTTCAAATATCTCGTCCCATGGAAGTTCCCATGGAAGAGGGAGAAAGCTTGTTTCCTCCTGCTCTGGAGGGGAGGACTCAAACCAATGCCTTCAAGTTATGAGAAAGGAGATTCTGACTAAACATCAGAAAAAACTTTCTGTCAGTAAGAGCAGTTCAGCAGTTGAACAGTCTCCCTTGCGAGGTGGTGGACTCTCCTTCCTTGGAGATTTTAAAACAGAGGTTGGGTGTCCATCTGTCAGTGATTCCTTAGCTATGATTCCTGAATTTCAGGGGGTTGGACTAGAAGACCCCTGGGGGTCCCTTCCAAGTCTACCATTCTAGGATTCTGTGTGTACTGTAAAAAGGAGGCAGATGAACTCCCGTATCACCCATAAGACTGTGCAATAGAGCTGATTCCCAGGCTGCAGATCACAAATAACAAGCTATCTGCACTCTGGGAACGTGGGCTGGTTGCTCCATGGGAAGTCCTAGACAAAAATCTTAAGAAGGGCTCATCCACCCTTCCACTGCTTATGGGGACACCCATGCCGTTTGTAAAGAAAACAAACACAGAGGAGTTGAGATCTTGCACTGACTTGAAAAACCTCAACCGGGTCCTGCTGCCCAACTGCTACCTGCTGTCAGTAAACTGGAGAAGCTTCTCCCCCACCATTTTCTGGGCGTTTGTGCTGGTTGTGCAGACTCAATTTCGCCACTGAATGTGTCCTGGAAAAGGATCTGTGGCCAACCCCACCTGCACGCCAGATAGCCTTCTTCATGTGCCTCCTCCACAAGAGGGTGGCAACATGAGGACAGGGCCTATTCTGCAGTGGCTCCCCATTTGGGGAATGCTCTCCCCAAGGAGGCTCACCTGGCACCTTCATTATGCATCTTTAGTGCCAGGCGAAAACGTTCCTCTCCAACAAGGCCTTTGGCAGATTGACATCCAAAGCTCTTTTATATGTGTTGTGCCAGGGGGATTATTGGTTTTTGTTCCTATATTTATTACGTATTTCATCAACATCATCATCATCAATGCCACCCTGATGAATATACCTGTATGCCAGATACATTTACAAATACACACTTGTTGCCTTCACAGCGCATATGTTTCACTCTAGTTCTATTCATGTGAAATAATGTTTGTGCACAGCGAGAGTTAGCCACAATCGAAGGCAGCGATGCTTATCCCCTCCCCTGCTCGGTTGGCGAACCTATTTGGGCTCGGTCCGTGAAAACTGATGGATCCTGATAGATTCCGACAAGCCTTGCGGGACCCTGCTCCTCCTGGCGACTCATTAGATGACCTTGTTGAGGACTGGAATAACCGGCTCTTGGCAGCCATTGATGAGATCGCGCCTAAGCGCCTTCTGCGACCCCGTAGAAACCGGGCCCCTTGGTTTACTGAGGAGCTCCGGAAAATGAAGTGGGATCTCAGACGGCTAGAGCGAGTATGGCGACGGACTTGTGACGGAGCCTCAAGAACATCTTATAGGACGCTTATGAAAGCCTATGAGATGGCTATGAAAGCTGCTAAGAAATCTTACTTTGCAGCTTCCATTGCATCCGCTAGCTCTCGCCCGGCACAACTTTTTAGAATAATTAGATCAATAACGTCCTTAGGAGGACAACCAAATTTAAGCACAAATTCAACCCACAGCTGTGAGGCATTCGCGAGCTTTTTTGCGGAGAAAGTCCTGTTGCTCCGCCGTGACCTCCCTGCCAATTCAGATACAGTGACTGAACTGGAGGCCCCTCGACTGACTTCAGGTCCAGTGTTGGACCATTTCGATCGAATACTCCCTGCTGATGTGGATAGATTCCTCCAAGTTAGTAGGCCCACCACCTGCCTCCTTGATCCGTGCCCGTCTTGGCTGATTAGGGAGTGTCCAGATGTTGCGCGGACCCCCCTGGTTGAAATTATCAATTTGTCCCTTGACACGGGGACATTCCCAGGGGAACTGAAGGAAGCAGTGGTATGTCCACTCTTAAAGAAAACTTCATTAGATCCCTTAGACCTATCCAATTACCGCCCAGTTTCAAATCTTCCATATCTGGGTAAGGTAATTGAGAGAGCGGTTGCTGAACAGCTTGGTAGGTTTCTGGAGGAAACATCGGCTTTAGATCCATTTCAGTCCGGTTTCCGTCCTGGCTTTGGGACCGAGACGGCTCTGGTTGCCCTAACAGATGATCTCCGTAGACAGCTGGATCGAGGCGGGTCAGGACTGGTGATCCTTTTAGATTTGTCAGAAGCCTTTGACATGGTCGATCATGATCTTCTGGACCACAGCCTCGCAGACGTGGGGATACAAGGCATAGCCCGTAACTGGCTGTGCTCTTTTATCTCTGGTCGGGGACAGAGGGTGGCACTAGGGAGGGAAATGTCGTCGCGCCACTCCTTGGTGTGTGGAGTGCCGCAGGGCGCAATTCTCTCCCCGATGCTTTTTAACATCTTTATGCGCCCCCTTGCCCAGATTATCCGGAGCTTAGGGCTGGGCTGTCACCAATATGCTGATGACACTCAGCTCTATCTGTTGATGGATGGCCACACCGACTCGGCCCCGAACCCACTGACCAGATGCTTGGAAGCTGTGGCTGGATGGTTTCGTGGGAGCCGATTGAAAGTAAATCCTTCGAAGACAGAGGTCCTATGGCTGGGTTGGGATGGCATGGGGATGAGGGACCAACTCTCTTCTCTTGCAGGGGCCCAATTAGTGCCATTGCCTTCCGTTAAGAGTTTGGGTGTAATCCTTGATGCCTCTCTTTCCATGGAGGCGCAAGTTACAGCAACAGCCAAGGCGACATTTTTCCACCTTCGCTGCATCAAGCAGTTGGTCCCTTACCTTTCCTGCCCCGACCTGGCCACAGTGATCCATGCGACGGTCATCTCCAGGCTTGACTACTGTAATTCGCTTTACGCGGGGCTGCCCTTGAAGCTGACCCAGAAACTCCAGAGGGTGCAGAATGCTGCAGCGAGGCTCCTCACGGGGTCTCTACCATGGGAGCATATTCACCCAGTGCTTTTCAAGCTGCACTGGCTCCTGGTGGAGTACAGGGTCATATTTAAGGTGCTGCTTTTGACCTTTAAAGCCCTTCACGGCCTGGGACCCTCGTACCTACGGGACCACCTCTCCCGGTATACCCCACGGAGAGCCTCAAGGTCTGTAAATAGCAACACCCTAGTGGTCCCTGGCCCTAAGGAAGTTAGATTGGCTTCAACCAGAGCCAGGGCCGTTTCAACACTGGCTCCGGCCTGGTGGAACGCTCTGCCTCGTGAGACCAGGGCCCTGCAGGATCTGATTTCTTTCCGCAGGGCCTGTAAGACAGAGTTGTTCCGCCTGGCCTTTGGCTTGGAGCCAATTTGATTCCCTCCCTCTCTTTCTTTTTCCTTTTCCTTCTCCTTCTGCGATGAGGCTACATTTTAATATTTTAATGTTTCA